GAACAGGAGACTTAGCGTGTTTCTGTACAGAAACTCAACCTGTTTGTGGGACAAATAAGGCCTCAGCTGTTTAGATATTTGACCAGTATTCGATTTACTTTCACTACTTGTATCAAAGCTGTGCGATTTCTCCAGACTTTTGGTACAGGGTGATTAACGACTATACTTGCTTCTTATTTTAGAAGAGAGGAATTCGTTCTCATGGCTTTTGTCCAGATTTGCCTCGGAGGGCAGAGCAGAAACGTAGTCCTAACACATGGTGGACTGTGTGTCAAATCCTGGTGTGGAAAAGGAGAACGACGCAGAAGGGAGAAATGAGGGGAAAAGTGCCGCTTATGATACTGAATCAAACCCAGCCATTTCCTGTACACCGAGCCAGAGCTGCTCAGCACTCTCCATATATGGTAATGGTATTTGCATGAAGGGAAAGCCTGGGCTTATAGATCAGGACTGGTGTTGAAATTCCTTTGTATTAACTTCTGGGAAAAGGTCTGGTCCTGGAGGTTTTTTTTTTTGGTGATCTGATTATCTTCGATTCCCAGAGGGAAAACTAATCAACACAAAACTGCCCTCTCTGATTTTTTATTATACTTCCATTATTAACTGTTGCCATGATACTTGTCAAACTATCATATATTTAGATCTTCTTATCACTGTGTTTTGGTGATATCAGATGCTCACTTCTTTACTGCGTCTGTGTGTTACTAAGTTGTGTGGTTCCATGGCGATGGTGTTGTTATGGCCACCGTAGTCACCAGTTGTGCCAGATGTCCCCTGTGTAGTGTGTGTGTATTTGTGTGTATTTGTGTTTGTCTCGCTGTGTCTGCACTCATACTCCACCGCAGACCTACAGTAACTCGGATTTCCTTTAATCCGAGCCAAAGAGATTTTTCTTGTCATAACTGACAGCTAAATGAGAGAAAATACATCCCATGATATCTGCATTTTCGGAGGATTACAGGACTTCATCTCCCTGAGCACTTGTATGTGAATAGATGAATCTTCTTGTTCTGCTTTATCCGCCTGTAAATTTAATCGTTAGTTATTTATTGTAATACAAACTTCTGCTATTTACTTTTTCCTCTAATACACAGTGTTTGTGTTGTGAGGTGTTTTGTCTCCCAAGTCAGTATATCCAATTCCCCTTATAGACATTAATAAAGTTGTATGCATATGCAACATCTGCATACTTCAGCAACATCACAGTGTAACTTTAGGTTTAAAAAAAGAAATCTTGTCAGCAACATTACAGGAAAATCCATAATTCAGTAAAACACTTAGGAAAAGGTTAATGTCTTCACCATTTTCCACATTCATAAAAGTACATTTTGTTACGATGGTGAAACATCTGCTGTTAGTGCAAAATATTACTGTGTTGTTAGCTTTTCACACCAAGTGTCTGGATTCAAACTGACGGAGCAGTTTAAATTTAATGGCTGTATGGAGAAGCGTTTTCATGAATAGTTACTGATTTAAAATCTGCAGAACAGAAATCTCTGTAGGGGAAGTGACCCCCTCACCCCAACAGCCATACTACATTCACTCGAGTGTTACGACCCTTCGACCCCCGGTTGCTCTGGTGCGGCTCCGCAGCCAGCAGCAGAGGAGTGCGGTTGATTCGGGCACCTCCCAGACGTCTTTGTGTGTATGTGTGCAGCCCTCTTTCCCTGTGCAGCTATTGCCTTAGTCCACTCCTGTAAGTTAGAATATTTTCTTTCTCCTCGTGCCTCATTAAACAAGGCCTAAGTCAAAACAGATGAAACAATCCTCAGAATATTTGACATTTACCTCCTACGTCTCCAGCTTATTACCTCTCCCTTCTTAAATCTGCACACTGTCATTCCAGACATAGCAGAGAGAGAGGTTAAATATAGCATGTTCAATTGTTTTCACTTCGTGGTTGGGCCAGCACTCTCTTAACTGTAGACTTTTACGGAAAAGGTTTTCATCTGTTTTCATCTGCTGATGCACTACTTTTAATAAGTAGGTGGCAGCAAAAGGATACCTAGTAATTCCCTGAATAAAAAGAACATTTGGTGATATAAACACCAGTAAATACAGGGTTCTGGTTGTGCTGGTTCTGGACATCATTGAGGCCCAGTCAGCCCCTCAGAGGACAAAGTAAACTCAAATATACACAAATCTATTCGAAAGATCAGCATCCACATCCACAATCTTCAGACCAAACGTTTACATTTAGCCTTAAACTTTCTTATTACACTTAAATTACCCTTAATATTCACCCAGTGTTATAAGTAATGGACTTGATTTACTTAATACTGTCATTCTGTGTCTTTATTTTGTACTATCTCTACTTCTGTCGGTATAAATGACTCCTACTGAATCCTGAGAGGGATTTCTTCTCTGTGGCTCTTCTCGAGGTTTCTCCCTTTTTACCCTTAGGAAGTTTTACTTTATCTGTATCAAGGGTTTTATAGATTGTAGGGCACCCCAAGACAAAATTTTGGATTTTGGGTTAAAAGAGCAAAACTGACTTGAATTTAATACTTTTAGATTTTTGGTCTGCCACTGGTGTGCCACTTGGTCTGCAAGTGTTCAAGTACATTTGTGTGTTTTTTTTCCTGTTTCTCTTCGTGTCTACTTTCTCTACATCATGAATTTACTTCTTTAACTCCTTGAAACTCCCTGACATCACCCTGTCATCGTTGCTAAGGAAGGAAGGAAGTCAGCATCTCCCTCTGCCGCACCTAAAAAGCTGTAAAACATGTTAATGGGTGTGATCTGGAGAATTAATCAAGCTATAATTTGCTGCTTCCCTCCTGAGGGTAAATACCCGCTGAATTAAGCTGAAAAGCTGTTAACATTCCTCGCCATCTTCCATGCTATGACCGAGTCTGTAAAGTGGTTTTAATTTTGCTGTTGTAAAGAATAAAGTCACCCCTGAGTATATTAAAAGCTTTCTGGCCCTCCCCCCTGATTTAGTAATTTAAAGTTAATTACTAAAAGCACAATGACTTTCCACTGGTTTATTTTGTGCTGTCGTGTTACTTTACTGTGGTCCTAGATATTTACCAGGGTTTTGTCTTTTTTTCCCACTTTTGTGTTTATTGCTTTTATAATGTACATACAAAAATAACTCACACTCAGAACATGCAACTGCAGAGGGAGTTACATTATACAACTACGATTTGCTCATTAAAACCTTAATAATTCACATTATTGTCAATGAAATCATACATTCTAAGCATTATCAATTTTTCCCGTTTTCTGCTAAACCTGTTCTTCTTTCACTCTTAGAGAATAAGTCATTTTCTCCATCACAAATATTTCCTGCACTGTATCTAACCACTGTCCACATCTTGGTGGATCCGTATGAAACCGGTCTCTGGTAACAGCCTTCCTCGCAGCTGTGAGGGATTTTGACCAAGTAATTATCTTCCTTCAGCACTTCTGTTATATTTCCCAGGTATAAAAGAGAACACTTCTTGGAAATTGTATATCCTAATACCTCATTCAATACTGAGTTCACTCCATCCCTCAATGGCTGTATCTTTGGTCAACTCCAGGGTATGTGTACGATGTGACTATGACCACAATGCCTCCAGCGTGCTTGTTGCCTTATAGGAGTTGTTTGTTTTTTATATTAGGTGTAATTAAGAAACAAATTGGGTATTTCCAATTACGTTCTCTCCATCTACTGTATGTGAATCTACACATGATCATGATATTCAATTCTTTTTCCTACTTAGGTTCTTCAAGAATGTAATTTTAGCCTGAAATTCTGTTAAATTATGATAAAGTTTAGAAATAATCCTTGAAGTTTTTTAATAATATAAATTGATCATCTGAAACAAGCCTTGTTTCATCATTTCCCCTGCCTTGCATTTATCATTCACCATTCACAACACAATTTTTTAAAATCATTTCAGGAAAGTGGCCTCATTGGTGGGAGTAGCAAAAAATAACTTGATCAACGTTTTATTTATAACAGTTCTGCTGTGATAGGAAACTAGGCTGTGTTACTTTCAACTGTCTGCCATTCTTCATTCACAACACCCAACTCTTGATTAAGATTAAAACCTGTAAGCAAGGTTTGTTGCTTCCACCTAAAGAGACAAAAACGCAATCAATCAGTCAGTTGGCATGGTTTTTGATTGACATTTTGTGATATGATTGAAAGCTCCAACAAGTGATTGATATTCATTTCAATATAAAACCTTCATTAAATTTGTTTTCTCATAAAGAATCACCAAAAAGAATATGGGATTATTTAATTTTTTTTAAATGCTACGTCCATTAAAACATTATCTATGTGTTTGCTGCATAAAATACAGTATCTTACTATAGAAGTATCACTGAAGGAAGTATTTTATTTTTCCTTTGACAGTATTGTTTAAACTGCCTCTCAGCTCCTTCCTCTTCCGACACTTCCTCACCAAGGGGGGAGGAAGTCAAGAGTTAACTCGTGTGTTGACTAATGTTCTCGATGCTCTCTGTGGTTCTCCGTCCAGGAGAAAGAGACTCACTTCTCAGAGCACATTATGACCCTTGTCCACAGTAGCCAGACACCACTGACTCATAGCGCATGATGAATGACCTCAGTTCTCCAGAGACTCACTCAGCTAGAACAAAAACTGGAATGTAGGGAGAAACCAAATTGTTAGGATGTGGATAAAAGCTGGCTAAGAGCATCTTTAACACTTGGACAAATAACACAAAGCACTTCTGGGAATCTGACCTTGCACTATTTCAAAGTAAACATGGCTCATCATGCTGCTGGGATCAGAAAATGTGAACACTTAAGAGGTTTTTGCTTTAGTGATAATAACCATTTTCCCCTTGGCTTTCACTTTGTCTGATTATCTCAACAGTGTGATAAAACCACACCACCTCAACCTCTCAGTGTGCTTTAAAGCCACAATTCCTTCATGTAGCTGTGCGGCCTTGATGTCAGACTCTTCATCTCTCCGTACCATCTCATTGTGTCTTTCTCAATGAACTAACAATTGTACATTGTGTGTGTGTGTGTTTTGTTGCAGGGGAGCCGGGGGCACTACCGGTACCACTGGCAGAGCCACAATGTCAAACACAGCGGTGTGGATGACATGGTGCTGCTCAGCAAGATCAATGAGGACGCCATCGTGGACAACCTCAAGAAGAGATACATGGATGACTACATCTTTGTATCCTTTGCTCACAATCGTAGTTCACACCCCAGTGATGAATAGTTGAGTCCCATCTCATCGGTGCTATTTCCAGAATAGCTGAATGGTCATTCACAGTGACATAGTAGCAGTGAGTAATAGGTCAGTGTTGGAAGGTAATGCCCTCCCCCTGAGACTCTGCCATGACTAGTGGGGCAAAGGGTCCCTCTGTTCATACCTCCACCCAGACCTCTAAATCCTGCCCCTTCACCGATGTCAGATTTACTCCGGTCCTGTCTCACTGTGGTGCAAAATGTCAACAAAACGGTGTGAGGAATAGCAGGTTGCATAATGGAGGAATCTTTTTGAATCAGAGCATTGCTGCTGTCTTCTTTGAGCAGCCATAATTTTTTTTATTGTGGTAGTGATTTAGACTCATGTGCTGAGGTCTATCATTTTCATGTAGCACATCACACAAATGCTATAGGTCCAGGTTTTTAAAGTGTGGCTGTGGCTGCACACACAAACACGCAAGCCGCTTGTGACGTGAAACGAGTTGATGAATGAATGAATAACCCTTTGAAAAGCGATGCTGAGCATTCTCAAAGCAGCCTATTACATAAACTTCGTCCACGCTCTGGCAGTGCTCAGGATTATGAAGTTTAGTAAATGCTGGCAGTTTTAGGTTCGACAGCTCTGAGTCAGGCCTTTGATTTGGGTCAATAAATAGCCGTAACTGCGAGGTCTCCCTGCCAAGGCTGTGGGTCACTGTAGGCCACCCACAATAGCAGCTTTATTTGCCTTGAGCGGCATTTTGGCTTCAGGGCATAAAACCTCACAGTGTTACATGGCCGGTCTATTCTCTGTTATTTGTAAGCACTGGATACTTATTTAGGCTCAGGCCTGATCACCAGATACTCCGCTGCTGCCCTGTTGCACACTCTGTTGACGTCATGGCAGACTAAGATTAAGTCATTTCTTTCCTATACAGTTACATAATCTCTTTGTAAAAATTTCAAATAAATGATTTGAAACTCTGTTTGCACGTCCAGTCATGACCCTTAATACATAATGTCATCAGACATACATTGGTCCCGTGCTTATCTCCATCAACCCCTTCAAGCAGATGCCATACTTTGGGGAAAAAGAAATTGAGATGTATCAGGGTGCAGTAAGTAGCCTTCCATCTTTTCTTCAAGGATATATTTGTATGAATGATGCTATATGGCTATAAACACATTTAAGAATCACTGATGTGTTATTGAAATGCCGGGGGTTTAAGATGGTAACAGTCTGAAGGACAAAGGTTTTTAAATGAACTGAGTAAAATGCAGTGGGAACTTTCCAGCGGGCTGGCGCAGATGTTGCTGTCAGAAACTTGACTCAACCATTGAGAAGGTTTGGCAGCACCTTCACAGAACAGCCTGTTCGAGTCTGCCTTCTCTTGGCCAGCCTGCTGAGAGTGGGCTTGTCTGCTTAAGCCAGGAGCACACTTGAAGACTTTTAAAATCCTGACTGACTGTGAAAACACTCAGCATCACACATGCCAAATTTAACAGTTTGGCAGATTATCGTTGTACATAAGTGCACTGGGTTCAGATTTTCAGAGCGTACCAGCTAAGAATACAAGGAAAAGTTCAGATTTGTTCAGAATACGTTGAAACATTAATGAAGGAGCTTACTTTGTTGCTCCCTTGAAGGGAAACAGATTCGGCAGTGGTAACGTATATTATTTTCAGTACAGACTTATCACAGTCTTGGAAGTAAGTCCTCATGGCCAAAGTGAAGTTAGTACAGAATTTATTCTACATTTCTATTGTCAACAAATACAATGAAAAGACCAAAACCAACCACGTGTTAATCCACCTCTCAATACCTTTGAGCAATTCTTTACCCAAACAGAAGTAAACAGTGCATTTGTTGAGGACTATTTTCAGTGGTGGATTAATACACAGTTGGTGCACTAGTGAGTATTTGCATATTTGTTGACAGTAAGGAAAATATAGAATATCACCAGAATCATCCTTCAGTGTGTTCCAGGCTTTAGTTTTAGATTAACAACCACCAACACACAGTTTTACAAAAGCTGTTTAAACACTGACTGTAATTAAATTCTTTTTGTCAACTCCCAGGCTCAGTATGAGAACCCTCCTCACATCTACGCTCTAGCAGATAACATGTACAGAAACATGATGATCGACCGTGAGAACCAGTGTGTCATCATCAGGTAAGACTTAAATAACATCATTTTCGCATTCTTCACATATCATGAACTAATGACTTGTGTCAGCCAAAATATGTAGTGGCAGAGAAGTTCTTTATTTAATATGATATCTCTTATGCTCAGTTTGTCCCTTGCCCTCTTGTGTAAGTGAGTCAAGTTTCTAAATATGCAGGACGGGGAGAGAGTGAGACAAAGACTGGAGATAGTAATCTGTGCAATGTGACCTGTGAGATGTCATAATGAAGCTGAACTGCTGCTGAGCCAGTATAGGTCACGATAATAGTTGGGAGGGGAACAGGAGAACAGACCTAACAGGTTCCACCACATCATTTGGCACAGTTGACTTTCTTTGGTGTTTTTCCATCATATCATCTTCAGCTTTGTTTAAATGCAAAGTAAGGAAAATGCCCTAATGCCCAAACACGAAAACAATGCAGAGTTCACAGCTGGATCAGGCCTCTGTTAACTCAGGATGTGAGATGGAAACAAAGCAACTGTTATAGTGGCTATTTCTGAGGAACTTCCTGGTTTAAAAAAACAGGAAGAACACCTGCTTGATCTTTGGTCCTGAACCACTCTCTCCTCATATGTTTGGGGATTCTTTAAGTACTTTAACAGCCTGTTTGAGTTTGTTGGTGAATGTGTTTTAAGCTACGGAGCTGTATAGGGAAAAGTGTGGTGTCATGATTGGGGCTTTATGCTATGGCTACGGTCCAGTCACCTGAGCAGCGTGGTTACTATAGTGCTTACCTCATGATGAATGACCCCTGCTTCAGCACTTTCACCCGTTGTTTGGACAGCCAGCAATTGCTAGTTCAGTTTCCCACATAAAGGCACTGAGGTGGACTTTGTGATTGACTAAATCAGCAAACAAAAGCATGGAAGTGGTTTTATGATGAACCAGGTCTCAGCAAACAAAGGCAGCTATGAACTGCTGGCCAGGCAGTGTGGTCAGCATCGGCCTGTGCTAGCGCTTTTTCACATTTACTAAGAAAATGTATGAATTAACTGTAAGGGGAATTCAGGATGAGGTGGTTTTGACTACACTTGTTGGGAAATTGTGACTTTCCCCGTTTTTGTTCAATTTCAACACGCTTCTCAGTTTATCTGTTGCCATCTACTTACTACAGCATGTGACTGATGTGACTATGCCTTGAAATCTCGAGCTGGTATGTGTAGTTGGTGTTATCAGTTTGGCACTCCTCATCAAACTATTAGATGACATCAGGCCCATGACATCTTCCAAAAGTTTGAGAACCAACTTCTTCACATCTGCTCCCAGGACAAATAAGACCATGGTCCTGTTAGAAAAACATTTTTGTGTTCCTTAAAGGGGGATTCATTTTCAGTCTTTCTGTCAGCATGTCACCCAAACAACAGCTCCCTAATCCTATAAAAAGCAGGTTTTTTCAGTGTTGGCTGGACCCCTATTTTTTTCTCCTTGTTTTTTTAATGATCGTCCATGAGCTCATTTCCAGACTTGGCTGTGCCAGAGCTGGGTATGTTATAATAAGACCAGTTTTAAAAAGGACAATGTGTATTGAGAGATTGCCAAGCCCAAGCCCAATAGTATTTATGTAAGTGGCCTTTTCATTTAATTTCCTTCCCAAATTGATCTACTATATTATCAGTCATATCTATGGCTTTTGACCCTTTGCTGATGTTTCCTTGCTTTGAAATTGGAAAACTTACCTACATCTAAGTTTGACATATCAATCTGCCACCTTTTATAGGAATTAAATTATTTGGATGTAAATCAACAAGATATTTAAAATAAGTTGGATTATATTGTTTTAGATAAATAAACAAAGTGCAAGGAAAAGGGCCCATCTTGCTCTTAATATCTGCTGACTCACCAATTTTCAACCTGAACTATTTTATGTATGTATAAAAGAATAATCTAAGCTATGATCTAAACTCAACATTACACTTATATGGAGAAGGGAATCATCCCGAGCTGTCGACTGACTCTTGGTCGATAACTTTGATCCCATCCCAGCTGAAGTGAGTCCATCTCATTTCACAGATGTAATGTTCCCCACAGCTGGTGCACGTGACGTTGTATGCCACTCCAGTCCTTTTCTCCTTCTTCTGAACTGAGGGCAGCAAATGAATTATTTTAGGTTAAACGGATGATTGATTCTTCTGCTTTGAAATGGCCCACTCAGCAGTTCAGAGACTGTATCAGTCAAATGTCTGACTCCTGTTGGCTTGACCAAACACTGGAGCAGAAAATGAGGCCTGGTCAGCAAACACTGAACTTAAGCATGTGTGTAAAACAACAATAAAAGGAGGTGAGGGCGGCATGGAGTAACACTTCTGCTACCAAACATGTGTCATCATACGATACGTCACATTAATCCTTTTCTACACTGCACATAGATTACCATTTTTGAAAGCCCAGATGGTATCAGTACTCCTCCTCCTGTTAGAGCCATTATAAATAAAAATCCACAATGTGAAGGAAATCTATTATCATGTGTCTGCTTCACCCAGTCTGCTCATTTTCTTTCCTAAAATTGGCTGTATTAAAAAAACTGCTTTAACAAAGGTATAGCTTCAAAAGTCTGCACAAACACAAACTGGTTGATTGTTTGTTAGTCATTTAAAGTTTGACGAGAGATTTACAATTCCCCAACTCCATCCTCTTGTTTTGGACTGGTAGGTTGAGCCTTAAAACAGATGGACAAAGGCTCCTGTAGCTTGAATACAAGGAGAGGTTGATGTTTTTAAGGTGCGAGGCAAAATCTTAAGAGTCTGCTTGAACTTACTGGACGTACAACTTCAACCAGTTCTGTGGGAACGCGGTGCACCTAAAACCGCTGGAACTAGAACTCAGTGTTGGCTGTGCATCCTCCTCATGGCTAGTGGCTGTAATGCCTCATGAAAGTTAATGTTTAATCCTCCCTGCTTCTGCATTGCATTTTTAAGTCATGTCCTTGTTTGGTTAATAAATCTCTGCGGAAGTTAACAATGCCTTTCAGCACTTTAGCTCCTTAACAATGAGACTCGCCCCTCTGAGGACTCAGAATGGGACTCAAACTCCCAGCAACTTGTGCTGAAAATAGCTCTTCAGAGAATAACTTGCAGGAGTAGAAACAATGCTCTCAGAGGGAGCTCAGGAGGGTTTTCTGGCATTAAAACTTGATATGCTGAAACTCATCATATATTTGTTCCCCCGACTCTTGTTACTTGAGTCTTCTGCAGCGGGGTATCCCAGACAATGCTGAGGATTTGGAAGAAACGAGGAGGTATATAGGGGGGAGGGTTACAACCATATAGAGACTGCTGTGTAATAGAGTGGCTCCCATGACTTCCTCTGGCAGCCTCTAACAGTCTGCAGCTGTGTTTCTCACAGAGGCATTACCAACCTGACCCTACTTTAAGGCACAGAAAGAAAAACAGACTCCACTGTCATGCACTGCCAAACCACATATGTCAAAATAAGTATGACCCTGGCAAAGTGAAAGGCAAGGAGGAAAATAGACAAGTGTAGGGTGAGGGAAGAGAGATATGGGAAAAAAATCTGTAAATGTGACAAAACAGAATAAATGTCCTTATTACTGCAGCATTCATCTGCCCAGATGTGCTGTAGTCAATCACTCATATAGCGTCTTGAGATGAAATTTGCTTCTAGTTGCTTCTAATTGTACAAAATACATGTTGGTTCATATAGAAAACGGAGGTTGTACACATGAAATCTGTTTATTCAGCAGATTCACTGTGACTGAACGTCCAGCTCATCTTTGCTTTGGTGGAAACGCAAATACACACTGACACATACATAAACCTGCAAAGTGGTGAATTGCAATTATGAATGAGATCAACAGTTGTGACTTGACTTAAAGCAGATTTTGACCATTCAAATGAGGAATACGTACATATAATATCTTGATAGGTTGGACCTGGAAATCAAAAGTAACCTCAAATATCATCACGTCAGTATTTACCGTATTCAGTAGCTCTAAGCCTCCTGTTTGCTGCTGTGTGTTCAGACAAAACATGTAAACAAACCACCTACAGCTTGAAAAAACATAATCAGAAGTGTGTTTTTGAATATGAATGTACAGTAAAGATCTGCGCTCTACTCTCTTCCTTATGAAGTGTCATTCACAGGTGGTAAATGCTTAAAGTATTATTTAGTTGACAGATGTTATGTGGCCGAGCCCATCCTCAGCATGTTATTTGTTCGACATCAGACCACACGCAGGCGGCAGTGATACATTGACATAAGACTGATTAGGCAACAAAATTAAAACGCACAATAGCTGCCATAGGCTGTAATACCAAAGAACCACTCAGGTGCACATGCCTCACTTAACCTGATGTCTGAGCATATACTCATGTGTCTCATTTCGTCTCTTTTTCAGTGGAGAGAGTGGAGCAGGGAAAACTGTGGCGGCCAAATATATCATGGGCTACATCTCCAGAGTGTCAGGGGGTGGACCCAGAGTACAGGTGAGACAAGCTGCTTTTTCTTCTTTCATGTAAAAGATGCATGAAACATTTTGAGATTTTTTTTAGATGTTGATGTGCACAGATTGAATATTACATTATGTTGTTGTACTCACATTTTTTGTTCTGAACTGATAGTAAAAATCAATACTAAGTGAAATTAAAATCAAATTAAATGTGAAAAACTTGAGGGGATATTAGTTGAAAATGAATATATTACTGCTCCACAAATACGTTGCTAAAGCTGAGACTCCCTGTATAATGACAGGAAAAGCATTTGCAAAATTCATTTATTAAGGAAAAATCTGGTCAGTGACTTTCTCCCAGCATCCATACTTGAAGTCTGTGGATGGTTTTTTCATCATCACTTTCAGTGTAGTTAAAATGTATTTAATCATTCAACATGTGACTTTTCAAATTATATCATTCTAGATGAATAACAAAACAATTTATTATATTATAATTGTTCGGTCCTGCTTGTAGAATCATTAACAAATTGAGCATGATTTGTAACATCACTGCACACTTCTAACAACCTGTTGCTACTTCATTCCTGCACTTGTAACGCCCCTCACATCCAGTCCTCGTCTTATCACCCTCATCCTCATACAGTGCCCTGTTATCAGCCCATCAGCAGCCTCTTGTTCACCCAGCCCCCTTCAGCCACCTGGCAGCCCCCCAAACCGGCAGATGTCCAGTTCCTAAGCTCGATAAAGATCTAAAGTTTGATGAGGAAATGCCTGCACCATGATGGCAGTGGGTTTTTTTTTTTTTTTTTCTACATTTAATCCACTCAGAGCCGCTTCTACCAAGTCAACATCAGAAATCATCTTCAGGCTTGAAATTTAACAGTAAAGCTGGTAGTCTGACTGGTTAGACAAAAATATACTATATTTATGGTATTATTATTGCTTTAGGTGTCCAGAATGGCAAGTTATGGTATAAATGCACACTTCTGATGCAAGTTATAAAAATAACTTTTTATTGTTTGTTTAAACTAAGGTTGCCGTTACAGTGGAAAAAGTTCACCTCCTCTCCACCCCATCCGGTTCTGTTGAGCATCACTTCTCATTCACATGGTTCCCTTCAGCTTTGCACACACTGTGCGGTATGCTCAGTACATCACATGCATTCTTGTGCAATGTGTTGACGTTGTGTGTTCACATGTGTCTGAGAACAGTTTTGAATAGATAATAATTTCCTGCCAGTAACACCTGTTCATCTGTCTGATCGTTATCATCTTCACAAAGACTAATCGTATCGATTAATATTCATACATCACAAAAAAAAAAATCTAAGTTCTGGATATAGAATATTTATTTTAACAACTTGAGGCCATGTTGGAAATGTGTTTGTTACTTCAGTTGGATTCCATGTGTTTTGAAGCTCCATTAATTAATCAATGCATGGTTTGTCTTGGAGGCATAAAATATGATAAAAAAATAAATGAATAACCGTTTGGATATCTATAAATAGCTGTAAGCGTAAAGGGCAGTGCTTATTTTTTTTCCTTTCATATGGGACTATGTTTAGTAACGCAAAAAAAATTCCAAGAAATAATTTCCACTCAACTTCTGTGTACAATAATGGAAGTGGGAGCAGCTCTGTCTGCCGTACAGATTTAAAACTCATGTGTTTGTGACATGCAGATGGCTCACAGGAAAGATAATGTCCTCCAGACTTTGTGTGTCTGTCTGTGGATGTGTATTTGTGTGCGAGTGTGTATCCATGTACACACACACACATGCTCGTATTTGAGTGGAAAGTTCCAGAGATGCACAGACCAGCCTGTCAGCGAGGGTGTGAAGTGTGTGGTGTCTGTACCTGCTTCACAGACCGTCTGTGACGTAGCTAACAGCTCGTTGCTTCTGTCTCCTCGCAGCACGTCAAAGACATCATCCTGCAGTCCAACCCGCTGCTAGAGGCCTTTGGCAACGCCAAGACTGTGAGGAACAACAACTCCAGCAGATTTGTAAGGCTTTCATTTCACTTTTTGTGAATCAGTGTGTCTAACATCACGGCTCAATTCATGGTTCTTGTTATTGAAAGAAAACATCTGAAGTTAAAAATCTTCTTCCAAGGCCCCTTTTTTTCAGCCTCGTGTTTTTCTTTGTGAGTGTGTGTCAAATCTGGTTTGCAGTGTAAGTGAGGATGACTCTGTAACACAGAAAAAAAAATGTAATAACCCACTCTAAATGCAAATCCTGTGTTGCTAAGAGATAAATACAAGCAGTAGGCACTATTTACCCCACAATAATTTGAGGACTCAACTTTTTTGTGGCGTACCTTTGGATCCAAGTTGAGTCTTTGATAAAAACAAACATTTACAGTATTAGCTTTTCTTCTAATTTCTGTGTCATTGCATGAGGCAGCAATCCTTATGTGTGTCTTGGTTAACCAGAGCTGTGCTGTAAGGATAAAGTGCACAGAAAGACATACATGCAGAATCACTGAGGCACATCCTCTACTGTTTATAAAGGAAGGAAGTCAGCAAGGACTTAAAATTAAGGCAGAGCACATTTTTAAAACAAAATAAACCGTTTCAGCTGAGTTTATTGGTTTTGTGTTCAGGTTAGCATACAAAGCAGAATTGTGTCAGTGCTTGGGATATTTTTAGATGAAGTTTTTTGGAAAATACTTTTGTCACTAATAGCCTGAGATCACTACTTTTAAGGTACTGTCTTTGAATAAATAGTGTCTCTGTTCAGATTTGGGCTTCTGCTCTCAGCTTTACTGGAACAGATATTACATTACAGGCATGTCTGGAGAAGAAAGCAAGACATAAAGCAGGATCAGAAATGTGCACACACACACACACACACACACACACACACACCACCACCACCAGCAACCCTAGAACAGCCAGGTGCCAGTATTTCAGATCTTATAGCTCTGGCTTTAAGCATTATTGCAGCCCACTCCAATACTGAAAAAAAAACATGCTTTGATCCATCAGGGGAAATACTTTGAGATCCAGTTCAGCTCCGGTGGCGAACCAGACGGAGGGAAAATCTCCAACTTCCTTCTGGAGAAGTCACGTGTCGTCATGAGGAATCCTGGAGAAAGGAGTTTCCACATATTCTATCAGGTGAGACCTATTTTTTGAGCCTAAGAGTGAACGGGACACATTTGGCTCATGGAGAGGGTCTGTGAGGGAATTTCAGGACACATTGGACTAGATGTGCCATTTGGCTGCAGGAGGACGGTCAATCTGTTTTCGTTGTGTATGGCCTGAGGTCTCTGGAAAAGATAGAATTGTTAAGTTTTGCCATTGTACAATTTTCTTCACACACAGATGGAGCACATAAAATGCCTAAAAATGACACTACTGCAGGATTTGTGTTATGGCATGTCTATAACTGGTGCATACACAGTTATACATTGATCTTTTCTGCTCTGCAGCTGATAGAAGGAGCCAGTGGAGAGCAGAAGAGCAGCCTGGGAATCACAAGCCTGGATTACTACACTTACCTCAATCAGTCTGGTTCCTACAAAGTGGACGACATCAATGATAAGAGTGACTTCCAGGAGACAACGGTACAGTCAGACCCCTTCTGTATAACTGGCGATAACTTACCACTCTCAATGGTGTTTTTCATGTCTGTGAATCTCATACCAGTGTTCATGTGGCTCACAGTCTTCTCTTCACATTCCTCTCTCTCCTTACCAGTCCTCTTCTGTTTTCTTTTCCAACGATCTCCTCCTGCTTTTGTTTACCAGTCAAACCGCAACAGGAGTAATTAGAGGACATGAGCTAGGTACCGCAGGATTGAGTAAACCCATGCTGCGGCCGTGATTTAGCATGATTTTTTTCCCTGTGCTTTCTCAGCATGCCATGGATGTGATTGGCATCTCAGCGGAAGACCGCGCCATGGTGCTTCAGATTGTGGCTGGAGTCCTGCACCTGGGAAATATCAGTTTCAGGGAATCGGGCAACTACGCTGCTGTGGAGAGCGAAGAGTGTAAGTAGTCTCACACCAGGGCTTGTTCACAAAAGAGTTTAACACTGCCTTGTTTTGTGCTTAATGTGGTTCACACTAAAACAGGTAGCAACAACCACAGATCACATTAAAACTTTAATGAAAACAAACCTGGGCTATTTCTAGTTTGCTGTTTGCATTTAGCTGAGGGGACGAATAAAACAGATCTTCAGGCAATTAATAACTATTGTCCCAGACCAAAAAAACAAACAAAACCCCCCCCCGCCCCCCCCCCCCCCAAAAAAAAAAACAAAATAAAACAAATAAACTGTCAGTTAACTGTGCTTGTGGATGGAAAAAGGACTGAACTGCTAATTAATGTTAAACTCTCCAACAATGTTTCACTCCCCTTCAAAACAGTGGTGTGGTTAGCATGTCGTTGTTCAACCTCATCAGACTCTGAGGGAAAGTCTCAAAGAATATAAAGCATTGAAATAAATATAAAATAAAAGTCTGCAGTCATGCTAGTGGCTATGACTGAGATTGTGAGTGTTGACTCTGAGGCTGTACCTGGGCACAGCTGCGCTGAGATAAAAGCTGAACAAAGTTAAACTTTGACCTGATGGTGGTGCAGGAGAAAAAGTCAGGAAATCACAGTCATTGCAAGATCGTCCTCTGGGTACCATCAACGCTTGCACCAAATTTTGAGCCAATCTTTCTAATAGCTTGTTGTGTAGCTAGTGAAGGCCGAAGTATTAAGTGGAAACTTTGACCCCTGAGGATGACGCTATAGAGATAGTCAGGAGGACTAACCATCTGGGAACCATGAATGTCTGTACAAAAAATCGTGACAATTTATCAAGTAGTTGCTGAGATATTTCAGTCTGAACCAAAGCAGAGGATTAACCAACGATGCCATCCATAGAGTCATTTCACTGGCGTGGCTACAATGACACAGATACAGTTGTATGGTTAAGACTGAGGCCAAAAACTATGGTGCTGATGTTCAGGTTGAGTTTGGGATGCGGTAAATCTCTTCTTCTCATTGCATTCATGTATCTCAGAATGTCTCTCGTCTCTTTAGTGTCCTGAGTTACCCTTGTCTAGTTGGTTTTGGAGGATATTTTTCTCTCACCACTTTCACTCCCTAAAGTTTTATTGTGTTAATGCAGGGCTGCAGCCAGCTGTCTGGAGTAATCCAAGACCATGCTAGATTACCAGAAAATAAAACGCTATTATTGAAAGTCTGGGCATATTTCGTCAGAGACTAAAATTACTTGGAAAAATACTTCTCCTTCTGTCCCCTTCCCTCTCGCCTTCTCCTGCCTCATTTTATTCTCCCCCTTTTTTCCCTTCCTCCTTCCTTCTTGTGCTGTATCTGTATGATGCAGTGTACAAAGCCTTGGTCTGTTCTGTGCAGACGAAACAGCGGCACTTCGTAATCTCTGCCTTTCCTGTTCCCTCCAGTCTCACTTCCTGTGTGCTTAAACTGCACAGTCGTACCACCGCTCTCCACACAAAAGTACACCAGCCAAGTTCACATAAATATCAACTCGCACTCAGCGGGGGCCAGTGCGTCATCTGTTGTTGAAAGAAATGTTGAGACTACTTGTGCTGATGATTTGGACATTATTAGACTGGTTGGGACATGAAGCAACTTGAACCTGATAGTGATGTTTCCTACATTTTGGTTTGGTAAGCATAAATGTTTTGACAAGAAAAAACATCTTGAACCCTTTTGTTCTAAACAATCCCTCTAAATTTTCTCTTAGTAGCTTCAAAATGATTCTGTTTGAGAACATTGCATATACTGTAGCATTTGCTTGTTCCAGTGCTCCATCAAATCTGCATATTGACTACAATATTCAAACCCCAGATACTATTTTATGTCTGCATCGGTATGGATTAAAAAACAACATACATCATGTTAATTTGTGAACTTTAGAGGTGCTGGTATAGGTGGCCTTGTCACATTTGGAGAGAGCCAGGCTAGCTGTTTCCCCTTGTTTCCAGTCTCTATGCTAAGCTAAGCTAACCAGCTGGTGGCTGTAGCTTCATATTTAGTGCACAAACATGAGGTTGTATCAATCCTCATCCAACTTTTGGGCAAAAAAGTTTCCCAAAAAGGTCTAACTATTCCTTTAAAAACTGGATTGATAGAATAAACTCTTAACAAGCTATGAATGTTTGACAGTCTGACCAGGAAAATCTCACATTGACTGAAGGACTGCTTAGATATTCAAATGTCCAAAATTTTATTATTCAAACATTATTTTCAATGAGCGCTAAGCCGAGTCAATATTGTACAAGGAAATTGACAGAATTATTGTATGTGTTACATCATGTTGGGGTGAGTGAATCCACATGCTTGGTAACACCTCCGTCCTGACGTCGCTTCCTCCCCATTATTCACTGGTGCTTTGACTAACAAATTTCCTGCAGGGGAACTTGTGCATTGTTCCTGAAATTCACATACACAATGCGTTAAAGCCTCCAGTATACAATCCATACCTTTCCTGCCGAATACAAAGGATGACTTTTCCTCATGATTTAAGCAGGCGTATGGTCAGTCACACCCTAAAGTCCCAAAAGGGGAGCTACTGCAGTGGTCTGATGCATTCCCAGACACAGTGAGTCTGCAGGCCTGAGAGCTATTTCCTTTTAGGGGAAGTGAGTCACTGTAATAAGGCAGGGAGGGGCTCTCAGGGGACAATATCAACGCCAGGTCAGGGGCAAATGATCTGTGGTGTGCACAACACTTTTTTTTCAAGGGTTAGCTCAGTGCTATTCTTCTATTCTGCACTCAACTGTAATTCAAAGCTCATCTGTGCTGGATTTTCTCCAGAGGATGTTTCGTTTCAGTGGTTTAGGATCGCCCCGATTTTGTGGCTTTACCCTCTTAATGATAAGAGTAAATGCAGTGCAAAATGTGTGTTGGAGCATTGGATTAGCATTGGCTGTCTGCTATGAAAAGGTTACACAAGGCAGCCTTTCAAATGTATGCAGGCCTGCAAAATGATTTACATACTGGATTTTAGAGAAATGTCTCTTTGCTATTTCAGAGCAGTACCAGTTACTAACATGCTGCTTTATTTCTCAGTTTGTCATAATAGCACAACAACAACCTAACATACCATAACAGTATGAACTAAAATGTTATATTCATTGCAAGTAATTTTCTGGATTAATAATTCAAACTATAAAATGTTGGAATATTGTGAAAAATGCCAATTATAATTTTCCTGTGTCCAAGGTGATGTCACCAAACGTCTTGTTTTGTCCAACCCACACACCAAAACTCAACGATACCATTTTACCGATAGATGAGACAAAGAAAAAAAAGCAAATCATCACATTTTAGATGCTGAAAATTGGCAATGTCTGATCCTTTTGATAAAAAACAAATCTTTTAAGATTATTTGAATATCAAAATAGTCTTTTTAGGGAATTTCTGGTGGTTGACTAATCGATTAGCCAAGTAATTGTTTGGCTGTAATGTCTGTGTCGCAACGATATAGCCGTAGACATGCTTAAAAAGCCAATTTATCATATGTGGGTGATAATTCATGCAGAATCATGACTGTCCTGTAACATGTAGTTCATTCCAGCTGAGTGTTCACACTCTTTAAGGTTTTTCTGAGTTAGGAAAATGAACATTTAAAGTAACAAGTAACATTGCCTTTATTTACTTCCTGCCCTCTCTTCTTCTCTCTTTTCTCTTTTAATAGTTTTGGCCTTTCCTGCATTTCTGCTTGGAATTGACCAGAACCGTCTGAAGGAGAAACTGACAAGCAGGAAGATGGACAGCAAGTGGGGAAATGCAGTGGAGTCTATTGACGTGACACTAAACGTGGAGCAGGCATGTTACACTCGAGACGCCCTCTCCAAAGCCCTGCATTCACGTGTGTTTGACTACCTGGTCGAGGTATGATTGCACTGCTCTAAAGTTAATAAATGCACACAATTTTCATTGGTAATAAAGCTGTGGAAATATAAACCTATATTTCAGTAACAAAATTCTTTGATTTCAGTCCATCAACAAAGCCATGGTGAAGGCTCATCAGGAGTTAAATATGGGCGTGTTGGACATTTATGGATTTGAAATTTTCCAAGTAAGTCTTTTTGCCTGTTTCCAAAGCTGACACATGCCCACTGGAATTTTACTCTGCAGCAACACAGAAATTAGATTAACAGGTTTTAACTTTGAGCATTTAAACAGATTAAACACAGAGGATGAGACTAATTTATAAAGCACGTGGATTAAGTCCCATCTCCTGATTGAGGCAGCAGACTTCAACATGCTTTTCTAATCTGATTACTTGTTTGTTTAGTTTGCTTAATGAGAAGTCCTGGACCTGTCCACAGGATTGGACAAACCAAATGGAAGTGCTTTTGTATTATGTTGGTTTACAAGGAGCTCTAGATCCTAATAACAAGATTGTTAGTGTGTACCATGACACTACATAACATTATCCTCTGTAAAAAATATCTAATCTGCTCCGCTAGTTTTTTCTATCAGTTTGAATGTTTTTCTTTGTAAACACAATGTAAGTAAAGGTCAGCTGCATTTTCTATTAGACAGGAAGATGCAGAGCACTGCTGCCTAAGGCTCAGGCTCAAGGTCCATTGTATGTACACAATATAACCCTTCTTTTATAGCTCCCACTCCAAACAATGTCCACTGAGCCCAAAGATCTGTAGAGATCTGTACTCTACTGAATATAAACTCACTTACGCTGTATGGATTGTATTAACCATGTTGTCTCTTCATTAGAAAAATGGATTTGAACAGTTCTGCATCAACTTTGTGAATGAGAAGCTCCAGCAGATATTCATTGAGCTGACTCTAAAGGCAGAACAGGTAATGCCCGTACACACTCTTCTTCTTTTTGGACCTTATTTTCAATTTCCAGCATCTTCAGATGTTTCCTGCTCTGACTCTGAGCTCTCGTTGTAGGAGGAGTACGTGCAAGAGGGCATCAAGTGGACTCCTATTGAGTACTTCAACAACAAGATTGTCTGCGATCTCATCGAGAGCAAAGTAAATAAATAATAATGTATTATAAACAAACTAGAGTTCACAACTCCAACTAAGGATGCACAATTCTTAATTATATTTTCTTTTGATAGAAGTCTGAATGTGGATCTGAATATTCATTCAATCATCATCACATAATGGACAATGATGGGTAGAGATAAAACAATTACGTCATTAACAGAGGCATTTTTATGTCATTTTATAGTCCAAAGGATTAATTGGTTAATCAAGAAAGCAATCGTCAGATTAATCAATAATGGAAATAATCATTATTCCCTGCATCAACCCACTGTAACTGGAATATGAACAGTTAACAGTTTTTTTTCTAATAAACATTTGTTAGTTTTATTGTCCTCATATTGTTAACTGAGTTGCACAAGTTCCCGCCAAGTTTCTGCTCTGTTGTCATGACTTGCAGCTTTATATCCTCAAATGTGCCGACACGCCTCTTAATTTGATTTATCTGTCCCACTGAGAGGTCTAATCCATGAAATCCACAACAAGGGCTTTAAACAAGCCTCCATCTGAGAGGAGCAGGGGATCTGTATCAGTGCCTGACAGTCCAGCTCTTTACACCAGACACACTTTAGTTAATCCAGTGACAGAGACTTGTGTTCTTTGAGTTGAGACACTGTTACCACTGTGCAAACTGCAGGCCACTGATCAACTTTGGACATAATGGAGCCAAAGAGCAGAGTGTGAGAGTGATGTTTGAGAGAGTTATCCTTTAGATGCTCATTTAATGTCAAAAATAAAGATTCTTCATGTGTTTGTATGAAATATTTTACACTGACTTATAGTTTGGTAAAAGATAAATTGGCCCAGTTGCTGAACTGAACCTTACTATGATTTTCCATTATGTTAGACGGTTTTTCATAATACCCACTATTAGTCATCAACCTGTAATATTCTTCACATATTAGAGCTGCAGCTAACAACAATTGTCAACACTGATTAATCAGCATGTTAAATTGTGGATTAATCATTTAGTCTATTCAATCCCAATCCCAATTTCCCAGAGCCTGAGAGGTGACACTTAAACTGTCTTGTTTTATCCGACCAACTATTCAAATAGCAAAGTTAGTTATTAGTTTTACATTGAAGAGTTTTACATAGAAGAGTAAGAAAACCAAAACCAACAGATTCTGGTTCATTTTAGAAGTTGGAACTACTTCATTTTTAGCATTTTTTTTTTTTTTTTTTGCTTAAAGGATTTAAATGATAGTTGATCAGCAAGCTCTATCAGCTCTTTCACATATTAAACCTTTGGCTTTATATTTTATTACCTGACTTTCTTCCTCAGTAATTACAAATCAAACAGCAAGAGGTCAAAAATGAACTTCAGGATATACTATATGTGAGCTAGTAACTGTCGGAGCCCAGTGTCGCGATACGAATGTGACATGTTTTCCTTGTGTTTCCTCAGAATCCCCCTGGCATCATGAGCATCCTGGATGATGTGTGTGCCACTATGCACGCAGTGGGCGAAGGTGCCGACCAGACAATGCTGCAGAAGCTCCGAGTCCAGATCAACACCCACGAACACTTCAACAGCTGGAACCAGGGCTTCATCATCCACCACTATGCTGGCAAGGTCAGCTTGAGTGCACTTAGCTCTGCCTATGTTTGCAGGGGAGATCTTTATGAACACACACAGAGAAACAGCTTTTACAACATTCAATATGAGGTTTCCAGCAACTCTATGCACTTGTCTTTGCTGTGGTATCAACTGTAAATTAATATTTTATGCATACAGTCTACAGTAGGGAGCTGATGGTAACTTCTGGAAATAGAAGCTTATTAAAATGTCATTCTTTATGGTGTTGGTGTGGGAGCTGTTTCTGTCGCTCCCCGCTTGTATGATCTGTCATAAATACCAGTTATGCAGCTGGTTCTTTAATTCTGGAGTTTGTGTCGTCATCTTTGTCCTTTTAAGTTTTCCATTTTTAAACTTACGCCCCTCTCTCCTGCAACTCCCTTCTCTCTCCTTTGACTATTTATGGTTGCAGTCCCATCTCTGTATGTAATGATTTCTAACGTCATACATTTTGATCAGCTTTATTTCAGTTATACATTATGGTTCATTAGAGATCTTTGTTTCACGTTCATTTTCATTTTGGTGGTCTAGGCCAAGGTTGTCCCATGTCATTCACCAGATGTGTGGTGGCCGCAGCCTGGTACACATGCCGCAGGCTTAATGAGCCGTACCATAAAGACTTAAGGGGCTCCCATGACCGGGCTCAAAACATTCCCCCAGTCTCAGCTGACAGTATAGCAGAAATAACATGGTTTAATTTATACACTTTTAAACCACTGCTGGTTTTATAAGGACGCTAATCCAAGGAGGTGTAAAACTTGGAGCTGCAACCCCTCATTTTCTTTTCCCATAAAATTCAAGCCGCTGATTTAGGTCAGAATATCAGTTACCATTTTTAATTTCACACAGGTGTCGTCTTTCATTTGCTGGAGGTTTCATTTATGACTCTTTCAAATTCTTCCTCTGTGTGTCTCCTCCAGGTGTCCTACGACGCGGACGGTTTCTGCGAGAGGAACCGAGACGTCCTTTTTACTGACCTCATTGAGTTGATGCAGAGCAGTGAAATGTAAGTAACTCCTATTTGCTCGTTGCACCAACAGGTGGTGACTTGAAGGGAGTCTTCTATAGTGACGCGTATGGCTATAATTGAATACATCTGAATGAGAGCTTCAGACGTTCCAATGCATCTGGAAGCTGGCGGGAACGTAGCAGAAGTGTGCGGGGCGGGGTTACGTCTCGCCCTTTGCCCTCAATCACGTCTTGCTGCTGTCCCCTAAATGCAGCTTTTGGGGTCTGCTCAGGCTGGCCTTAAAAGTGCAGTCTCCCTGCGGGGATACATTGTGGAGTCTGGTCCCACTGTGTTTTGGTTTCTTGGCCTTTCTTTGTGTCAAAGTGGCCATCTGTGCAAACAGCCTGCATTGTCTGTGTAACCCCCCCAGGCCTCAGCCACTGCTCGCCCCCTTTTGTGGGCACGTTTTGTGAGGCGTGAAAGGAGCTTATGCCAAAGTCCCCTTCAGACACGTGCTGGAAAATACATACGTGAACTTCACCTTACATACGCACAAACATATATACGCACATAGATAAAAGACTTTGGCACACTCACACATAAAGGATGCATGAGAAGGAAGGAAGCAGCCTCATTCCTTTGAGCAGCAGGTCTGAAGAGAGAAGAAAGGAGTGACCAGTATTGTCAGCTGGACAATATTAGCAGACTTCTGGTCTGTTTGTACACACAACCTGCTGATCCTTTCTTCTGTGTCCATAGCCCCGAGTCTGAAGTTTAAAATCAAACAAATACTGATGTGGGAGAAAGCCAGAAATTAGAAAAAAATACCAACATGAAAAAGCACTTTGAAATAATAAAATAATAAACACCAAAGGCGGCGACAGAAGCAAGTTGAAATAAGTTGAATGCTGAGCAGCTGTACGTGTCAGCTTTAGACCAAGCCTGATAATCTCCACGTTGTTATGATATTTTTCAAAGAATTTCAAAAACAGCTGACACAGTTCAAAAGGAGCCTGAATGTGAGAGCATGTGAGATTTGGTTTTGATGAGATACTATTTACTATGAGATAGTATTTGTATGGGGTGTGTTATTGAAATAAAAGATTAAACCTTCACCTTCACTGTATGTATATAGCTGTAAACTAAAAGGTGCTCAAAAGTACAAATTTCCTCTGAAAATATGCTTGAAATAAGTTGAGTGTCTTCAGTTGAGAGAAGCACGAAGATGGAAACTTCTCAAATATCTGCGACATTCTGACCAGCAGCAACACATCATAGTGTAGTGATGACGTCGCTATAAAATACCTCACCTACAAATTAAAAAAAAATATATATATTAATATATTCAGGCCTTTGAGGAGAAAGTGGAGAGTTTTATGTCAAGGATATTGTATTTTAGTGCTGATGTATTGTTTCTCTCTCAGTATTTTGGAGGTATGAATAAAAGGCTTGTGTAAAGTGTCATCTACCTCCTGAATCCTGTATCTTCATCTCCGAGTCTCAGAAAACACTGTTACCAAATGCTTTTAAAGAGCAAAAGGCCAAAGTGCAATCAAAAGTAATTCATTGCTTAATTCAACCGAGTGTGCTGTCATATAATAGCAGCATATATTCCTCTATACAGCGGTGGCACTGGGGAGAGTTGCTGCAAATAGAGGTGCTTGTACAAATAATAAAGGCTCAAGCTTCCATCCTGCCTACATTACATTACCACCAACACACACACACACACACACACACACACACACACACACACACACACACACACACACACACACACACACACACCTCTTGTTTTCCCATCGGCTCCCAGCTCAGACCTTCCCAAGCGGTTCAGGAATTTAAACCAATGACCTTAGTCAAATGTCCTTGGGTCTTTAACCATTAACTGGATTTTCTGTTTTGGGCAGCCAGGAAAGCTTGACACATTTTATTTTAGGCCTACCACACTTTGTTTTTGTTGCTACGGGGATGATACCAGCCTTTCTGCATCAGTACTTATTCAGTCTCCTTCTTTTGTCTTCTGGCAGCGCCTTCATCAGAGCACTGTTTCAAGAAAACCTCAATGCTGAAAAGAAGGGTCGACCCACAACTGCAGGCAGCAAAATAAAGGTGTGTGTTCAGTTAAGTTTATTTGTGCGTGTACCTGTCCCTCTTCCTTATCAGGGTCGCTGTGGGAACAGCCTTTGAAAAGAAAATGTGTGTGTTTGCTATTCACTGGAGTGTCCTTCAGCATTCCCTGTCAGAAAAGAGCCAGTAATTCAGTCATGACTTTGGCATTGTTATCATCATCAGGCTCATCATTATCTTCTTCCCCTTTCTTGATATTTCCTCTAATTGCACTTTGTAGAGACAAGCCAATGATTTGGTGAGCACACTGATGAAATGTACTCCACACTACATCCGCTGCATCAAACCTAATGAGACCAAGAAGCCCAGAGACTGGGAAGAGAGCCGGTAAGTGATTGATTCACTGATTCATTCCTCACAGTCACACATGCAGACCTTTAAACCACGCAGGGCCTGTACATATTAAACATCTCTGCATTCCACGTAAGAATGCTCTGAAAAACCAAATTAGTAAGAGGAGAGTGATCACATGACTGATCACATGACTGATCACATGCGTGCTCTGAGCAGGAACTCCCAGCCAGAGACAAGGATTTACCATCCATCTGCCATATTGTTCAGTCTTTCAAAATAAATCCTTACAGTTTACTCAGTGATGTTTTTCTGCAAAAACATATGATTTTTGATGCTATTTTTAGTTATTTTTAAGTTATTATTATCTGCGTAAATTCCTTAAAAACTCTAGTTGCAATTAACACATTAAATAAATAACAATCAAATATATTTATGATATATAAATAAGGATGAAATGACAGAAAATTGACTGAAATTAAAAAATTCTGCCACAGGTGGAGGAGCAAGATCAGAGAAAACTGTGTAGACAACAAATATGCTTGGAAAGTGATTGCAAACAACATAAATATAAGCTTAATTCTCGTTATTAGCACCCTTGATAAATGAAAAGAGAAAGACAATGTGACATCATATCACATGTTCAAATCAAAATGCAAATAGTATATTAAAATGAGCCTGTAATATTCCTTCAGCTAATGTATTATTCATTATGACCAATGATATTTTGTGCAATCACTCTTTCACTTAAATCCAAATTTTCACAGTTTGATAAACACAGTCCCGGGTCTCTAGCTGTTCTCACACAGAACGTAAACACTGGATCATTGTTCTGATTTGTTTTGCCTTCACCCTTTTTGTTTTTTTGCTGTTTTTTTATTTTTTTTAATGTTTTCGGTCCGTCTGAAGACTTAGTCATGTGAGACGTGTTAGAAACATTCCCCCCTCTTAATCCCTTTGTCTCAGTTTCCCGCTCTTTCTTCCCGGCTCACAGGCTCTCGGCACTACATGTTCAGATGTAGACTGCTGCTGTATTGTTCAGAGCCTATGACCTTCCTGTTGTGAGTCCGGCACAGGGTGGCACATTAATTAGCACCGGAACCACTGTTTTCACAGGAAGTCTGAGTGTACTAAGTAGTACTTAAGGTCTTTGTTTGAGGAAAAAGTCCGCAAAATGCAGCTGTTTTGCATACAATGACCTGTGATAACCCCTTCCGCTGGCGGAGTGGGGTTGTGGGGTTGCTTCTTGTGCTGTAGACCTGGTAAAAGATGTTTGAGTCAAAGTTGGTAGCTGATATCTCTAATACCGATGGTAAAATGCAAGGTAGTTGTCATGAATACAAAAATATCACATTGTCAAATGTAGAAAACAAAAGCTTTTTATAATGAAGTAGGATATGAAAAAAGGAAGGAAGTAGAAAAACCAGCATGAGTAAACTTCCATCAATACAATACCACATTCAGAGGGGTCAGTGGTCAGCCTGTCCAGAATGAGTATATATTGTGTTTTACTCCCATTCAAAGCTGAAACGATTAGTCGATCAACATAAAGTTAATTGCTAATCATTTTGATAATTGTTTAATTGTTCAAGTTATTGCCAGAACCGAGAGAGGCTTTTTACTTTTATCCTGATGTTGATCCTGAGTCCTTCTTCTCTTATCCTCAGAGTGAAGCATCAGGTGGAGTATCTGGGTCTGAAGGAAAACATCAGGGTGAGGCGTGCTGGCTACGCCTACCGCAGAATCTTCAGGAAGTTCCTCAACAGGTAACAGTTTGACTGTGATTTGGTTCAAAAGTAGGTGTGCGTCTGCTTGATATTCACGCCAATATTTCTTTTTTCAGTATTCCACCTCGGTATTTCCACCACCATTTACAGTCAGTCAGTCATGGTTTTTTGTGGCGTCGCTTGCCTCATGTTACCTTTCATAACATGTTTCCAATAAGTTCCACACACTGAGGTGTACAGATTTTTACCCCGAGTTTAGGTACTGGAATCGGACACAGGAGAGAAAATGTTGGATTAGTAGAACACCAACATTAAAGTTCGTTCAGCTTGGAACCTGTGTCACATTATGTAAATAATCCCCCCTCCAAACCTGCGCAACCACCCCTCCTTATGTGAAATTCTTTGTCTCTGCTAAACTCTATATTCCTCAGGTACGCCATTCTTACCAAAGAGTCCTGGCCAACGTGGCGAGGAGACGAGAAACAAGGCGTCCTTCATCTCTTACGGTCTGTCAACATGGACCAGGATCAGTTCCAGCTTGGTCGCACCAAGATCTTCATTAAAGCCCCTGAGTCGGTACGTTTGTCATCTTCCTCTCACTCAGACTGTCACGTCTTCTGTTCTTTTGCTTAGTTTCTGCTCTTTGTAATACCACGTCTTTATAAGAAAGCTTTCCAGGAAAATGTACTACAGAGCAAAAACTTGCATGCCAACTTTTTGTTCCTGTATAGATGTAAAATTCAAATCACATGTCAAAACGTCTGCTGGCATGCAGAGCTCTGTGTGTATGCAGAGAAAAAAACTGAACTCACCATTTTTAAACTACACACCATAAAAGGGCACTAATGTCCCAAATCGTACTCGATTCCTTGTTGGAGGGGAGGAGATTGAACCCGACCCTTGTACCACGTCAGCACTGAGTCAACACCACTTTGGAGCTAAAACACAAGCACAGGCTGTGGTTGCAGAGTTTGGGGGGGACATCATAAAGGCTTGTCTTTTTCCACCATAACTACTTTTTTCATGATTCCTATGAAAGCAGCACTTGTGTGATGCCTGCGCTCTCACTTATTAACATTTGTACACATCATGCACGAATGAGCATGCACGTGCACACACATAGATGTATGTTTAGACGCTTATACACAGACATCTTAGTCTTAATTCAGGCCTTACAGCTGATCCTGAATGCCTTTACTTATTCATTGCAGCCATGCACTGCCAAGAGCTTCTCCCATCCCCCCACACTGCCAGACTGAGAGTCCAAGTCATTGAGGTGTGCTTATGAAACGCAAATATCACTCAGGGCGAACCGCTGAAATGAGCTGCCAGGCTTCTCAAAACAAGTCTCTCTGTCTGATAAGACACTGACACCAGCTAATTAGTTGTATGACTGAAGCTTTTTCTTTGCTGGATGGAATAAGTTTAAGTTTGTTTGACGCCAAGCCAGATGTTGGAGAAGAGTTTCTCCCCCAAAGTGGTGATGGATGAGCTGATGGTTCACTGTCCGTCACAGGTCTCACAAGTTCTGCGTTGAGGCAGAGTTCAGGCTAAAGAGAGTTGTCATTCATATGTGAATATATGTTTGCCAGGGTTATGATATCGATTTTAAATTTATCTTGAAATTATTTTCAACAAGACGTCATTCATTGTACAGACTGAACACTTTACTTTAAATCCCTCTATTTAACATTTATAAGCAGCATACACATAATTGAAGAATGGTTTATAATACTCCATAATATGGTTGTAAACAGCTGTAAGAACATTTAAATGTTTATTATTGAACAGCATACATTAATAAACATAATATCCAGTATTTATATCTTCTTAAAACTACATTATAATGTGTTTTAAACCGTTTATTAAATGTTTATATGGTTCTTATAAATGCTGACTAGCTCATTAATCAATGAATCACACAAATAAATAAATAAATTTGTATGTTTTCTTTAGATTGAAACTAATCTTTAGTTGCAGTCCCAGTAATAGTCATTTCTGCTTTGGAGTTAAGTGCCAGTTAGGTGTTTGTGTGATATTAGGAAATCTGAATATATATTTTTTTTTACCTCCCACTCACTTTATTTTTTCCTCTGTGAGCTAAATTCACATCCATGTAATATCAACTAAAACCCCACCTGCTGTTTGGTTTTGGATTTGTCATCTTCCGGTGAAAAACCCTGAAAACTCTGATTGCGTAGTGTCGTTCGGTGACTCAGAACATTTTTCTCCTCACAGCTTTTGTAGTTGGAAGTTTGATCTGTCACGATGTGTTTGGACCTTGCTTGTGGTTCGTTCCTGTCCTGTCACACTGCGGCCTGTGGCTGGCCGTGTCGATGCCAGGCCTGTTAGTGAGGCAGTAGGCAGGATGTTTAGTCTGGGAGGGAGAGGACAGAGAGTGTGATTGCATGTCTAGAGGCCCATCGGGAAGAAGACTGGTGGTCTTTTGGCACAGAGTCAGCTCCTTCTGCAGAAAGTGGTGAAATTACTTTACAGCCCAAGAAGAAAAATAATTATTTTTTGAAATAAATTTACAGAACAACATGGTACAATGACAATGTGTGATAAATATTGTACAGTACAAAAACAATGAACAGATCTGAAATCAGAATTATTTAAAACATTTGAAAGTATTGCACTTTTCACACACACACCAGTTGGTACATTGTTGCTCTACAGCTCAGCAGATACCAGCGTGACTACTGTGATTCCAGTACTGAACAATTTGATACAACCAAACCGCTGGTCCTGGTGTCAGATAATGACTCTGACTGAACAGTAGTTTGGAGTAAAACCTTCATTCTTACACTGAAAAAAAAAAAAAAAAAAAAATCAAAACATCATCATTGACAGCAGAGTTTTCTGTATTCAAACGTACACCTGTATGTTCAGTAGGTGAATCTTCCGGTGCGGTTATTCCTTCCGTTCAGTCTGTTTAGGTGTGTCTCTGTTTGGGTTTGTGCACTGAAGTACAGTATGTCTGTCCTTTACTGTGTGTTGTGCTGAGTCTCTGCGGTTGTCTTCACAGCTCTTTCTGCTGGAAGAGACAAGGGAGCGCAAGTTTGACGGCTACGCCAGGACCATCCAGAAAGCCTGGAGGAAATATGTCGCCTGCAAGAAATACGTCCAGATGAGGGAAGAAGGTGAGTGAAGTAACATCTTACAGCTTTATTTGTCTCTCCGCCTGTCTCCCTCTTCCTCACTCTCTTCTCTGTCTGGATTCATCTAGCCTCTGACCTGCTGTTGAACCGGAAGGAGAGGCGGCGACACAGCCTCAACAGAAACTTTGTAGGTGACTACCTGGGTATGGACGACAGGCCTGAGCTTCGAAACTTTCTGGCAAAGAGAGAAAAGATTGACTTTGCGGACAAAGTCACAAAATATGACCGCCGGTTCAAGGTTGGTTTTCTTCAGGCTTGTCTGCAGCCTGTTTCTTTGGCTCAAGAGCTAACAAAACATTTATGGATCTGTTGTGTGTTTTTTTTTTCTCCCATGTTTAGGGAATTAAGAGAGACTTGATCCTGACCCCAAAATCAGTGTACCTGATTGGAAGAGAAAAGGTGAAACAGGGACCGGAGAAAGGGCAGGTGACAGAGGTGCTGAAGAGGCGGGTTGATGTGGAGAAGATCTTGGCGGTGTCACTGAGGTATGAACCACTCGCTGCCTCAGGGTATTCCCAGCAGCCACATGTTCCTTATACTGTCCAATCATTTATAACCACTATAGGCAAACAAAATCCATCCATATAAAAAAAATTGGTGCTCACTCTATCTACATAAGTCAACTTTAAGCACTGCTTCCTGCTCCTACACCACCTCCTGCTTTCCAGTAAATATAACCCCTGCGACATGACAATCTATTGTTGCTTAATTGTTCCACTGATATTTTTCCGTACCACTTTGTCTTAAATGTGATTTTAAATTAGATAAAAGAGTTAAAAATATAGAATATCATCTTCTCAAATTCCCCCCCTGCTCTGCTGAATACAGTGAAACCTGACCATGCCTTTATCTCAAAGCTGACGTCCTGCATCTCACAGCTCTTCCTGGGAGACAGAGCTCCCCAGAGGCATTATGGGTCCTGATGACCGAACAGAAAAATGAACACAGCCATGCTGCCATCATATATATGCCTTTACTCCTCATGTCTCTCAAGATTGAATTTGTCCTTCTATGTGCTGTTGTGAACATGTTGAGCAAAACAGCAGGCAGTGAGGTACCAGTAGGTAATGATTTGTTTCCAAAACATGACAACAGCTACTCAACATGCAGCTGAGGCAGAGGGCAGAGACCCAACATATAATCTGTAGACACTGCACTGCAGAAAGTCATGAATCTACTTAAAAGCCACAGTCTGGATTTCCAATCACACAAGCTCCCATGTTGCTGTAAATGTCACACAAGGGACATTGGAAACATGTGGAGTGTATTAAAACTACCTCTTGTATATACTGCGTGTCCGTCCCTTTGTATGCGCAGGTCCGACTTGGAACAGTTTGGTCAACATCTCAGAAATGTTGCTGAAATAAGATGCAGTCAAAAAACACTCTCATGAAAGAATGCAGAGTGGTTTACTACAAAGAAAGGAAAAAAATAAAAGGAACTGAAAGACTTGTGGGGCCTTTGTTGTTGATGGGAACACTGTGTAACTTGTTTCAGAGGTAGAAATCACAGAGCTGTTGGTGCGAGCATGTGGCTTTTGAGTCACTGGGGTAATGTGGACCAGGTGGTGCAATGAACGAAGGCAGGAGTTGTAAAAAGCTCATCAGAGAAAAACTCCACTTCACTGGGAGGAACAAAGTATCTTTGTGTGGGTTACGGGCACAGGCTGTCTTCCCTCTTCAGATGTGAGCTGCTTTGTGAGGCTCCCTCTGTGTCTATGCAAATGTGAAAGATGATCCTGACTCTCCATCTTAGCTTTTATCAAAGCTGAACAGAGAGCAGGATAAAATCAACACAACAACTGTGTGAATGTCATCTTTCTTCACATACCCTTAGTGAGATGTCTTTTTGATCACATCTAATGTCAGGGTTTTAAATTTTGCATCAGATACGAGCCTTTTACTGAATAATTTCTTCATGTTTTTCAGCACGATGCAGGATGACTTCATGATCCTGCACGAGCAGGAGTACGACAGCCTGCTGGAGTGCGTCTTTAAGACAGAGTTCATCAGCTTACTGGCTCGTAGGTTTGAGGAGAAAACTCAGAGGAAGCTACCACTCAAGTTTAGTAACACGTAAGTAAACACATGCAATGTAATCCAAACCAGTGTGGAAGTTACAATAACAAAGTACCCAAATCAACCACAATGTGACCATATGCATCTTCCTCTGTTCCTCAAATTTGCATCTTATTGTTGCTGTAAAGGTAATGTCTTCTTAGTGATGCTGTCCCTGTTCACAGCTTAGAAATATATAAAGTTAAATCTATGTCATTCTCAGACTGGAGATGAAGTTGAAGAAGGAGAACTGGGGCTTCTTGAGTGGAGGCGGCTCCCGGCAGGTCATGTTTGTCCAGGGTCAGGGAGACTTGCCTGTACTGAAGCCTTCGAGCAAATCCCTGCAGGTCAGCGTCGGCCCCGGGCTTCCCAAGAATACACGTGAGTATCAACAGACCCGTTCTCACAGTCAGCCATGATAACGTAGACCTGAGGTGTGAACCAAAGTCACATGGTGAGGTGGAGTCATGAATTTGACTATGTCAGACTTGACCCAGCACAAAACAGTCTCAGTAGCAGACTTCACGTTATTTACTTGTCACTTGGTCCCATCTCTACCACATACACATGCATCTCCTCTCCATCTCCGTTCCCTCTCAGTTATGATGATTGTAGTTAATCATGTTAATCTGAATGGCAACTCTTTTTACATTTTGCTTATTTGCTGAAAATCTCATCCTCAGGCCCCACCAGGAAGAACATTACTCAGGGTCGCTCCAGCGCATCCAGAACCCACCAGAACATCCCATCACGGGCTGCACCTGGACCTCCAGGTACAGTGATCACATCTCACAGTGTTTGAGCAGCTTGTCTTCTATCCACATGGACCATTTATAACACAACATAACCAATCCACATCTCTTTTTTTTTCCTCTTCTTTCTTCTTTTCTGCAGTTGCTCACCAGAATGGTGGCCTGAAAAACTCCAATCACGTAGCCAATCAGAGAAACTCACAGCATCACAACCAGAGGCATCCCTCATCCAGCAACTCAACGCGCCCCTTCCTGCCCAGCAACATCAACCAGCTGAAGGAGCGAGGCGGCAGCCGGCCGCAGCCAAACCTGGACTGTCTGAAAGTGCCTGAACAAGGAGCTGCAGGGTGAGAAACTGGAAACCCACACAGTACATGCAGGAGTAGACAAATTAACATACACACACAAAACGTGTCAGGAGAAAGGACTTCACTATTACTGCTACAAGGATGGGTCATATTAGGTCGAATGGAAATTTGTCAACCCTGCATACTGCAGCAAACGTTTATCATATCTCTGTTAGTGTCGTCTTGTGACAACCCTTCCTGTTTATCTCTGTCTGGCTTACAGTATGTTGTTGTGATTTTTGAGACTCCTCCCCTTCATGCAGTAAATAGGTTTACAGTTTTCGTTTTAATCTGGGTACTCTGGGAGCTCTGTTTGATATCTTGTGTAACTTTGTGTTACACAGCTGTATCTGTCGAGTTTCATGCGTCTCACACAGTTTTGTTGACATCTCACAGCGCTGAAATAAAAATCCCAGTGTCACACTAAGAACTGAAAATAACAAGTGTGTGTTGTGAGAGATAAAAACGCTGGTCTGTGACAATCACAAGCAACAAAGTGGCAGAGCAAGTTTTGTTTCCATTGGCACTGAGAGCAATTTGTTGGATCGTTGGTGTTTCAAGTTCAACACCAAGGTGAAAACTTCAATTTGATGATTTGAATTTGTCATTTTTCAAGAAGACCAGACCCCCTTCTCTGTTTCCATTACAGTTAAGTCGAAAGATATAACTCGTACATCAACTCATATATCAGTTAATAGCAGACAAGTGCTGCCAATTGTCTTTAAATCTAATATGGCCAAACGTTGTAGCAGTGTGATTCAGTCACTTCAGGTTTAAAGTCCTTTTGGATGAGGTGTTTACGCGATTGCGTCCACACTGTATGAATAAATGTATGAACTCACATAAGAATCTGTAGGATAATTTATATCTTATATAGACTTGATTTCCACATATCTTGACTAACGTGTATGTTTTAACAATAAAGGGAACAGCATTCCTTTATAAAGTGATAAGATTAGATAGTATAGGAGTAAATGTTAGTATGGCACAGGGTCTCACTTCACATGCACAACTGTTAAATGTAAATAGGCAGCTTAGACACACACTAATACACGTACTTGTGTTTCTGTAATTTGACATAATTTGGATAATTTATTCTTTTGTAGTCATGGAGACAGACGGCCAGCTTCAAATGGAGGAATGTGAGTTGGAGTGTTTGCAGTGTTTTGGGTGGTGGTTCAGGACTAGCAAAGCTTTCAGCAGCAGGACATGTTGATGCTTCTTCTCTTGTACATTTTTGTTTCACATGCAAATAAGGCAAAGTTCAGCCTTGTTAAAGGAGCCGACTGTAGTATGCAACTAATATTTCATTTTCTGCTGCTGCTCAATTTCATTGATATCAAAGGGGAATTCTTTTACAATTCACCTGAGTATGTTTGATCTTTCATTTCTGTGATGAAAGATCCATGAAGGAGTTCTTTTCAGTGAAAGAATCCCTGCTGTGCACCTCTTCAGATGGCTCATTTGTAATCAGGGATCCTGTTTACCAAAGAAATAAACATAAAAGATGAAAGTTGCTTTCAAGTACACAGGCATCACTGGAAGCATATATATTTTTTATTCAGTAAATGCATATATTGTATAAACCAACTACTTTACTATCTGCTTACTGCTCCCTGGGGTGATGCCATTTAAACTACTTGATCCTCAGCTAGTGAAGTAGTTCCTTGTCATAGTCTTCTATACTATATTTGCCATTGTGTTAAAGAATAAGTTGAAAAGATGATATACTGTATAAGAGGTATACTTACAGGGTTTTGCCAGTAAATGAACACAGCCAGTAAACAGAATAATAAACTGAGATCTTAAAGGTACCACTGACGCCGGATCAACACTTTTCTGAAAGGCTTCATTTTTTAGTCTCACTTCCTCTGCACAGGCAAAGATATAGCATGCACTAGATCACCATCTTGTGGCTGATTTGTGAACTGTACGTTCTGTTAAATGAAGCAGGATGCATCATTTAACTACACAAACAAGTGTTTTTTTTTATGCTCCTTCATTCTGTGTCCGGCACATTTATCCAGGAGGATTTACAGTTTCCGTCAGGTGAACATATAAAAAACAAAAAAAAAACACACACCTTGCTTTTTGAACTTGATTACAATGTTGACAACAAAAAAAAAAAAAAAAAATCAACATTGGTTTTCATTCAGTATAACAAGATGGTGATTATGCATGCACTTGTATTTGGAATATAATCTATAACATTTTAATGTCCCATAAAAAAACTTGGGTACTTCTGTGTTACCTTCACAGCCACTGCAGCACAGTGAGCTGAATCTCTCATTTAGTGTCCTCCTGTAGGCAGATCGTCCTGACAGCTGTGTGGTTTCTCTCTTTGTCTTATGATACCCCAGAGCCCACAGACCATCGGCCAGCAGGCCTCCGCCGGGAGGAGGACGACCCAAACCTGCACCCAAACCCAAACCCCAGGTGCCCCAGTGCAAAGCTTTGTACGCCTACGACGCTCAGGACACAGACGAGCTCAGCTTCAATGCTGATGACATTATCGACATCATCAAAGAGGGTAAGCGCATGACAAGATGGCATTTAAAGTGATGTTTTCAGTCTGAAAAAGAACACTAACTTAGTCATGTTTGCTGATCAGATGCATCCGGATGGTGGACAGGACGACTTCGTGGAAAGCAGGGACTTTTCCCCAACAACTATGTCACCAAGATCTAGGAGCTGCCGGTTCACAGCACGAGGAGGAGAGCCTCCTGCGTCACCGCGGACCCTCTCAGAGGACAGGATGGAGCTTACAGTCGGAGAGAGAAGCACTGTGAGATTTCCCGAGGAGAGAAACTCACACTTCCCCCACCTCTGCCTTGTGGTAAATGAATGTAACTCTCGGTTACACCACCAAACCAAAAGGCCGTCAGGTTTGAAATGAGGCTCTGCTTTAAAGACAAGAAGACTGTTTGACTCCGGGGTCTGTTTTCCTCCACAGTCCCTTTGAGTACTGAACAAAACTATTTATTGTATTTATAGCTTTCTGTGTTCTCCTCACTGTCATTTATATCTTGCTGAGGATTTGCGCTCAAACATTTTGAAGCGTTGGAATGAAGTATGCTTAATCTGTGGGACCAGGCTGTGATTTTTATTTTCAACATGTCGTCTTTGGATGAAGGTTTGATTGCTGAAGCAAAGGTGGTTGTCTCAGTGTCAAAACTGTAGAGACTGCTGTTTTACCAGGTATATTTATTTTGGTGCAAAACTGTAACTACTTCTCGGGAACGTACATTCAGTAAATCACCACACTGTGATTATTGTAATGATTTTAAATACCAAAGCAATGTAAATTTTCACGTAAGACAACACGGCAAAGTGGTGAATCACCTGGAAAACCACCTTCATCTTTGTTTTTTGTTTTTTTTGTTGTTGTTTTTGTTTTTCTATCACACCAGTATATGTTAGACACAGAGTAGAGGCCGTGTATACTGTAACCTGAGCATGCTGTCTGTGGTGTATTAGCACTTTATTGGTATAGGTACTACCTTGGATACAGACATCGTCACTCGTTCATGCCACAGCCAGTAAGTCACGTCTATGAAGGACAGATTGCCAAGCTAGCAATAAGCCTAGTTACTGAGGAGAATAAGTTGTTTACATGAAATGATAAAAAACAGGCATTTTAGATCTGATTCTGTATATGTGTTCATATTTAGGAGTACGCCTGTTGTTGGTTAGATTTTTAAATTAAATTTTTTTGTATTTTATCTGAAGGATCTTAGTATTCTATTTTTTTCTGCTTTTGATACTCACAGGGCTGCTTTATTTCTAGTTCAGTTACAAATAGATAAAAATGGTTATCACACACTAGGGTTAATGGATTTTTGTCTTGTCAAGTGCAAAAGTTGTTTTAGGTGAAAGAATTTTGTTACCATTTTTCTGTGGCACTACAAAGAATTCCTTTTGCTTCTGCTCGACTGTTTCTGCACATCTCTTGCACTGCTGTTGCATTACTTACACATTCCTGAGTAATTTGTTATTTCATTAAATAACCACATTATGCTCTAGTCAGTAAACATTGCTGGGACTTCTGTCATAGATCTTCTGCATCATCAAATATAGTTTGATCTTGGATGGTTGAAAACATCCTTGTGCAATACAAGACAGTAGATGAGTCTTTTAATAAAGCATGTAATATTGTATATTTAACTGCTTTTTTGTTTTATTAAAGAGAACCCATTAAATGAATAATGATCAATCTGATGTTTATGTTTATTGCCATATCCACCTGCCATCAAGACTGCAGTCCAGCCTTTTAGAAATACATAAAAACCATTAGTTCAGGCTACTACAGACACATTCTGACCAGACCCCACTAAATCTGGAAGTTTTTTTTTGCTGAGCTACTAAAACTAATAGTTTTTGGCAAATGTGGTTGTTAGAGGAGCCACACAATTTCTTCATTTTTTGACTAAAGTGGTCAAATTTAAGAACATTTAGTGCAAATGGCAATGGGGGTAAAAAGCAAGGCATAACAACATTTCTGCGACACCTTTCACGAAGCTGATGGAGGCATTTTGTTTCAAATTAACACAACTGGTCTTTTTCATGGAAAACATAATGACATGCCACAGTTGGAAAATTGATAATGTCACACTGTCATAACTTATTGGGACACTTGAAGAGACAGAGCCATCATTAATGTTATCAGTAACACCTCTGCTTTTCTTACCATGACATGTCTCAGTGTCTCCTGTGAAAACAATCTTTTTGCAGCATCAGTGTTTGGATTATTGATCTTGGGTGAGTACCTGTAGAGAAACCTAGCCAGGATGCAAATCAAATCATTTCTGATAGAGGTGGACATGGATGGCAGGTTCCTTTACTGCTAACTGATTCCCACTCCCTAAGTATATGAACATAATGGAATATGAACTGTAATTGAACACAAGCTTAATTTGCCCTGGCTGTTCACCTGCTGCTGCAGTGCAACAAAATCTTTCATTCATTCATAATTTGCCACTGGTGTTGTGTCATTGGTGGAATGAGTGGATCCTACAGCACGACTGTGTAGTGAACAACAAATCAGATTTGATGCTGTGCAGACTGTCTCTTAATGCAACTACAACATGTAGATCTACGCCCACAGTATATGTTTTCAGCCATTATTTCCAGTCTCTTAACATCTCCCTTCTACTCAGACATGAGGCTACTCGTCTTTCCAGCTCTGCTGAGCTAATCATACAGAAGAATTCTGATTCATACACATATAAATTTCCATCCCCCAAATGTACAGCTACATTAATGTTTAGTATCACTTGCTACTGATTTGGTTTGGTTTACATGTCACTTTGTTAGAATAAACAACACAATTTGGTCTTAAGGTCGGGGCAGGACACAGTATCATGAATCTAATGAAATCAACAAACGTTTCCCTTTTTCATTTATTCATTGTCACATCTTTAATTTGGTACAGTTTGTCTCTCAAAGAGTCCTTTGTGCTCCACTGTGATATCCATGGTGTGTCATGTCCACCCTGGGGCTGCAGTAGGTATTGCACCTGGTTTTCTGTCATGACTTTTGTTGAGTTAAAGTCTTAACTCAAGGCAGTACAGCCATGAGTTTTGCTGCTACGACCTTACTCTGTCTGGTACGACCAGTGGAAACCTCAGATAGATTTTGCTGTATAACTGACATGACTGTTTGTTGACTTGTACTACTGTTACACAACAGACTAGCATTTATCATCATTTCTTAATTTCTACTTTAATCGTCAGGTTTCTTGAAATTCTTCAATTATACGAACACTTGAAACCCACTAACTTAGACCCTCCCTTCTTTTATTTTGTAATTCTCTTTGAACATCAATGACTTTGTCTCAACTCTTGACCCCCCCCCAACATTTATTACATCTGAGAAAACGGAATTAATTCAGCCTCTTTCATTTCTGTTGAATAGATTCATCTCCAGAGCCGTGGTGTCCAGTGCTGCCATAGCTTCGATGAAAGTCTGACTGGTTTTCTTAACATTTGTGAATTTAATCATCACCCAGCTTTGTTTTAATCACATCCTGTATTTTATCAAGCTATATCTGTCTTAAAGGCCAGAATCACTTCTATTTTTGTGTAGACTGCTCTTCTCTTTGCCTTGAAAGTAAAGGATTATGTTGATTTATTAAACAAGATCATCCCTTCCACCTGGTTCATAATCCAGGCTCATGCACAAGCCTAATCTTCTTCTACTCTTCTAGGTGACCTAAGCATTGATTAGAGGCCAGAAACAAAAAGGGCGGAGGCTCCGTTAAAAATATCTGAAAAGTCCAGAGGATGCAATTTACTTTATAATTATTACAATCATTTGGTTTAGATTTTATGGGCAGAACAGAAAATTCAATTTTGTACTAAATTTGTGAATAGTGAGAAGGGTAAAAAAAAAGAACACTAGGGTTAATCAGGATATAACTAGAATTGACAAATAAAAGGAGCATGAATATACTGCTTATTAAAATGTGCATTTTCCTCAACTATCGCTGTACGGCCGTGTTTCCTAACCTGTGGAAATGAATCGATAACACGAAGAATGAGAATCACTTTTTGGTTGAACTGGTCACAAGTGGCAGATGTAGGCAAATACTAATTAGCAACATAATGACAAAAAAAATTATTACGGTGACCAAAACTTGCACTAAAAGAGGAATTTACCTGTTTATGCCAGATTATGTTTATGCCATTCGCATTTATTAGGTGTACCAGTCAAAGGTTTGGACGCACTCTCTCATTAAAGTGAATGGGAAGGCGTGTCCATACTTTTGATGGTACTGTATATTTAGTCTTGCTGCCAAATCAATTATCCTTTAGGTAAAATAAAGTCATATATATATATATATATATATAATATATATATATACACACACACACACACACACACATATATATATATATACACACATATACATATATACACACATACATATATACACACACATACATACAAGTGCATATGGAATTTGGAAGTAAAGTTGGAGCTTGAGCTGGAGCCAATCCCAGCTGACATTACCCAAGGGTGGGGTACACCCTGGACAGGTTGCCAGTCTGTCACAGGGCTGACAAATAGATACAAACAATTAACATGCATGTCTTTGGATTGTGGAAGGAAGCCAGAGCACCCTGAGGAAACCCAAGCAGCCACGAGGAGAACATGCAAACACCGAAAGGCCCCAGTGATTTTTTTTCTCATGTTTACAGTGTTTCATAAAATAGCTTTTTAATCAAGAACCCCACATTCACACATACACCTGATTTTCAAAGAGGACACCAAGGAAAAGACTCATTTAAGAGTTATCCAAGTTTATTAATATTATTTTTTAAAACTAATATAAATCCCACAGAATATGATCCTGGTGCCTTTAAGTCAATGAATGCATGGATACCTGCTTAAAGTACTGCATTTCAACACTCCATTCAAAATATCTTTTTTTTCTTCTTTTTTTTCATATTCATCAGAGTGGAAATACATGGCCTCAGCGCACTGTCATATTTACTACTATTCTCCTACCTTTTTCTCTCTTGTGCAAGTCTATGCGAGTGAGTTAGTCAACAGTATTAGTGTTTTTCTTTCCGCAGCAGCCACAATGGACGCTGCTGCTCAACTACAGAGAGACAAAAGGGAGGGTGGATAAAATGGTTTGAAGTGTGAGAACAAACAGTAAATATTAATCCCGAATTGAGCTGTGTATTTCCCTCTGAACACACACACTGGAAATGAAAGTCCACACCACTGCCAGTATTAAATTGACAAAATGATCCCAGGTTGCAGGCTCGTGCGAAATTTCCTACACACACACACATGTAGACCTGAGATCTCATCTTACAGAAACCTAGGTAACTGTCACAGGCCTGTCGGGGAGAAGCCCCAACAAAATGAAGAAAAGATTCACAGCAGATCCCAACAATCGTTCCATTTAGAAAGAACAGTCAAGAGAGGGACGTGACATTCTTTTTCTTGTTCTCTAAAATACATCAGATGGTGGTGATAACGGTGTTTTAGTCAAATGAAGGTGCTGGAGGGAGGTGTAACCGTAGCAAAGCATGTGCATATTCTGGGAGTGAGGTGAACATTGGAGTTTATTTCCACTCTAGAAATACTGGGTGTGCACTAATACAGCAGCTGATCTGTTAACATATTTCCCTAGTTAGGAATGTCTTGATTTACTTAAAAAACATCTTTCACTAACAATCCACATCTTCTAAACATAAACTAATCAATACAATGATTGGTAAAATGAATCCTGCAATGTTTTTTTTTTTTTTTTTTAAACCGGAGGTTGACATTCTATTCTAGTAAAGCAAGGCATTAGGTTTACAGAAATGCATCTTTACTAGAGCAGCTATCCTCACCTGCAAATTGTTAGGCTGTGTTAGGCCCACGTTATATGTGCAAAGAAATGCATTGCAAGGAAACATGCAGAGAAACAAAAACAAAAATGACACTTGAGGAAACAATCAAAAGCTACATAAAAGCTTTATAAATACAATAAAATCTTAAACCCTTAATGGAGAATTCTAGCTGTTGTAGTAATATGTGATAGCTGGCACTCTAGGCTCAATGCTTTTTTGTCAGATATTTTTTATTTTCTCGTAGTGGAGCTGCACAGGTAATTCATGCCATCTTTGGTTGACTGCAGTACTGAAGAGAAAATTAATATGATCTCAAAATAAACTTTCAACAAAAGGGTTGTTAGAAAAACAGCATCAACTCTCAGCAGACAACTGCGCCTCAATGTCCACTCTGCAGATGGGGCACTTCTTATTGGTGAGGAGCCACTGATCCACACACAGTTGATGGAAGAGGTGCATACATGGTAGGCGTCTGCAGGGAAAACACAAATTCAAATTCAGTGAGAACTGAATTTTGGAAGCAACATCTTGAATTAAGTACACTTCTTTTTTTTGTCAACCTACATATTCGGTGTGCCTCACTTTTATGATCAGCAGGACACAAAGTGGTCCTGCTCTTCTGGCCGGTCTTAACCTGTTTTTTTGGCATAATAATGTACTTCCTGATTATCCTTGTTTGTTTAAACTGGTGATATTTTATATTTTTATTATTGTCACCAAATCCTATGAAAAGACTAAAACAAGGGCGCCACGGTGGCTCAACCACTTAGGCTCAGTCCTTACCGCAGCGGCCATGAGTTCAAATCCGATGATGAATGAATTCATCAGACTAACACATATTGTCTCTGTGGCCTGAGCCTAATATAGCTTATGCCATAGAGCTTCATTGTTGTCTACAAAAAACACATGATTACACTATATGATCTGTTCCTTCATTATTACAAAGATTGGCCCTGTAGTTCATTTTGATCAGTCCCGCATCAGCACAATCCCGCTGCTGTAAATACTGATTAGTGCACTGAATCCGAGACTTAAAATATTACCAAACAAATACAGTATTTTATCATTTTAAAGCAACATTTGTTACAAACTACAATTTCCAGCTGTTTTATGAAATAATTGTGTCTAAAAAAGCCTATATATTTGTGGCTGCCTTTAGTAGGAACAAATGGACTTCGGGATGAGTGCCAAACACAGGATAGGGTAAACAGAAAGTGCTGCGAGACAGTCTAGCACGTAGTTAGTTTTGGTCTTTTCGTGGGATATGTTGACATTAAAAAATGACATGTCATCTGCCTTATCCTGTAAAAATACAGAGGAGTGATCAGAGAAACACTGATGCTTCAAACTGTGTGAAATGTTAAGAACATCTGACTGGATCAGAAATGTGTAAAACCTCAGTTCTGTTTGTTTCGGTGTTTTACACGAATATGACCAGAACCATTTAATACAGGCATATACTCAAAATCACTAAAATCCTTATAGGGCATGACTGTAAATAAACTATATTTTACAAACTCAGAAAAAAAAAAAAAGGGTGAAACTGAAATGTGACACTCATTATTTCCTTTTATACCAACAGAGGGCAGAAAATCCGCTTAAAAAAACCTGAGTGAGTGCCAAAAACCAATTCCTTGAGGCCGGTAATTTTAAGGCACTCTGGGGTTTTCTGCTGATTACAAAACCTTTGGGTTTTTAAAAATGATATCTCGAGAGACGGTGGCAAAATGGAACAACTACACCTGCTATCCCACATGTCTGTGTTTAAAGGCTCACAGACACGCCCTCCTGAAAGCATAATTGAACACACTCAAAACTGTGACAACCAGTGAAGAAAACACCCAGGAGGGGAACCATTTACCTGACGTCCTCCCCCTCCTCCAGTATAGACAGACAGATGGTGCATTTTTCTTCTGTGTCTTCATCTGCCCCCTCGTCTTCGTCTTGCTTACCATGCAGCTTTCTCTGTTTGTGAAAAACGTTTGGACACTTGACTTTTGATATGTAGCATCGATCAGTAAAGCAACCTCAACCAGACTCATTACATATGGTTAATAAACATATTTATCCACTCTCTATTAAAAACATTAAACTGCTCAACTAAAACCCTACGGTAACATTACAAATACATATATTACATTTGTATAAAAATATAATATTGTCTATAAAGAGGTAACTATATTCAGAACAAACATTTCAACAAAAACGTTAAATTCCTTTGGGGACAGAGAGAATGGTCATTTTGTCCTGAAAACAGAAAAAAAAAAGACTTTCTATCTGTTGTCTCTATACTAAACAAATCAAAGTTATTAGCCGAATTCCCTGGCCCCCAAGACTAATACTAACATCTACTGTACATGTGAGCAGAGACATGTTTCCAAATTGATTTGTTCATTATTTCTCACCGATTCTGGGGTTGCGTGCATATTTTTTCCAATAGATGCCCAAGCTTCAGGGGTTAACTGTTGGTCAATGTCTCTCTCCAACACCTTCTGTATTGGGTGGCAGGGTGTTAGATTGCTTATTTAGGTACATTTGGAAACCTCTAAGGAAACTTTTCCCCACCAATGTCTTCACAGCTGCAATCTCTGGTAAAAGACACTACAGTATTTTCTAAGTGTTGGCAAAACATCAGACGTTTGAAATGAGCACAAAAGACCACTGCCTACTCTGTCCCAGAATAAACTGTAACAGAACATGCACAACTATATACAGTATCTACAAAATCCATTGAACACCATATACAGTACATATCTACACACACTCTCACAGGTCCTCACCTTTTTGTACTTGTGTGGGTAAGTGCACCTCTCTATGGTTCCCTGAGAGGCTCCTCGGTTCACAGTCCCCAATCTTTCCTCTAAATGCAGCAGGTCCTGATGGAAGTAGTAGAAATGAACTGCTGTCAGACTGACAGACTGACACATGCACAGGGCTTTTGCTCTGTACACACAGAAATTTCTCTTTTTTGTGCAGGAAACTGCACCACACTTGGCCAGATAGTTTGGCCAAGCTTGGCTATTCATTCAATAATCCACACCAATTTAGTGGTGACGAAGAGGCTTTTAAAAGCATTAATGATCACATTAACACCCACGTCTGTCCTGATGATAGGTTCTTCCAATAATTGCTGCATACAGATGTCAATATACTGGGAAACCAATTTAACAGCAAAATTAGCAAATTATTGTCTGTCCAGTACAGAACAGGTGAGTGACATCAAATTACATACACTTGGCAGACTACTTTTATTCAGGTTCAGTGTCTTGCTCTTCGACACATCGACATGTGGGGCAGAGCTCAGGTATCAAACCACCAACCCTGTGAGTTATGGCTGGCCTGAGTTATATAACACATTAAAGTGTGCACTAGTGTGAGTTGGGGTCCATAAATAACTCCATAAACAGCCAGTAAGTTTGAATGCTTATGTTAAAATTTAGTTTTTTGTTAAGCTGTTGAACATTTTCCTTGTATAAACGTCCACTAGAGCACTATATCTGTTTTCTCCTTTCTTCTCCCTTCCCTATGAGAGCTGTGTTTATCCAGTTCCAGTGTGTATTCTGAATACAACAAAACTAACATTGGATGGTGACGCACTGATAGAGTTGCTTACATTTTTGCCTTGTTTGTACTCAGGGTTGTAAAACACATTCACCAACACCAGCGAATAAAACAAATCAACAGTCCTCACCTCATAGGTTCTTCCAAAGCCAGTCATTCTAGATGAGATGTACCGAATGTGCGGATAGGTCACTTCAGATATGCCAGTGTGCTATGAGGGAGAAAGCAAAACATGCACAACACATCTCATTCAGCCCCTGGAAAATGCTTTGTTACATAAATATATTTAGTCCTTCTGAACCACAAGACTACCATACATTTTTACCACACACTTTTTGCAGACTTTATTTAATTTCAAAGGGTCCTAAGCTTCTGGTGGGTGTTAAAAAATAATGTATGCGATTAGTGATTGAGTACTTTGGCTTTCAGCTATGCCATATTAGTGTATTTGTATGTGTATAAAACTAACCCTAACATTTACCAACAGTATATCCTATAAAAAGAATAGTTGCAAATTCCTATGTACATGTATATAAGTGCTGGTGGTATTAGAGGAAAAAAAATTACGAGGGGCTTCGAAAAGTGTTCACGTGGCACATATGTAATGATGAAGGTCACAGATGTATACAAATTTAAACTAATGAACTCTGCTGAGACTGTTCATCAAAATTCACTTGTGTATCCTTTGGTTCCACTTCTCTACCCCCTAATTCTGAGCAAGCAAGCTATGATTAACTGTGGATACACTCAAAACATCTGGGAAACTTTCAACAGTACCCTGACTTTATGTGCACCTGCACTGATGCTACAGAGAAGAATGGATTGCAGAAGACAACTAATGTTTGGTTGTTTGAGGATGACCATGGAAAAAAATTAATAGTAACATTGCGAAAGTGTTGACTATATTTGCGCAGGATCTGACTTGAGGCTTCTGGATTTGTTGAGTGTGCATTTGAAATGCCTGATGAGCCACTATTAATTGCTAATGCATAATTCATGTGGTTCACCAAACCATCCTTGAAATAACTGATGTTATAAATAAGGAGCCAGCACCATTAATCTCAGCCAGACTTCATATAAAAGTCATTCTTTCTCATTTATGCTAATGTATGCATGTGTGCTGAGGGCTTCTCTCACCATGAAGGGAATGGGGAAGTGGTGCAGTCTGGGGGGAGGGTGGTAGTGGGGCAAGTGGGAGTGCAGGTGCCCTGAAGGGTACGGTGCCACAGTCACTCCAGCCTCGATGCCAAGCTCCCTGTTGACAAACGCATAAACAACCATTAGCCATATCTACAAGACCTGAACGTAAAACCAAGCGACCATAGAGTCGCATTAAACATTTGTAATATTTGAGGAGCTGAAATTAAACTTGAGCTGAATTAGGACTAAAACCAACCATCTGCCAAGCCTCATTACTTCTGATACTGACCATGCTGTTCTCTGCTCAGGCTGGCGAGGGTGGGAAGACATAGTTTGTGGCACATGGATGTGGTGTCCATGGCCATAGTTGGGGTGCATTCTGTGGGGGTGTGGAGGCGGACGCTCATGTGCTCGTCTGCAAGGAAAGGAAAATGCAAATTTGACAAGGAGGTGGTTCATGGCTGGAGTTCGTCTTTTACAGAAATATGAATACTCAGAATACTCACGTGGGGTGTTGCATCATCCTGCGCCTCTGGACCTCCATCCTCTGCAGCATCTCGTGTTGATGGAGCCTCTGTACAGAAGCTCCCAGTGCCGGCATGTGGTGTGGCAGGGTCTGGTGGTCTGTAGGCAGGTGCTGGGCCAGTGGGGCACTTGAACTAGAGAGGTGGTGGGTAGTCAGAGGAGGGGGAGGGGCAGGGGGCACGGCGTGGCCTGAAGGATGCGATGGCAGTGGGGGATGAAAGGTGACAGTGTGGGGAATGACATAATCGCCTTGTGGAGCAGGCTGAGGTGTAAGTTGGGGGTTCCCATGGGAGTGAGGACAGGCGGAGGAGGGCTGATGATGCAGTGAGCGTGCTAGAGAACCATCTGGATTAGAGGAAAGAGAAAAGAAAAAGAAGTAAAACGTCTTTAAACACTAAAGGATGAAGCTGGCAATATTGTCTATTTTTGTTATTGTGGACAAATCCCATGGAAAGTCCAAATCGAACAATGCGGGTTGGGGCATTCAGCCCCAGCCCCATTCGTTCTTACTGATGGCATACATTTTTTAAAAACAGGCCAGATCATTAAAAAAAAAAAAAAAAAAAGCAGGACAGTATTTATGACATTGAACCAAAATAAACGACAGTGCTCATGCTCATTGTAATCAATAAACATATCTGATGGCTTTTTTATAATGTTGGGATTCCCAGTTCCCTGTTTTTTTTTTTATTTTCCTCTACAATACATTTTGGATAACAGTAGAACTCTAAGGTACATATGATTAAGCTATATCAGATTTTAGCTACAAAGGAAATACTTGTTCATAGGATCAATTGGCTTTTGGTGTTGGTAAGTTTGTGGAATTTAATGACAATAAAGTAAACAAAGAATGTCACCTGACTTATCCTTTAAAGAAAAAACTAAAGTTTAGTAATTACTGACATTATGCAACAGTCAAAATGTGAGTGCAAGGGTTCTACATTTATACTTTATGCCAGTTGACAAACATCTTGGCTCAGCATGTTACAGATGATGCATTTGTAGCAGTATTTTTGTTGTTTTTTGGCACAAACCTTCTGCTATTAATATGACAGGTTTCTGGCAAAAACAAAATGATCTGAGAGGACTACTGTGAGTCATCCACCTAATAAATATTCACTTTTTTTAGTTTAGTTCTTCTTGGTGCAGACCTCCTTGGCTCTTGTCCAAGCAGCAGTAAAATGAGGAGAAATGAGGCAGAGAGGCAGGCAATAGAGAGGTGAGCATAGGCACCAGCAGCAACTAACTCTCTTACTACATCCCCACGAGAAAGCCTTGTTACACTGCTTCCCTTTCCATACTGAGCTATTCTGAGTAGAATGAGCAATTAACTACTTCTGCCTGGTACAGTTCCCACAGCACTTGGCACATAAACCATCAGCCTCTGTTAATTACTATTAGCATTAGGTTTTAGGAGTGCAGCTCTCTGCCAATTTTCATAAGTACGGCACTGCAAATGAGTGAGTTTTTCAAATGCAGCAACAGACGCTTGACTTTATGATTTGAAAAATTCAGAAAAATTAAGCCAGTGGTTAAGGTCTGGTTTCCTGCACTGCATGAAGGTGGTGTACTCACAAGAGGGGTGAATGTAATGTCTGCAGGGCTGGGGTTGTGTTTGTGGCTGGGGCTGAGCCACCATGGAGGAGCTGAATGAGTCCACCACAGCTGGCTGGCTGGGCCCAGGGGTGGCCTGGGAAACATAAGCAGGAGGCCGTGAGGTGGAGCCTGGGCAGCACGGGTCAAAGGCCGAGGTGCTGCCATGAAAACTAGCCCCGCTGTTTCCACCACTCCGAACACTGCTGTTGCTCAGGTCCACCGGCAGAGTTTGCTGTGGGAGGAAGGCAGAGATGTTATATGCTGCCATGCTCGGGTGTTAAATAACAATCCCCGTAACCCTATCAATGCCAATTATTTAGAGGCTGCTAATTGTGCCTGTCCTTGCTAATAACAACCATCAAATTTAGACATTACTTAATTTAGTCATGGATACCAGATTTATTTAGAAGTGCCATAATAGAGCCACATACAGCAAGAAATCAAAAATACTACTATTTACAACTAGAGTATATTTGTGTTGAATACCTGGTCATGGTAGTGGGCTGTGTTGCTGCTGCTACTACTACTGTTGCTGCTGACTCCAGCGCAGGGTGCGGGCAGAGCGCTGGGACGCTCAACAGGGCAGCTAGGCTCTTGAAAGGGCAGGGATCCCGGGGGCTGCGGTGCTGGGTGATGGACATGGTGGAGGAAGTGGTGAGCATTGCCGTGGCTGTGGCTGTGACCATGGCTGTGCTGAGAGCCACTCGTCTGCTGAGAGGATGACGCCTGCAAGCAACTTGAATGAGAGTGGCTCAGGGACAGGTGACCAGGAGAGGGGCCTCCACATGGGGAGTGCTGCTGACAGCAGGATGGGAGTCTGGGCATGGCTGTGCCGGCGTTTTCTCCTGCTGTACCTGACAAACCAGGTCTGCTGTCATCTATGAGAGTAAGGTATATGATTAGGAAAAATATAGGATGAGGCAGCAGGTTAGAGTTTTAAAGGGCAGAAGAGGGCGAGAAACACAAATGACCTATGGTGACATATGACTGCACAATACAGAACATTTCACAGTTAAATGTATAAACATTTTAAATAATATCAGCAGCTAAAAGAAAGCTGGGCCCAAGCTACCTCTGAGCCAAAGAATTGAAATTCTACAGCAGCTGGTTTCAACATGCCGTGTCCTGTCTTACCCTCTGTGGCCGTACGAGAAGAGCCACTTGGCCTGTGTGTGTGCATACTTTCAGGTATTGAGCCTGGGCAGCTAGTGGAAGGGCCTGGGGCATCATTGAGCTCTGAGGTAGAGGCATGATGGGAAGATGACGACGAGGACGACCTGACTGTTTGGGGGTGAATGCTGCTAGAGGTTGTTGGCACAACTGAGAGATCTGGGGGGGAAAAAATAAAGTGTTCATTTAGAGGGAGGAGAAAGAAAAGAGGATTAATGACAATTGTGCTCTGAGGGAGAAATACAGGTATCACTTAACCAGATGCATCAACTAGAATTACGTTGCAAAATAAAGTTGCTGGAAACATGGTCTCAGTTACAGCATTGAATAACGGCCAGGAGGGTTTTTGCAGAACACTATGATGTCAAAGTGAAATTGACCTTTGACCATTTGGATATAAAATGTCATCACTTCATTGTTTTAGCCTATAAGACACCAAAATCTAATGAATTCATCTTTGAGTCCATGGGACTATTTGTGCCAAATCTAAAGAAATTCCCTCAAGGCGGTTTTGAGATATCACATTCAAGAGACCAAAAATGTGTTTTGTGAGGTCACAATGACCTTGACCTTTGAACACCCAAATCAAATCAGTTCATCCTTGAGTTCAAGTGAATGTTTGTACCAAATTTGAAGAAATTCCCTCAATGCGTTACTGAGATATCGTGTTGGTGAGAATGGGACGATCAAAGGGACAATCTGAAAACATAATGCCTCCACCCTAGTTGTCACCAGTGTTAAGGCATAAAAAAAAAAAGATAAATAAAAAAGCACTAAACTTTAATTTATTGATAGAAATGAGAATTACTGATCCAAAAAATTTTTCATTTGTGAATATTTCACAAAAAAAGTCAAAAGTCACTACAATTAGAGTGATCTGGGGTCTGACTATGTTTTGTTTTCCAATTACGATTTTATTTTTTTAATTTTATTTCTATTTATTATTTGTTAGTTTTCAAACAAATATACACTAATAGCTGACAGCATAATATGACAACATCTAGATGCATCAGTTGTTCCTTGTAGATTAAAAAGCATGATGTTCACAATTCATACGACCACCTAAAATTCTTCTGGACACTTTGTCTGGAAAAGAATAATCCATGTGTGGACTGTAGCATGTGTGTACTCGTCTGCAGAGGCTTAGCAGCCGAGGAGAAGAGCAGACCTTATTAGCATTCCAGTGTGTGAACTCCATCTGCTTTTCATATTCACAAATTAATTTCCCCTCTTTCTCCTAAGAAATGCAAATACTCTAATACTCGGTGCTCTACAGTTTTGCTACCCCATCATGGGTGTGGGCTGATAAAGAGACTGACATTGGACTTAAGTCACACAAGGTCACAAAGCAGCCTGCTTTTACATGAAATTAAGGACTTGTTTACTGTTAAAAGAAATGCAAATAAATAGGATACTGCTTGAGGTTAATGGGGATTAATGTTAATGGTTAATTCACAACAATACACTTTTTATTCCGGCTAATTGATGTCCATTATTCATATTCAAAGCATAATAAAAACCTGTTGATATTTTACTAGCTGAATTCATAAACTCTAAGATATCAGGATCTGAAATATTCTTTTTTGCAAACAAACAACATTAAGGACATTTGTAAAACAACATTTTATTATTGCTCTATCTTCATAAAGATATTAGCATCGAAAAGTTGTTTCTCCTGGCCTTGACACTGTCTTTAATTTGACTGTATAAATACATGGATCACAATTACATCTTTGAGACTGACAATTATGAAACATCTGAGAATAAGGATACTTGATATATTGTAATATCGAAGAGGAATTGTTACTATGATTTTATGAGTAGTTTGCTTAAAAAACACACAGAACACAGAACAGAACAATACTATAAGCTTTGGTACAGGAGGAGGCAGATAACTAGAAAAGTGAGACCTAGATTAAAACTATGTTTAGTTATCCTTTAATCAGACATTTGCTTGGATGGAAGACTTTTCTAGGCCCATTCTTACCATCTTCATCAACAGTGAGGTCCACCACCTCCCCAGCATTCTGACGCAGTGGTTGGATGACAGTTGAGAGTCTGTGACGTCCACGTGGCTCCTGGAGGCGATTCTGGGAGCAACTATTAGCCCAAATCCTGCCCAGACCCCCCACTGAGCGTGACCTGTAGACATACAGATATTAATAAACAACTATTACACCAAACTTTCTTTATGGCAGACACCTTGACCTGTCATAGCAGTTACTAACATTAACAGTGTCTCTGCAACAGAGCTGGATCCCTGAATGCAAATCTATCTGATGCACTTTATTTAATTTAGGTGTTAACATGGTGATTGATCCTTGTATGTTTACTTATACAACCCTTTAAGACAGCATTGGTGTTTTCCATCAGGACTTTTAGACAATTTTGAACCGGACAAATTATCCTATTCCAAAAGACATGCCAGCTGAGACTTGTGTGCTGTCTGACATCTCCTTAGGGGGTTTAGTTTAACACAACACATATACCTAAAACTGAAATGGAAACCCAAACTTAGCGTACATTATTTTAAATTATGAACGTACATGCATAAGAAGGTGCTTGTTGTGTTATGTATCAGAACCGATCATGGTACAAAACATAGATTGCGGTTTGTGGCTCTAACAGAAACTACAGATTGCTTGCTTTGTGTCATCATCCACAACGCCCTACCACTTCCATCTAAATCTTACTATTCTTTCCACATGCTTTCCTTTTTCCTTCTTCTCACTTGAATGCTCTGTACCTCTCTTGCCCTGGCTTCAGCCCTTCCTCTTTTCTTCCTTTTAATTTTCTCTCTCAGAGGCTCCTGTCGCTCTACCCCTTGCTCTCTATGAGACTGAAATGAGAGGCCAGGGAATAGTCACATTTCGCCCCACAGTGCCGTAAAGCCAGGTGATCAGAGGGAGGAGGGATGAGCCCGAGGGACAAGAATAAGAGTATGGGAGTGCCGTAAAGCTGGATACCATGGAGCTTTGTGGCTAGGGGATTTCACTGCTGCTCCCTCAGGGATTTTTAAAATACACCAGAGCAGAGGGAAAAGGCTATATATCTAAGTGCCAACAGCACAGCCTTGTTAACCACAGCTTCTGATGTGTCAAACCAAATTATAGACCAACTCTGTGATTCTTATTGATTAAATCATAGACACTTTAGAGATCATCAAGTGATTCAATAAAATCCTTAAAAGAATGATGCAAGTGTTTTTTCTCTCTGTGTTTGCACAGATTTCTTGCAGGCCAGAATCAGACAGGTAAGAGGGGTTAAAAACTTAAAATTGGCTCTTGGTGTTAATATATATGTAATGTAATGTGTTTGTCTTTGTGTTAGCCTTGTGACAAACTAGCAAACCTGCTTGAGTGTTACCCAGAGCCTCCCCAAATGACCACTGTGATAGACTGCAACTGTGAACAAAACATGGAATATTAATTGTGTCAATATTTCTCTTTTACTATTCTGCCTTTATAGTATTAGCTCAAAACTAGACTCAGTCAAGTTTAATTTTTGTTTTGTTTTTTTGGGACTGTTCTTGTTTATTTGAAAGCATTACAATAACTTCAGTAACTGAAACATTAACCTTACCAAAACGGTTCATATCTTGCCATAAATCAAAAGTGTGTACAAGAGCTCAGTGACTACAAGATTATACTGAAAGTGTTAATGCATCAATCATAGGATGTAATCCTATAGACTTATTAAATTATTGATCTATTCCACATTATGCAGAACGCTCAATTAAGAGTGTGGCTTTGATCACGTTCCTCAGATGTGTCTCAACTCAGGAAAGGCCTTTCTCTGCTGTTTATGATAAGGGGGATTCCCATTTACTAATACTTTCTGCATCCATTTCAATTTCCTGTGAGACATGCAGCACAACAATGAAAATGGAATAAAGGAGGTTGCTGATTAACTTTCTTAATTCACAAATAAGAAGTGTGCAAGTGTGCAGAACTCTGAGTGCATGTATACACGAACAGACACACACTTGCGACTACTGGCAAAACACACAGCAATGAGGGTGGTAGACAGAGGGGGATGCATGGTGGTTGAATTGGGGTCTAATTGGCCAGGCTCCTCAGCTCTGGTCCCAGGGAGCAGGTCTACCCACCAGGGATGAGTTCCTAATTAAGTAGACCTGGGATTATTTTGTAAATATATGTTTATCACCATAACCCCCAGAGTGTGAAAGTGAGGGTGGGTGGTGGCCAAGAGGAAAACAAAGTACATTGTAAACATGAACACTATGGGAATGGGTGGCTTGGCAAAGCTGAGGTTGTGCAAAGCCAACATGCTCCAGGGATCAGAGCAGGGCTGAGCACTGCGGTAATGTAGAGTAAACTGCTGGGACTGATGCTGCTGACAGCCAAGGCTGGGAGTTTGGGAGTTAAAGGGGAGGAGATCATACAAGGCAGGAATAGCACTGTGTAAGAGTGGTAAACAATTTGAAGCATCAAGCCTTGCATGGATGAAAGTATTGAGTTTGCCTTCACAATTAAGCATATTATGGTGTCACTCTCTAACTATCAGCACTGAATAGAGAACAAATATTTTCTCACACTGAGCATTGATCTACACTTACCCCTTTATCTAATATAAAGAAAATACAGAGCGAAATGCAAGCCCTTCATGTTGATACAGTACATTTTGCTTGGGATCATCAATGTGAAAACACAAAAGGAAATATACACTTATACAAAAAGCTATGCAGTTTTCGGACCATAACGATTTGGCCCTTTTTTCGAAATCACTCAAGTCTTTACACCTGCCCATTTCTACCACATACAAAATGTTGACAACAAGATCCAACTGTTCACTTTTTGTCTAATATATCTCAAAAGTTGACATGCACCACTCTTATAAGACAATCAACTTTATTATCTTCATCTGTGAGTGGTCATAATGCATTGGCTTGATATAATATCACCCAGCTCTCTGTCAGCAACAATTTTAAAATATATATATATATTATGTAGAGGGCTCAAAAATGATAATAATGCAAGGCAAATGTGAGAGGTTACAACAGCCATCACATGTTTTGTTCTAAGTTACATTTGGGCAAGTGGATTTTAAGCCATCTCAAACACAGGTACAACATTACCATATTAAAAGATAGAATGCACACTGGTTTCCTGATGACTATGTTTTATTGTCAAAGAAAGTGTAATGACATTCAAAAAGTTCTGTGATTCTACTACTATGCATGTCCTGAGCTGAGCTGCAGAATCAGGGCAGAGACTGATCAAGGTCTTTTTAAATTGATCCATATCAGCTACGTAATCCTGATATTGTATCTCACTGCGCTCTGGGTAAAGCAGCTGCCAAACATGCCCCACAGTGCACTGTTAACACACTGGAATGTTCCCCTAATGCACCGCTTTGCAAGTGAGTGAAGTGTGGAGTGGCATGAACAAATAAATAACAGCCATCAGTTCACATTAAAAAATTTGACACTGATTAAGTCTGGATTAAAAATGACAGTCTAGTCCTACTTTCAGTAACATATCGCACCGTGTCCCTAAACCGCTGCTTCTGGTAGAAAACTTAATTTGAACTTCCACATTCTGTACAAGCTGGGAATGAAGAGAGGCTGTCCAAATCCTGTCCAAGCCTTTGTGCAACAACAGTAACTGACTGCTACTCTTCTGTCTACAGACATATTAATAATTACCATTAGACACTACATAAAATACTAGAGGAAAACATTAAAAGAGCAGCTTTATTTGTTCATGTGAATGTTAAGGGAGTTTTATTTTATCAAAGTAAGCCTGTGAGACTATGAGTGCATTGTGAAACTGGTTTACACAGGAGAATGTGATTACCATGTTGACTATGGTAATTGCACATAGTCAAAATTAAATGAATGGGATCAGAGGCAACCGACTAACCAACTAACCAGTTAATGAGAAATACTTGATAAAGACATCCTTAAACACTACCAATAAACCAGCCAGGGCCATGATACAGTATGTATGTGTGCTTACATGAATTGTGCCTATGGCACTGTTCAGACCTGGCATTAACATCCATCTCAGGTGATACGATCATAAGTGGACAGCTCTAAGTTCAGGGGTAAACACACCCAAGATGCACTGGGGGGCAGATTTGAGATCCAATCACTTAGACCACATGCGGAGGTGGTTTGGACAACATGTGTCCACATTCTTTTAGCAGTGAAAGCGCAATTGTGCACAATAAAGGACCGCCTACTCTACTGACGTCCACTGCCAGTCTAATTAGTCCTGACCTAATATTTTAATGTTTCAAATGGCTAAAACCTTAAATCATTGTGCAACAATTCGCTCAGCTCCTCCTTGCCCCGATATCTCACTCTATCCTCTCAAGCACAGTGACAACAGACCCGTCTGTCAGATTGGCTAAAAACAAGAATTCATACATGTTTATTTGCATATAAAGCAGGGAAGTGAGATCCAATCACAAGTGGTCAATCAAGATGCATGTGGAGACGCATTTTAATGCCAGGTGTGCGAACTGACATACATAGAGCTGTCCACCTGTGATCAGATCACCTGAGACGCATGTTAATGCCAGGTTTGACCAGGGCCTACGTTAACATAAACGACACACAAACTCAAACTCACATTCACAAACTGGCCCACTGGCAGTGTAAACAAAGATTTCAATGCTCATTCTGTTGGCCTTTGATTCTCCGCCCTCCCGCTCCACTGCTGCCCATCCCCCCTTCAGTGAGGCTCATCTCTACATTCTCTAGCGAGCCAGGACATCTTTGGAAGTCAGGAAAACAGGCAGATTAGACAAGCTATGGCATTCCAAGCTTGGTGGAATCATTTCTGGGAACTATTTTCAGATATTACTGATACATTAATATAAAGTGGACAAAGAGGGATACTGTTACAAAAAGGAGAGACAGAAAGAGGTTAACACAGAGGCAGAGGTTTGTGAATTGATATGCATAATCACCTACATAAGGAATTAGGGGAGTATTGAGACAGTAAGTCACATTATTAGAATGTGGAAATAGGATTCTCAATGGGGTGAGGAAAATGGAAGTAGATAGTGGGAGGACATATCTTTTGTATTGCTAAATATTTAGCAGTTCCTCTGAGAAACAGAACTATATTCATCCACTCATTAATCCTCCGTATGTTTATGAAAGCCATGGCAGAATACCCTTATCAACTACCCTATTTAACCAATTTCTTTAAACAGGTTCATACCAGTTGCATAGGGGTATGATGTGGCTTTAAATAGATTATAAGATTTTGGCTATTTGTTTGGATGTAGAATGGATATTAATTATAACATGTCACGTAAGTTTTTTCTGGCTTGTTTTGCCAGTAAAGTTGGGGTGAGAGGGGAGGGATGACATGCACCAAAGGGCCACCGGCTGTACTCTAACCCGGGCCGCACGGTAAGGATAAAGACTAAATGGTGCTAGCTCTACCAGGTGAGCTAGTGGGGCACCTCACACTAACGGTTTAACTAACTTTAAACTGTTATTATATGAGTTGCTCAGATCAGATGATTCAATCAAATAATCAGTAAGTTTTATGTGTGATGATTCTAGGAAGAGTCGAATAGCCACAGCACTGCGCAGGTCCGTTCAGTGATTTCCCTACTGTAAAGAACTAGGCATGCAGCTCTACAATGTCTGCGTTCTCTGAGCAATGAAAGCAGAACTATGGAATCCATATGCAAAGCAGATCCAGTGGAGCATTACACCACACTCTATGCTATGCTATTTCATCTACAATACTATACATATCCGTCAACACTCACAATCAGCAACCTGCATTTACTCCTTTTCCTACTTGTGTCATAATGGCTGCAACTGCATGTACAGACCATCACAGCCAATAGCCATATTTGGGTTAAGGCATCTACATAGTTCTTAAATCCACAACAGAGTATGCGGGTGGCCATTAATATACAGGAATGATTAGAATGGCAGAACATTACAATTTACCATTATTGCCTTACCCTGACAATGAAAGGTCTAAGAGCAGAAAGTTTGAACATCTCTGCTACTTTAAGGAAAACAGTGGTGAAAGGAGTAAGACATCACAAACAACTGTCAACTCTTTAATATATATATATATATATATATATACACACACACACATACAGTATATATAATAAAGACTGCCTTCACAGTGTAAAATTAAATCATAAGGTCCAAATAAACCTTGAGACCTCTCTTGCAGCATCATCCACTTCTCCATTGGTTGTTCCAAACACTCATCGGTTTGCCTGAATATTGCTACATACACTGCTACCGTTTGTTGCTTGGTCATGACTGCAATCAAAAGTGAAACAGGCTCACAAGCATGCTAAACCCATACCACCAACTCTCACCCCTGTATTTCCTCAAGTCAGTTCTGAGCACTGGTGCTCAGTTATAGAATAAGTGATATGTGAGTATTACTCACATATAGAGAGGTCATCCAAGTTCACATATAGCACCTGACCAAAAGCAGACATTAGCTATTTCAACTTACTGTTTTATAAAAGGAAATAAGAATATCCCAATAAACAACACATAAATAGCACAGACCTGATTACACACAAGTGTAAAATGAAGTGAAATCAAATGATCAAGTGATATTTCCTTATAAAAGTTTGTTCAGGATTCATTTTGTATCGTGCATAGTCCAATTTGTTTTTTTAGACAGAAAAAGAAAATTCTAAATAAAGATGGTTATCTTCATTTATTTCTCTTACATATAAGGTTGGCTAGCATGTCCACATACAGTATATTACACAAAAATGCACTCAAACATGTTTTTCTTGGCTGCTGACATTCACCAAAAAGTGATTTGAGTAATTCTAAGGATTAATGTATTCTCAGACTGTGCTGGTGGCATTGTGATAAAACAAAATTGTAAAAAAATATTACCAAAGAAAACAAAAATCAAAACACTTTTTACAGCAGTATGGGAGCCTAAAACTTTAAGAGCATCAACTGCACATGGCTGACATTTAGCCTATAGGTTAGGCAGGGCAGAGAAGGTAGGGAAACTGAAATGGCTGAAGAAAAAACATGAGGAAAATACAATGACTATGAAGGGCTATGAAAAGAACTGTTTTTTTTTTCTTCATAAAAAGAGGATGAAAAGGGAGAAAAAATAATTAAAAAAATGTCTATACACTGAGCTACAGTCCAACTTTGCCGTAAGCCAGGAAAAAAAAAATGGATAAATGTTGTAACAATGTTCATATAAGATCCTATGCTATTGTACACAGCACAGATCAATAGGGAAGTCATACCATCAAACATGTAACTTCAAAGCTTACTGAAAGAGCTGAGGTGCCTACCTGAAACCATCTCCAACTGTGACGATCTCCACCTCACTGTCTGTTGAGGTGACGTTGATCTCCTCGCTTGCAGGGACAGCAGGGGCTGGTGCTGGAGTTGCCTCAATCACCACCACATCCTCATCTAGAGCACCTGAACACACCAGAGGAAGTTAGTATAGTTTTGACACACCATACAATCTGAGAAAGTACAATAAAATATATATACTTGAAATGAAAATTTCATTTTTGGCTACCCCTCATTTTATTTTGACACTTTGCTCAATCAGAAATATTGCCATTAAAGTTGGGTGATTAGTGATGAATACAAACAAACCACTATGCCTGTTTTGTGGGTTTGAAGTAAAACAAAATAATACACATATTTAAGTTTTTACATGCAGTCATATGGATCTACTCTTACACAGCATAAAGATGTAACACTTTTCCCCCATTTATTTTCTGGTCTCTACCAAACAATGTTGTGTTTAAATATGATATATGATATATAATGTGTTCTTGCATTTTCAAAGGCTAAAACCAGGCAAGTAGTATTTCTCCAGTTTCATCATGCTAACAGCAGTATCATCAGGCTAACAGTTCAATGCTGGGCACAGGAGAAATATAGGTCAGCAGTGCTTAACTTTGCACCTAGATTGACTTTCTTCCTTCACCTCCTGTGAATGTGAATGGTTACCTATGCAACAGCCCTCTACCTGCCCTCTACCCATGGGAACCCCCTCAAGTTTGTTCACCAAGGGTTAATAGTCACAATGAAAGATCAGACAGAAGAAAGTAGAGTGTAGGTTCTTTCTTCAATCACAATAAAGTTATTTTCTATATATATTTTAGATGGGAATTACAATATTTTAATAAAGCTAGTAATCCATGTTGTAAAAACTTATATGGTGACACAAATGTAGACCCTAGGGGTTGCAACACACAGACTCAAGCATTAAAATGCATATTCATATGATCTACCGTTTTCCCTATATTTTGTGAATTAGAGTTGTTTAAACATTGGTTTAAATCTCACAACCCTTTCAAAAAACGATATGATGTCTTATATACAATATTCTGTTAATGGTTTGGGTACTTTAGATGATCTGGTTGATCCTTATTTCATTCTGCAGCATCACAACAACCTCAAACATACAGTTAGTCATAAAGAATCTTCAGCGACAAGAAGAACAAGGAGTCCTGCAACAGATGGTCTGGCCCCCACAGAGCCCTGATCTCAACATCATCAGGTCTGTCCAGGATTACATGAAGAGACATTGAGACAGCCTGAATCAACAGAAGAACTGTGGGAAGTTCTCCAGCAACCTACATGCCAAGTACCTCGAAAAACTGTGCACAAGTGTTCCTAGGAGAGGGTGGTCCCACCAAATATTGATTTGGTTTTTATTTTTACTTTAAAAAAAAAAAAAAAAAAAACTAAAAACTTTTCATATTATCTATGAAAGCTTTCTCACTTTTCACGCTTCATTAAGGTCACGGTCAATACTTCATCTCCAGGAGTCCTGCATGTGTATTAATGCCATTTACATCATAAACAAGTAACCCAGTTCATCACAGGCACAGCTCAAAACAAGTAAGTCACAGCAAAATAATTTGAGACAAATGCATCATTCTTCTCAGCCTTCTTAATGGAGCTGTTGCCTTTGCCACAGGCAGAAAATGAAGGCAATGCCTCCCCAAACATAACTGAACACATAGCTCAATCTATGGGTTTATTTTAGGGTTAAGATCAGATGTAAATCTAGAATTTTAGTCACCACCAGTGATGAAGATAATGTATAGCATATAGTCACAGAAAATATATGTTTATTTGTGTTTACAGTCGCATGCCTGTTTCTAATTATTGTCACAATTTTGAGTTGCTGACTCATGCATCTGGTATATGAGTCAAAGTTACATTCTTAAGCCCTCCTTGTAAATCTCACGCAAAAACGTTTCTGGTAGATTGCAAATGTTAACTATATCATTGTCAACCTGAATTCTAAATATATATGTCAACCAATAAGAACTGACACATTTAGATATACTTGTTTATTGCTAACAATATGGTGAGTATGAGCAAAACCTTACCACATTCAATCACTATTTGGTAGGGTGTCAATTCATCTGGAATTGAGCAGAAAATCTAATATACTGTAGTCTGTAAAAGCTAGTTAAGAGGTTTTAAAATAATCAATAGAGGGCATTTTAAGGTACCTGCTACATTACTTATATGACTTAGTAACAAATGTTATTTGCGCAAGTTTAATGCTTCAGTAGTGCAGAGGGTGTTTTTGTGAACATGACTAAGTGACTTGTCATACTAGTAAAGTCCATAAATTCCCTCTGTGATTTCTATTCATATGTCTCCTGAGAACTGCTGCTTAGCACCCTCTGCAAGTCTAGCTGCCTGGCACTCAGTTGAAGCTTTTATGTGGTTACACAAACAACAACACCTTTCAAGTTGGTAGAGAACTTTAACCAATATGTGCAGTGTTTTGTTAAGTAAACACACCTACTACTACTACTACTACTACTACTACCTTTCCTAATATGACTTTACAACAGAAACTGGAACGAATATGTAAAAAACCACAAGTACTTGCTTAAGTTAGCAACTTGAGCAGATGGTAGCAAGAGGACGTGTAATAGGTTTGCGATTGAACAAATTTATTGAATTTTATTGTATATAATACAGCAACCCAGCTGTGATCTGCATTCAAATATACCATGTATTTACTTTTTAATATCTTCTGTTGAACTTAGGTTAAAAGGTAAGATTCACCCGTTTCCTGGCTATATCCCGCATCTATGTGATGAAGGCAGGTTTCATCACTTGCCTCCTTGCTTTACCCTGCTGTAAACACATGCCCTGTTTTCCCTGCGAGACCTGCTGTTTCCATGCAAAGGCTGCTGCTCAACAGTGTCTGAGATTTCTCCCACCTGCCTCCTACCATAGAGGCACAACAAATAACTTTCCATTCTCCCCTAGGGCCACAGCAGCAGAAATATTGCTGAGGCTAAATGGCTACAAGAGGAAAACAATGAGCCACGCTAAAGGTGGGGCTTTTCACAGGATATACTGACTCCTTTTGCGAATGCTAAAACATTTCAGATCAGAAAGTAGACGGTGCCCTTGATGATATGCACACTGGGCTGTGCTACTCCATGAGAATGAGAGCAGAAAGTGATGGTTTAGATTTGGGAGCTGCTTAAACCTGCTGTTTCAACAGGTAAAGGAGGACAACACTTTCCATTACAGCCTGCCAGGTGTGAGGCCCTGGAAAGCCCAGGGGAGTAGCTATACCTTTATTAGTGGTGCAGAAGCTATTGCAAAAAGATAAAGACAATATTCTTATGCATGTTGCAACATTTATCATGTTTATCGAAAGCTCAAAGGATATATATATATATATATAATATGGTTTATTGGCGTTTTTTTTTTTTTTACGTAGACCTGGGACACACAGCAGCTGCCATGTAAAGTGGAGGGTGAGAGCCATTTGTAAGTGTATTTTCACTCCTGCCAAACACTATACAAGGTGGGTCCTCTGTTTATAGCAGTGCAAATCTTTGGCAATCTTGGATTTGTAGTTGAATAAAAAGAAAGTTGGGCACTATATTTTGATTCTCTGATTCTTACTGCAGTGTACAGGGTGCCAAACCATACTGGGTTACCACTGAGCTGCAAATAATGAGGGTCATTGTCTGACCGACAGAAAAAAGCTAAGAAAAGTGTGTAAGGGTATGCAGCTTTTTTGTTTAAGTTATTTTATCTAGGTTGTGTAAGTTAACTTGCTAAGGAAGCATCTTACTGTCTTCTTCCTGTATGCAAATAATGAAATTAGAGAGTAATTTACTGAAGAACATCACTGGTTAAATGTTTTTTGTAAAAACAGAAGTTAGTGTTGTGGTTCTGGAGTAACGTGGGGACGAGTTAACGAAAAAGGAGCCTATTAAGGAGGAAGGAGACAATAAAGCGGAGCGCTCCGTCATGTTGTTAACATGTCTCTAGAAGAGGAGAACAGCCTCTCTGTCACAGCTTTAGTACTGGGGAAAGCCATCATCATTCAAAATGCTATACAGGTGCAAGAGTTTTCAAATGAAACCAATGGCCTTTTTTTTAAGATGAACTACAACATTACTCTTGTATGTGCACTCTGTATGCCATACTGTGCCCTCATTGTTTAAGCTCCACCTTTTTAAATTTATCAATGTGACATTTTTAAGTAGTGTTATTAAATTTTTTTTTTGGCATTTGTGAATTGAATTGCAAGGGATAAGAATCTCAATTCTTCTGTTTACTCTCCTTTACCTCCCTGATTGAGAGCCAAAATAAAATCATGTGTTGTAGAATCAAAACCTGTAAACAGACTAATGTCTGTGAGTGAGACAGTTTACAATCATGACACTTCTGCTATAACCAGTTAATTTCTTATTGTGCAGTGGAGGAAACTGGAAGTCTCGTGTAAGATAAATTGTGACAATGCATGCCTATTCAAGTCATTTACGTTTAAAAAAAAAAATATCACACAAACAAACATTTTTTTTTCCTGATAAAAAAAAGTCAAACTCTCACTGCAAATGTGGCCCTGTTCTCCAGCAGCCGCCATTCTGCTTTTCTTGTCAGCGCATTTGAATTCACATTGCATGAATGTACTTCAATTAAAATAAGTGAATTAATGCTTGATAGTGTTTTTTTCTGCCACATTAGAGATCCCAGTGCCTCTGAGCTTTAGGAGACATCATCTCCATTATAATGTTTCAACTGTGACGGCTCCTCCCTTTGCCTATTTCTTTTTTTTTTTTTTTTTTTTTTTTTTTAACAAAGTGCAAAAAAAATCACAATATCTTTTGTAAGCCTTCCCTGTTGGTTTATAATGCTTTTAACCATATGATATAGCCTACTTGAACATACCTCATGTTGTAAAATGACATGTTAGAAACAATATAGAGAACACAATGCAACACAAAGATACAACTGTACTAGAGTCAGGGTTTGTAATTACCTGTAGCTACAGTCGCACTGTTGGGCTGGCTGCTGGTACTGCTGACATCTACATACAGCTCATCTTCTGCTTCAGTAGAAGAGGGGGAGGACGAGTCACTACTCAGCTCCTCGCTGGAACTACTGGTGCTATGGAGTAGAGCATACTTCCTACGTGCAATCACTTCACGTTTCTTCCTCTGCAGTAATAGTCGCTCCTTTTGCTTCTGAGTCCGCTGACCCCCTCCAGGAGTTGTTTTCACAAAGCGTTTCCTATGCAGAGGCCGTCGGCTGCTCAGACACGGCCGCTTCAGAAGCACTGGCTCAGCCTCAGACCGCACCCACTTATGTGAGCGATTCCCCCGAGTTCGACCCAGAACAGGGCGCACGCCATGTCCAGTGGCTCCTCCTGTTGTCAGGGCAGGAGCTTTGTGTTGGCCCCCTGTTGCTCCAGCTTCCCCGTCATCCTCTGAGCTAAGAGTGTCCGAGTCGCCAAATCGCAGGCTAGAGGAAGGGGAGGAAGCACAGTCACTAAAAGAGGACTCGTGATTATGTTCATCCTCACTGGGGTGCTGTAAAAGTTCTACCCTTGGACGCTGAGGGGTCAGTGAACTCTCACTGATTTGGTCCTCCTTCAGCGAGCAGTCTGATGGCCCTGCCTGTTGGCCTTTTCTTTTTCTACGTCCAGGAAGGCTCCGTTCTGAGTCTCTGTGTGTACCCGTGTCCCTCAGCGACCGATGCCTGGACTCACACAGGGTTTCAAATTCACTGCCTGCCTTTCCAATCACCTCCATGTTGTTAGGGAAGCTCTTGGCTGCCTCCACTGGCTCTGGGTTAACCAGTGGCTCCTTCAGATGCTCCTGTCTGCTGGGGGCCTCAGATGGCACCTCACTCTTCATGGTGGCAGGTCTATCCTCACAAAGGACAAGGACAGATCAATATGTCAGTGACAGAATTAAGAACTTTCGAGAGTTCTGAAAAAAATAAAAAGCAAGTGCTCACATCAACATTTGCCTGATAGATGATCTAAAACATTCTATCTTTTAATTCATCCATGAAATGCAATGTTGAGATGAATCCTCGGGTAAATAAATGAAAATCAAGTTACCAATGGTCCACTGAAATATCAGTGATAAAAATTCAAGCAGTTTGGCAAGATCAACTTGACACCATAGGCTAAAATCAGATAATCCAAGCAGATTTGTTAGATCAGAGGACAGAGCTGGTTGCAGATGAGATAATTGTGGTTCTAATTATGCCGTCTGCACTGATTTGTTCAACCCTTTCGAAAAACAACATACAGCAGAAAATATGAGCTTTTCTTTGGGATAGAAATGTATTTCTAGCATTTTACTGACCAATCAACAGCACACAAACCTAAAAAAAAACATTAATATGCCTGTAATAACACTGTGCTAAATGTGGGGCAACGCATTCATTCACTAATAGTCATTCTGCTTGTTAGTACAAATTAACGCAGCGTGACCCAAGGCCGCTGACTAAAGCTTGAAAATAAATACCCATAGGCTGAGTCAAAAGTAAAGGCTGAGTCAATACTGATGTGTTGTATTGTTGATTCCAGGCAATGTATGAATCAGATTGAATAAAAATGGGATCCCTGAGGGAATATCCACCATGAAAAGTGATTCTTGTGTTTATGTCCTGACCGTGGGACAATTCTCTCTATATTTGTGTGCAGCAATAATTGACTAACTAGAAAAAGAGACTCTTTGAGCAGGTTTCAGTGGGAAAATTTTTACAGCTGTGCAAGGTCTCCCTGAGCAACACTAAATTCCAGCATTGCCAAAATTTGGACTACTTTGTAATAATCAAACTAAAAGTTTGTTTCAATGTTAAGACTCCATATGTATTTTCAGAAGGCACATGGGTGATTACACCCTTTTGCCAGCCAACAGTGGTGTTAACTTTGACAAGGGTTATAATACAAAGGAACTGGTATTTCCAAATTGGCAATAATAATAATAAAAGTCTCTGTGCCCTCAACTGTCAATAAAACTGAAAGCCCCTTTTAATGATTATCATAACTGATTAACTGATTACTGATTGTTGCTTTGAAGAAGTTTTGTTGCATGTACTCCTCAGTTACACTGTTATGCTGATGTAAAGTAGATGGCTTTCTTGCAATATATCACATATCCAACAACAATTCATTTGGGCAAGATATCATATTGTTGTACATCCAGAAACAAGTGTGAAGTGAAATAGGAGGGGTTTGTCTTCAAAATGTGGTGTACCTGAATTACAAAGGATTATAGTACACCAAAGATCTGTAATAGTTCAGGCTTTATATGGCTAATAATAATAATTTATTAAAAGATATTTAAAAAGATGTACCCCAATACTGATACAGCAGATCATTTTGGACATCCCAATTGTGTATTTTGGGCAACAAACACACAAACAGTGTTCATGCAGTTGAAAAGAGTACATATGATTTCAAAAATATTAAATCTGATCGCTCCTGGATGGAGTTATCAAAATTTTTGTGGATACCTCTATTGCAGATACCACTGTGTCATTAATCACACAGGGTGCTGCATATTTGTGGCGATATTCATTGGTGACAATGTAAAGAAAATGACAGAAGTGCAGGTTGCACTATATGCATGTGGTGATACAACCCAGAGCAACAAAGCGACCACACTTCTTGATATGATGTAATCATAATCATCAAAATCATGGTACTTCTACTTCAGCAACCAATTTAGGAACATATTGTACCAGTGCTTTCTATGCAGCCATCTGGAAGTACATGTGATGTAACACAACAAAAGAAAATAAAAACCAATGCTTTGCTAGTAGCATCCACATTGTTTGCTGAGACTACACAATTAACAAACAACAAGAAACATTAAGAAATTTGGATGTCTTGCTTTCCAGTTCTGCTTTGAAAAAATATCTATAAAAAGGTGGTAAGAGTGTCAAAATCCATGTGTAATTTTATCTGCATCAAAATAAAACTTTTAAAAAAAAAGCATGGATGCCAAACATGGTAAAAACTTGAATATCCAACTACTGCACTGAAGATACTTTTAAAACATTTTATTCTTTTGTGGAGGGGCTCAGTTGTTTGCAAATTCAAGACTGCTCTTTTTAAGATACAGGACACAGCTACATTCACTTTCCATCTCTCACTGTTTCAGTAAAAATGTAACACAACAACATTCCCAGTAGTGTTGCTGCAGGTAAACTGTAGTGCACTACATTATGTTGCACAGGTGTGCATGATGTTCCTGTATGTTGCAATGCATTTCATTTGCTAACAGAGTGAAAAAACACATAAAGTAATGACATTGCAATCTTCATTCACAGCTTATTTCATGATAAGGAACCAATTTTCACTTGACTTTTGAGAAATAGGGCTGATGAGATTGATGTTGCCAGGGGGTGCTTTTCTTAAGAATTTTGTGAAACTGTGACTTTAGTGAGTCTGCTGTTAATAACACTTGACAGAATGCTGTTTCTGATTTTATATACAACTAACTGATAAGTGAGTGTACTTCAGATGCCACAGAGAAAGCTGCGCAATGACATACATGAAGAGAGGGGCCTCAGAGGACAGCCCTTACAGACAAAAATCCCCATACATCAAGGCTGAATAATACAGATTTCTCATGACGAAGGTCGAATAAGGAATAAGCAATAGATAATACCAATACCTAAGACCAACTGAACCAGTCGATACAACTAGTATAACAAAATATATGGTGTAACAGAAATGGTAACAGTGAACCAATTTAAGATGTACGACTGAGCCAGGACTGCTGAGCTGCTGCTAACGATGCCCACTGTGCTTTCTGTCTGTGAAACCACAACCAGCCACTATGATTAGGCCAGCAAAAACAGAGCTTCATAGATTTATTTACCTTGACAGTATCAAGCCTGAAACTGAGGCTAAGCATAGTTTCTACAACGCTTAACAATTACAATAAGCTGCTGTCTGTCTGTAGCCCACAAACGCTGCTGGCGTGACTAAGACCAGATAAAACTCGTGTTAATAGAGAAGCACTCAAATATGAACATCCAATGTTAGAAACTTGTGTTACCATTATTTCGATAACGAATCAAGAGAAACCAAAGTGGACGGCTAGCCAACTAGCCTGACACATACTCCAGACAGAAGACAACAAAAGACAACACGTACCTGGGTCTAAGTCCTTTTTTCAAAATGTGTCACCGTCCTTTTTCAAACATGTGAGGTTAAATCCTGTGGGGAAACAATGACAAGCGTTGAAAGTGGGCAGTAATCCTAATGTTCACCCTAGCTGCAACTAGACAGGCCTATACAGAAATCGCAGTCCGAGGACGTTAGTGGCTGGGAGTGTGAAACTGACAACACAGTCCCGAGCTGAGCCGAGAGGCAAAATCGACGGCAACGGGCCCTGGGTAGCTACGAGCTAAGCTAACGTAAAGGCTAGCTGCACTTCACTCATCAAATACCCGATTATACTCAGCCATTTTGACTCGCACAGGAATCCTACCGACTCTTAAAAAGCACTACGACTTCTCCATCATGTTTATATTTGACAAGATTGAAATGCCTCACTATTAGCCCTCGACGAAGTTCCCATTCCTGCCTTCCGAGGCATCCGCTGTTGTTTACTCAGCAGGTCGTCTGTTCGCTGGCTACGGCTCACAGCTACAGTGGTGAAAATAAAGGCATTACTCTCAGCGCCGCACGGGAGCGCTACATCGCTGCCAACGATCAGCTACTTTACGACACTTTGCGACAACTTGATTTAAATCCTCTAAAAGCTAAATGTATGGGGGAAAATACTCCATACTCTCTCCTCGTCTTGTTTCAAAAGCTCACAAGACGCGATGTGTACTTGCAGCTCTGTTGATGATGCAAGTTGATGCATCATTGTTTTGCATGTATCAGGTATCATCTGTAATACCCGATTCCAAATACTAGCACTCCCACTAGTGGATGTAGGGTGGACATGTGGAAATGAAAGTAGTGCCCCTGATCCCAAATACAAGTTGCCAGTTGTGGGTGGAAGAAGTGCTCAGATACTTTACTAAAGGAAACGCACCAGTGTAAAAAATACTGTATTTAAAGTAAAGTTTCTGCATTCAAAATCCAACACAAGTAAACTATTATCAGAAGATATACTTTAATTATCAAAAGATAATAAAATTATCTACAAAAAGAAAAAATAGATCTGTTTTCAGTTTTTGGACTTTTCTCTAATCTCTGTTCTTTTGAAATATTGGATCAATTTAACTCTTTGGACCTTTTTTAAATGAAACCAACAAAGAAATTTACAGAGGAAATCACTCTTTTGTGGAACTACTAGGCTACAAAAGAGTGATTCAACTCATAGATCTGTAAATATGACTGAATTAACCATTGCTTGGGGTGTCATAAACCAAACAAGTTGGAAAACTCTGGTTTAATCTTTAAAATGTATTGCATTTTATAGCATTATCATATGTTTTTTATCATATGTAAAATCTTAATCTGAAAGTTAACCAGTAACTATAGCCCTAGGCAAATGAAAGGTATGAATCAAATAATCTCTAAATACACCTGACAAATGACACACTGTCATTGAGAAACATAAATAATCCTACCAAGTATAAATTATTCATGTAAGGCATACACCAACAATCCCTATCCAGGCTGCAGTGTTGAGATGGAAGAAACGATTATAAATAATTGTAATTATTACAAAATTCATAATTAGATCAAGGTATAGTGATTAGTTGGAGGGGATAATGATAATGATGATGAAATCTACAAGAAGAGCTCTTCTTGCCTTTCCAAAGTCTGAAAATACACTGAACATATTTGATATGAACGCATTTCGTTTTGGGCGTGAAAATTTCATAATTACATCATGCTGCAGGGTTGAGTTGAAGGTGATCGGAAGTTAACACTCTTTGCCAAAAAAAACACTGCTTAACGCACAATTCCCCCAGCTGTAATTCCCGCTAATTTATGGAATGCACGTGTGGTTGAATGAAATGAATGAAATGAATGAATGGTATTCAAATGCGAAAGTGATTTGAGATTTTTTTTCCTACGGGACACCGATTTGTTTTAATTTATTCTTTCATTGGTTCCTCCAGCACGGTATGCGGCGGCGTGGCATTTAGTGACACCAAATGAAGCAACGAAGAAGAAGACTGGCCAAACCATCTGAGTATGCGCACGCGCGCTGCTAACTAAGCTTGAGGTAAAATGGCGTCGGGTGCCATTTCCACGGAGTCCAAGAAAATATCAGAATTAAGAGTTGTTGATCTTAAATCCGAACTCAAGCGAAGGAATTTGGACACGTCTGGTGTAAAGAGCGTCCTTCTCGCAAGACTGAGACAGGTAACTTAAAAACGAAGCCATTTTGTGCGAGAACGAGTGAATGCGATGCAGGGTTGCTATCGTTAGCTAATGTTGTTACAGGTTTCCTAAACCTAGTTAAAGTGAACCACCGACATGACCGCCGACTCAATTTATCTATATATATATATGTCAACTTAACTAACCAACACTTCAGGCCAACAGTTGCACATATAACCGTCAGTAAAGAAGTGTGTATGAGCTTCTTAGGTGATTACCGGGAGAGAATTATACTGTAACCATAACTGTCGTAATTTAAAATGTAAAGCTAACGTTAATAAGAGACGGGCGTTCAAAACAGACACAAATGGCCCTGAAAAGACATGTGAATATCGTGGGTTTTTTGAACCTTTAAAGCTATACGTTATCAAATAAATTAAGCGCTCGCTGTTAGCATTAACGCTACACAGTGACTACAACAGTAGCTGATTGGACGTGATTGAGTTCAGCTGTTGAAATAATATGTAGCACGCTGTTTCGTTAAATGCGTGGTGAACCGTGCACATGATCATTTAAGTGATGATTTAAACAGGTGGAGCAGATTCGTGTTCGTTTTTTTGATTGTACGCGATGAACCTTGTCACATTCAAGTTAAGAATGAAAATGATCCATATTGATCCATGGAAGATTTTAACTGTTTTTTAATAAATTACTTGTTACTTTTCAAGGCTCTTGAGGATGAAGGCGGTGATCCAGAAAACTTTCAAATCCAGCTTTCAAGTGATACACCTCGAAAAGGCGGAAAAGCGAAAGGTAATTTTGCTTTTAATTTCATTGATGAGACAGGGTGGCGAATAAAGTCAGTATTTTTTTAATGTTGATTTTTCTTTTCTTTTTAAATTTACTTCACCTTTCAGGAAAAAAGATGGATTCAGATGCAGACACCACAGCGGAAGATGATGTGTTTTCTAAGGTGATTGTTGCACGTAATTCTGTTGTTAATGTTGTTTTTTTATGTCTTCACCTCCTTTGCCTTCCTGCCAAAATGCCTAGATACAAATATAAGAATTTCTCACTGTGATCATCTTAAGCCATTTTTGTTTTTGGGGTCATCAAGAGGGCCCACAGAAACATCTGACAATTTCAGCAAGGGTTCTGATGGTTCCTAGGAAGTCCATCTGAAAAAGTGTGAAAACAACTGGATGACAGGAAGCATTTAAGATACTCGACCCTTCTTAACATGCTTAGAAGTATTGTTTAGAGTTCTCACACCTGTAATACCCTTTTCCTCAGTTCCATTTAACATAAAATAACTGAATACAAAGTCACAAATTCTTGAAAATGATTGAGAAAAACCCTAGCCTATCTATTTGTCAGCACTTGGTATTAAGCTACATCTTGTACCTGTACTATTACATCGAGTCATAAAATAGCAGCATATATCTTTTTATACATGAAAACCACTAAAATAATGCAATAAATTATTTCTATAAACATACCCAGAACTACCCTTTCTTGCTGTGCTTATTACATTGAACCATTTCTGGGCTAACATCAGTGTTGTCTTTTTCTAGGAAACTGAAGAGTACGAATCAGAAAGAGGTATGTATGCTGGCACACTAATGACCAATGCTAACCTAAGGTTTCTTTTTTACAGCTAACATCTTGTGATGATTTAGTGGTATTTCATGCCTCTGCTAGCTACTGCACTATCTAAGTCACAATATGTTAAAGGGATCAATAAGGGCATGCTTAATGAAGACATTTTGGAAGACCGACTCCAGTTTTTTTCATAATTGGTACACACATGAATCATTGGATGTGGGTTGCCTTGACTATGGTATCCAATTTTCTTGGATTACTCAAAATATATTAAAGAAAAGTTCTGTTTGCATCTGTGGATTTCCATGGCCCGTGGCACTCAACTTCCCACATTCCCCATGGAAATGAAGAGTGAAGGGTAACAAACATGATGACATTTTATTATATCCAATGAGTCGGAAGACACAACAACTTGTAGAACTGGAGGATCATTGCACTTTCCTGTTGACATTTTGATCGACAACACTGGACAGACCAGTGACAAGCGCACTGGGTATGTCTGAATACTCCACTCCCTTTACCACAGGAATCAAACACTTGAGTTGTCACAGGTCTTGCCAGATGAGACGGCCTGTGAACAAGGCTGGAATTTGGGTAGTGCAAGGACCACTAGATACCTCAAAACAGTTTGTAAAGGCCTTGTGTCAGGAGGCAGCTGAAAGATAAGAGACCTCACAGTCATTGCAGACATCCATCAATACTGCATATAAACCAGCTGACTGCAGCCCCGGCACGATGTGTGCAATGACGAGATCGGACATACAGCATGGCCTGGGACTGCTAAGGACAGACTGTTACTACCAAAGCAACACACTTTACAGTTTTGTACAGTTGATGGGACACATGGACACAGGTTGGCTTTGATGATGAAAGATGATTTTTCAGTGTTCTGAAATCTGCTGATAAGACTTTGATGACATGGATTATTGAAGAAATATTGGAAGACATTCAAGATTTCCTAAAACTCAGATGACTTTCCATGGACTGGCCAGCTGGGGATGCATTTTGCATAATGCAGAAAACCAAAGGATGAACTGATGAGTCTTTCCTCCTTATTTGAACTTTGTCCAAGATTCCCACCTGGAGAACTGCCACACATTGTAGGAAACATCTGGAATTGCGCGTTCAGTGTGAATTGAAAATGAATCAGTACTTTACATGTGTCAAGAAATGAAGAGCACTGAATCACCCTCCATTTTCGGTGAAGATTGTGTGTTTTGTGTCTTCCTGTGGTGTCTACGCCCTCGATGACCATTAACACTAAATATGCTTTCTATTCTACTTTTTAGGTCAAGTAACATGTGAATGTTAAAAGTTGTGTTTTGCCATGTTTATCCTTATTAAATCCCTCAGATATAACTGATACAGATGATGGTACTCGTGAAAATTCTAAGCCTGCACCCAGTGAGGACAGCCTCGCTCAGCCTGAGGCTGAGGCCCTGGCTGAGGCTGAACCAGAGTCAGAAGCTGTGGCGGCTGAGGCTGATTCAGAGCCTGAGCCAGAGGGCGATGCGGAGGCTGAGCCAGAGGTCGATGCCGATGCTGACCCAGAGGTGGATGAGGACGCTGACCCAGAGGTGGATGGGGAGGCTGAGCCAGAGGCGGAGGCCGAACTGGCTGAGATGGACGCCGAAGCCATGAATTCCTCTAAAGAAGCTGAGGACGATCACCTATCCGTCTCAATCCCAAATGAAGATGCCATCACCCTAGATGTTGATGGTGATGATCTCCTGGAAACAGGTAAACATGTGAAACTTCCAGATCCAGATGCCGAGAAGGGCACTGATGAGCCAGAGGCCTCTGCTGAGACGGGCCCAGATGATGACTTGAAGGAGCAAGAGACAGAGGGCCACAAAGGTGGTAAGAAAGATGATGGATCCAGGTGTGAGCCCATGAAGAAAGACAGCAGAGACTCCTTGAAGAAAGCTGAAACGGGAGATAAAGAAAAGGATTCTGGGAAGAAAGGCCCCTCCACTACTGGGGCATCAGGTCAAGCAAAGAGGTTTGTCTTTCTATGTCAGTTCTTTGATACTACTACCAAGTCCAGCTCACTAAGAACGCAACATTGTGGGTAGCCTCAAGATTTTTTTTTTTTTTTTTTTGCCATAAGGGAAATGTTCACTGATGTACCTAATCCTGCCATTTACTACTTTGATTTATTTTTCTGAAGTTGGTTAAATTGTGGCATTAACCAGGAGCTGAGAAAACGCCTCTTATTTTGTTACTTTGACCTTTCCAGCAGTTTTAAAGCCTTTTCCAGTTTCCACACAAGGCATTGTAAAAGAGCATTAGTCCCCGTGATGGCAGTTTTTTTTTTTTTTTTCCTTTTTGGTCAAATGATTCGCTGTGAAGTTGAACAAACCTCCGAAGATTTCATTGGTCCAGGGAATAAATTGGCTGACAACCTGACCCATCTCACCACTGGAAAAGCAATGAAGCCTTTGAGACATTGGTTCAGATCCACGCCTTTCCTACAGGATTTTTTTTCCTGAAAAGTACAAAATATGTTTTTTTGTTCCACTAGATGTATGCCTATCACTTTACACCAGGGTTTTATTTAATATGACTCATTTTCATCTGTTTGTTGTTGCAACATTTGCTTCATAGCTCTTCAAGAGACAGAGATGGGAAAGCTGCAAAAGATGAAAAGGGTAAGACACTGTCCGAATGTTGTTGATAAAAACCCAGGGAAGCACTTTTGACAACTTGTAACTATTTTTTTTTATTGCTCAATGTGATTGCTGAATGTGTTTTGGAAACATCTTTATCAGGAGTTGTCAGCAGCAACAGCAGCTCTTCTCGTAACATATGGGTGAGTGGCCTGTCCTCAAACACCAAAGCAGCTGATCTAAAGAACCTGTTCGGCAAATATGGGAAGGTAAATAACAAGATGTTTTTTGCAATTAGTCATTGCTTATTTTGAACATGTTTGAAAATATCATTTATTTTATCAAAATCAAAAAATTTTAAAATAAAATTCGTTGCCAACAGGTTTTAAGCGCCAAGGTGGTTACAAATGCTCGCAGTCCTGGTTCAAAATGTTACGGCTTGGTGACTATGTCTTCGAGTACAGAAGTGACTCGGTGTGTCTCCCATCTTGACTGTACAGAGCTGCATGGACAGCAGATCTATGTTGAAAGGGTAAGTTAAGAAGCGGATGAAATTGTTTTCAAAGAGACTTTGATCGGTCTAATATTAACCTCTGTGTTTATAGAACATTTTTGGACCTGTGAACCATTTATATTTGACTGATGCTGTTTTTCAGGCCAAAAACGATCCATTCAAAAAAGAGCCCTCAAAGAAAGAAGCAGAGGACAAAGCAACGTCTAGTAAATCAAGTGACAAACGCAGTTCCACAGGGCTAAAATGGACTAACAAGTGAGTGACAGAAATTCAGTTGAAAAGTTAAACATTTTTGGATTGAAAGCATATTTAACAGTTGGTTCTCCTCACACACAGAGCACAGCCATGTTACAAAAAAGAAGACAAGAAATCAGATAAACTTTCAGAAAAGGACAAAGATTTATCCAAGAAACCAGAGGTCAAAAGTGGGAAATCTGAGTCTCTTTCATCTAACTTGGGACAAGATTCTTTGAAGAAGGATGACAGAAAGCATGGGCGTAAGTTTTATCCCTCTTCCCATCACTAATTTAGAGAATCCAATTCAGTTAATCAGTGGGCGTATGTCTGTTCTCACTGATTATTTTCTTCTTCTCTAGGGACAAAAAGCCCAGGCAAGATGATGATGTTCGATCACGGTAAAGGAGAGTCTAATTTTGGTAAAATGCGACCTTTCAGAAGGGGGCGATATTTTGATAGAGTAAGACCTTTTTTTTTATTTGTATTTGATTTAATTATATTTTAAAGGATATTTTAAATTTGCCATCAGAAGATGTTAAATAAGATTGTTTGAAACTTTTTTTCAGCCCTCTGTCAACATGAATATTCAAAGGCGGCCAAAATGGTTGATTCCTCCTGAAGAGGTATGAAACTCTTGATACTATGGGCATATGACTTTGTACTTTGATGTTTCACTTATGAGCTTTGTTTTAAACTTCAACTTGTATTTTCCCCTCCCAGTTAGAGATGATGAAAGACAAACAGCGACCTTTTATCAACAAGGGGGACGACAAAGACATTCTGCCTTTTGAGAAGATGAAGGAGCAGAGGATGCGTGAACGAATGGCTCGTCTAGAGCGTGTCCGTAGAGCCGTAGAGTTGCGCAGGTATCCTGGAACAGAGCATCGTTCACACACATTTTGTAGATTTATAATCAAGGCATGCTTGTATTGCTATTTATTCTTCTAAGACAAGGGATGTTTTCTTTTTCAGGCGCCGTGAAATTGCCGAACAAGAACGACGCGAGCGTGAGCGTGTCCGTCTGTTGCGGGAGCGTGAAGAACGGGAGAACCTGCTCAGGGAGCGCCAGAGAGTAGAGATGGAAAGACAAAAACTCGAAAGGGAGCGCTTGGAGAGAGAGAGGCTTGAGAGAGAAAGAATCCGTATAGAGCAGGTGACGATGTGACTTTGTAACTATAACAATAACCATGTCTCTCAGTAACTAATTTTAATTTGTGCATTTTAATATTGCCTTTTCTAGGAACGCCGTAAAGAGGCAGAGCGCATGGCACGTGAACGTGAGGAGCTGCGGAGGCAGCAGGAGCAGCTCCGCTATGAGCAAGAAAAGAGAAACAACCTCAAAAGAGGCCGTGACGTGGAACATGGGTATGCACTGTTTGAATTTCTGTCCCTCAGCAGTTTCATGGTGGTTGTGTGGCTAAGATCAAAATTTTTGGACTTTAATTGGGAGTTGTAAGGCAGCAATTCACAAACTTCAGTATTTTAGCATTTTATCCATTTGAAATGAATGTGGCCTACCAAGAAAACAGTATTGATCATCAGGGATCTGTTTGAACTAAGGTTGTTCCCAAGTGCTCAACAGGCTCATAGAAAAGGAAACGGAGAAAACTGCCTGTTAAGGTCCAAAAAGTAACTTTTGGTACCTAAAGTAATCTGGTTTGGCTCACGAGGTGTATCTTTAATGTTGCAGTCGGAGAGATGATCCCTATTGGAATGGCAACAAGAAGATGCAGTCTGATCCTGATGTCCGTTTGAACCAAGGTTCAAACTATAACCGGCAGCCAAACCGCTTTTCAAACTTCAGTCCCCGAGAGAGGGGTCGCTTCCCAGAGGCTGCTGCTGAGCAGCCCAACACTTACGACAGGTAAGAGTGTTGAAACTATAGGAACTTAGGCAGTCCATTGCAGCAACATTATCAGTCACAGAGGACGTTATGACATGGTAAAGTAGGAACAGCACATGGGTAAATAATGAAACAATAATGACTGCATTCCATTTAGCTGCTTCAGTAACAGGGTCCTGGTGTTGTTCATGCTGGTCCACTGTTGTACTGCCATGACTTACTGGGACACTTGATTAGAACAGATCCATTGTTGTTGTTGTTGTTGTTGTTGTTGTTATTATTATTATTATTATTAACACAAAAAAGTAAATGCAGTAGGATTTTTTTGTGCATTCAATATTTTAAATGTTAAAATTTACTCCAAGATCATGTAGGATTTTCTGTTTGTTAGGTAAGAAGGGGGTAAGACTGGGTAAGAAGGTAACCTGTGTGGACCAAGAAAGCTTTCAGAATATGTCAGAATGCGGCATGCGAGTATTCTCCTCTGTTCCACAGTACTTAGGCTTTGTATTCCTGACCTGAGATGTTTTATTCTGCCTATGGGCTAATTTAAGTTTTTGTAATGTGGCTAATCATGTTTTGGTCTTTGTTTTGTTGTAAGACGTAACCGGTTTGATGGTGAGCCTGAGGTTAAAAAAAATCGCCCGGCACCTCACAGAGAGAGCTCTGGCTTTGAGCGCTACCCCAAGAACTTTGAAACAGTTCGCAGAGCTGAACCACCTCCTCCTCCCCGCACTGAACTCCGGGACACTGACCGCAGGGACAGAGATGAGAGACGACCGGTGCCCATGCACGAACGCCCTATGGGAGCCAGAGCTACAATACCTGGCATGTCACACAACCGCACACCCAGGGATGGAGGGCATGGTTGGAAGAATGATGGAGGGATAAATTCCAACAAAGGAGATATGCGGTAAATTGAATGCACTTTTTGAAAAAGAAGCATGATGTGAAAAATACATGAAAGATAATTTATGAAAGGTAATTTGTATCAAACCTCTCACCTGATGTAATGTTTGAGCAGAGGGCCTATGCGTATGCGTGCTGAGCGATCCGGCAGAGAGGGTCCAGGCCCGTCACTCAGAGGAGGCTCCTCGGCTAATCGTGGAAGGAGCAGCTTCAATGATAGAGATGGAGGAAGACCCATGGTGATGAGTGACCAGGTCAGCTGACATTATGACAATGTGATGCATTTCTTAGGTTTTCCTGTACTAATGGTACAGGATAGTCACAGTTCATACACTTCAATTCTTCAAAAACTAGTGCTGAAATGAGTAATAGTTTGATTAATCAAACGTTTGTCATTTATCAATCAAATGACAGGCGTTCTGTGATTCCAGTCTTAAATTGGAGATATTTGCTGCTCTTCTGTTTTTTGAATCTCATTTTAAATTAAAGCAATGTACTTAACATGTTGAAATTAAAATAATTTTCTTAGTGTTCCAGTTTTATTATGCCTCCCTGACAGCTGTGGCCAGGGGCACAATAAAATTTGAGGCAAATTTGGCACAAAGGTTCACTTGGACTTAAAGATGAACTGATTAGATTTTGGTGCTCAAAGGTCATGGTGACCACACAAAAACACGTTTTTGGCCATAACTCAAGAATTTGCACACTGAAGCAGCGGCATACATCGCCATGGTAGTAATTCTTGGTGATGAAATGTTGGTCCAGTCTTAAAGACATCTGATTTGCAAGATTATTATCACTTGTAAGATTAATCATATTTTGACTGAATTTTTAAGAACTAAGAAATTTCAGTCTTAAGCTGAAGCTCACATATACATTTATGGAAGACTCCTTTTATACAAATCTCCTCTCTCTGCAGCCATTCAGCTCTGGCCGCCAGGTCGTGGTGGAGCGTCATGGCAGGGAGCAGGGACTAAGGAAGGAGTGGCACGGTGGATCAAGCTCCCAGGGCGGGGGCTTCCCTGATAATCGCAGGATGGGAGACACCCGGGGCAGCATGATGGCTTCTTCCAGGTATACCAGACATATCAATAAATGATGGAAAAACTGAATGGTGTGACTCTTGTTCCCAGCCACATTAACTTGAACTTTGTCTTTCTGCAGTCACTCTTCATCTGGAATGAACCGAATTGTACAGATCACCAGCAACTCCATTCCTAGTGGTGGAAACGTTGGTGGATTCAAGCCCTTCAAAGGAACACAGCGGCAGTTCTAACTGCGGCCAAATTCTGCCACTTTAAAGCACCTGAGAATTTTTTGAACTCTTTATTCTTAGACTATCAACTGTTTTAGGTGGCACATTTGTAGCCATGAGGTTGATAACACTATTTTATTTTGTATAGACAAGTGTTTACCTCAGTGTAGAGTTCCTGACAGTTCTGCTGTTACCATTAAACAACCATGTGCATATGTTTTACTTATGTTTAGGAAGCTATTGTACAGCCATAGGTCTTTGTAAGTAAAGTTTTCAAGTGATATTACCAACTTCTCCTCTAATTGAGTGTTGTATGTACATTTTGGATAGCCCAGTGTCACACTCAGATTTCCTGTGTACTATGTCTTATTTTAGTGTATTTTAAAACTCATAAAGTGACGTTCATTCATTTGGATATTTCTCTGTGAGGAAACGGATGACATAGGAGTAATTTTCTTTTTGAAAAGTCATACTTGGTGTTGATGCTTTTGAAAGATTAATCGGATTTACTAAAACATCAAACTCCCAAACAGCCTGCATTGTACCTCTCATAGGCCATGAGTTGAATTACATACAGGCCTGTGTCTTTGAAATAAAATTTGACTGTAAAGTCTTCCTGCAGGGCATTCAGTGGTGTTACACTTTGTGAAAGGACCATAATACATTGTTTTAAGTGAATTAATTGTTTGTTATTCCAGTAAATCTGGAAATTTGACAGACCATTAATGGCTGAAAATCTGGTGGTTTGGGCTTTTCGGTCAGTTCTCAGCCTACAGGGATTTTGAAAGATGCATGATATTGGTACCTATGTACTTCATTTAATCTTATGATACAAGCAGGAAGTACTTTAATGGCTGCGTTTAGAATATTTGGGTTTGAAGATGTGATCTACACAACATGAAATCTCCACTTTGAAAGGACTCCAGATGTTGACACTGTAGTGGAGCAAGCGCTCTGTCATCTGTGACTAAACCTTCACCATGCCTCTGTGAGGAGGTACCTCTGTAGTGCTTATTTTACTTTTATTTATTTTTTCATTGAAAAACTGTCAAGTTTCAACATCTTTTTTTTTTTTTATAGTTGGACCAGTACTATACATCCAGGGCTGCTCACTCATACTTGGACTCACAACACACTCTTTACCTACACATTTGTTGTAATTGGTTGATAAAGCCTGATTAAACTACAAAAAAGTGAGAAGCAGAATGACTCGTTCTGATTGTTCCATGATCGAAGCCTCTGTATCTCCTTTCCTCAACCATTCTCTCACCTTGTGCATGTCCCCTGTCATCTCAAAGTTCCCATCAACTATATGGCTGCTTCATTGTTTTCCCATGAAGCCAAAAGCCAGTACTCCTATGCCTGAACACTACTTGTGATTTTTAACAGCTATATTCAGGAGTATGGACCATGTAAGATAAAACAAGTGCCGTCCCTCCCTTGTGAGTCACTTTGGATACAAGCGTCTACCAAGTGATTAAATGACATGTAAATGTAACGACAGCCACAAGATTAGGTAACTGCAGGATCTATTATAATTGAAGTGGATGGAAAGTGGTGGAACAGTGCTGGTAGAAAAAATGTAACATATTTTGTGAACATTTTATACATATATTTATATATATATATATATATATATATAGTTTTAAAGTGCTTTATGTTAGTAATTAATGGCCCAAAAACCCCTTAAATTGTCAGGAGTGTGTATTGGTTATCTCTTCATTTATATTTAATCAAAACAAATCTAACCTTATCTCAGACCCGCTCTCATTAGATGTTGTTGATTGTCAGGTGAAATAAAACTAAGTAATCCCCAAAAGCATTCATGGGAACAATTAGGATTCATGTTTTCTGATGCTTGAGCAGCTATCTTAGAGTCACTTTTACAAGGTTTCAGGGGACTTTACAAGGTTTGGCTGAGCCTCTCCAGCACTTCCCAGTTTAAACATCCTTCTTTCTGACTTGTATCACACAGCTCAGATACTTTATCATACACTGCACTGACTGTGATAGTGGTCCCTGAGGTTTTGGTCAGCCTCCTTAGTGTTTTTCAGTTTGTGTGCATAGTCAGGTCTGTGTTAAGGAAAATGTGTTTTCTGTTTGCGTTCCAGTAAACCTCTCCTCTGGTCACATATTGCTCAACTTTAAACCGGTTTTGCACCTCTTGTGCAGTTTCCCCTTTGACATTTCCGGTCACCTGAGGGGCTTCACACATACATTTTTTATTGTAAGAAAAATGTCTAATTGAATTAGCCACAGATGAGTGTTAGTTATGGGGACAAAGATATTCAAATTTAACTTATAAGTCACAAAACTGCTGCGCTATTGTTGCTCTTATATATAGATCCCTGTCAACATAATGTAACAGTGACTTAAAATGAAAAAACAGGATAAAATTAATGGGGTTGCATCTTGTCAAAGCAGCAGAAAATTAAGACTTTGTGAAATTGGTCCTTGCAGGATAAAAAAGGTAGGAATGCAACAGACAGTAGATCATTGACACTGAAGTTTATATTTTATAATTTTTTTAGATTGATCTTCAAAGTGATTAAGGCTCATTACAAACGATGACAACAAACCAACCATTGATCTTAGTCTTTTATTATCCTGGTAACTTCTAATCAGGTTGAATGTCCCTCGTCTATAAGGCATTTTGTTATATATATATCACCATATACAATATGTGACTGTAATGTGAAAGGCTACATACATTATTTGGTCATTTATGTAAATAGATGAACATTGAAATCAACACAAATGAGTATCCTTCCATATTCACAAACACGTTCCTTTTGCTTGTATGTTTTATGTGAAATATAAACATAATGAGCCGCACAGTGGAAATGATGTTCTTGGGGTAGTTAATAATAAAACTGAACTCTGCCTAACTTTTCAGTCCACACTATACATGCGCCGCAAAGTAAAATCTGGGAGTCTGATATTGCGTTAAAGAAAATGTCTCCCTTGAGATTGTTCAGCACTCTGGATGTGTATCTCATACAACAAGAATGAACATTTCCCTCTGCTACATAGATGACAACACTCAAGCCTTATAAAGCAGCCTTTTCCCATTTCTCTGTATGTTAAAGTTTGGGCATATCGCCCTTGTTTGTGAACATTGTGTGGTTAAATGATGGAAAAATAATTACCTGAATTAGGGGTGCACCTACACCATTTTTTTTGCTGATTGAATAGATACCAGTGTTGTCTTGTCTACATATTTTCTTCCGTGCTTTGTAGAAAACCTGCTTCTGTTAAGTAATTCAAATGAAATCCATCTATCTCTTGTTGTAATTCATAACGTCCTCATCATCTATGAGCTGTGTGCTGGTACTCAGGCCTTTGTACTGGTAGCCTTTTGCCTGGTATAGGTGTACCACTAACCTGAATATATCAAATTGCAGCAAGTTCTATTGAAGTGACACTATCTTTTATCCTTTTAAGCCCAAACATTTAAACAGCCCTTTCATACTTTTACAAATTTATATTATTCGCCTGGCTTAAGAGCAACCGCTTGAGAGAATTCTTTTGGCCATTATTCAGTTTTTAAAAGGTACCCAAAGAACAATAGCACTCTTTCACAATTTATGTTCTGTATAAAATGAGGTATGTTTCTCTTCTGTTAGTGCATATCAATGTAACAGTGCAAAACCAATTACAACGATTATATGTTCAACAACCACCTTGTCAAAATACTCATTTTACAGCATTTACCCCACCATCACTTTTACAAGGCAAACAAGAAACCACTTTGAGACATTAAACACACAATATCCTTCTGATCAATTCATCATAGGAACTAGGGTGAAACAAACACATTACAACAAAAATATCAAATTCTGGTATTGATGACTAGGGGATAGCAAGCTAATGCACAGTAGTAAATCTGAAATAATAATAATAATAATAATAATAATAATAACAATAATAATAAAAACATGTGGCATGTGTCGCTCTGCGCTCTTTTCACTCTGACAAACACCAACCAACATAAAATCTTCCAAATCAATTCAAACTGCCCTAAGTGAAGTTTCATTTTTTAAGCTTCCACTGGAATGTGTAATCAGCATGTTCACTTGATGGGCCTAGACATACATGAGGTGAAACTTGGTAAAGACAGACAAAAAAACAAAAAAACCCCAGAAAAACCCAATACAATATTGCCACAAAGCCTCCGCTCTGCCTTCTTGCTTTCACCTTATGATTATATGTTACTCATTTAAGCTGCTTGGAAAAAAATCTGCTAAGGACTCAATGAGAAGTGTAGATAGTTAACAATGTTCCTTAACCCTGTCTGAGGGGCTTTTATTTTTTTAATCATATAATCCAAGTTAGCACAAGAGGAGCATCTTAAGTCATTGTTTTCTAGTGTGAAGTTCAACAATGAGGGTCTTAAATAATATAGTGTTAAGTCCTCCAAAGTGTCAAAATAGTTGAGAGTATACATAAATAGATACTTAAAGGTGTGATGGAGAAAGTGACTACAGGCCAAGGAACTGTGCCATTACAAAGCATACCATTTGAAAAAGACACTCGAGGATATGTCCCTTGAATAAAAGGCCTGAGAGTATTTTTGATGTTCGTGTGAAAAATGCATGGATTGTCTCATTCTGGTAATACGCCTGTTTCCTGTTGTCCTATAAAATATGCTGAAATGTTGTAAGGCGTCATATATATATATATATATATATATATATATATATACACACACACACACACACACAAAACATAGCCTCGTCAGGGCCAAACAAACTAACTCCAGCGAACACACAAAGCCCATAAGAAAGGGTTCCCACACAGTAGGTAGCCTGCTGCCTCCATGTAATCGTCCTGTCCTCACATTGAATTTGTTCTCACTGAACAAAATAATGATGGAGGTTTTACAAGCACTGCAAAGACCTCCTGTAACAACTGTCTCCCTCAGTCTGTAATAGAAGGCTTGAGTCAAGGCATCCAATTGGAATGTATAGATAGAAAAGTTTCTCAGGAGGCAGTCCCATGGTACAATAATGGCACAAACCACTAGCCAAATCCATCATAAGAATGCATTAGATAAATATGTACATCATGTGTTTGCACACTCAACGCTGTAGTGAAATGCACACAAGTTAAAAGGTCATACCACAGAATTTCAGTATTCGGTGTGTATATCCAAGACCTCCAGGGCTGCTCAGTTTGTAAACATTCACTTTTAGGCCTTCTTTTCCACAAATGACAGATGAATTTAGCCCTCTCTGAATTTGACACAGGGGCTAATGTAAATCTCTAAGAACGGGTAAGAAAAGGTGATTGAGATTAACCCGTGGAGAACTGCGCAGAACGAGGAGGAAAATATCCAGCTAACGGAGCCCAACATTGTGAGTTGCAAGTCTTGATGTCACCGATTTGGAGTTTGGGTTCCGGTTTGTGGAAAAGAGTAGTACATGTTCACAAATATGAACTGAACTTTCCTGGTTTAGAGGAATATTACATAGAAATCACTAAATTCTGTGGTATTTCTCTTCAAAACCTGCCTGCAGTGGAACTTTTACATCCAAAACCTAACAGAGGAGATCAAGATAGTGCCTGCACGCACGCACGCACGCACGCACGCACGCACAAAAACACACACACACACACACACACACACACACACACACACACACACACACACACACACACACACACACACACACGCACACACACACACACTGCATCTCTCCAGGAAGCTGCCAGAAGAGACTGTGAGAAAGAAAGGGGCCTTTCAGAACTACCATGCACTCTAAATTGGGTGCGATCTAATACAAATCTAATCTGCCAAAAGCTAGTTGTGTCTCACACAGAAACAACATCAGATTCAGAAAAAGACTTGTCAATTAAAATCTGCAATGCTTTCCTAAGTCTCACTGTCCCAAACATGTTTTTTTGTGAAATAGAATCACAACATAAAAGAAATCTCATAAATGTGTAGCTTAACTAATACAGCGTCAAAGATTTGGCTATTTCCAATTTGAAACTTGTTACATCAGTGATGCTGAGTAAATGAGACATGTAACACGTATACCGCACGCCATTATACCACATAGCACACGTGTACTGTACATAACATACACATGAAGACAAACAAACATTCACATTCAAACAGAGCAGAATACAACACTGCCATTCTTAAGGCAAATCTGAACAGGGCAAGCTGTGATGAGTATTGTTACGAAGCTACAGTATCTGGCAGCTATCTGGCATGAAGTAACCCTTAGGTACATAGTGATTCAGAGGGGACACAAATAATGTTACACTGAATTCTAACAGGCAATATTATGAGAGAATCCCTTTCATCTTACACAAAAAAAAAAACATAAAACTGCTCCCAAAAGCTACCTGTTACACAGATATATAAATAAAATGTGAATCTTGGCATTGACAGCTAACTTAAAAAACTCAACAAAAATCAAAAAAGTGAGTTTGTCTAATATGCTTCGTCAATATTGATGAGTACAAAAAAGCTTATAAGCTGCAATAATGAAAAATGAGTGAAATGAATGATGCTTTTGGAAAAGAACACGGTGAAAGTGTGACATTTTGTTTCTTCAGATTATGTCTTTTGCTATAAAATATACCACCCCAGATAAACTTGACCCCACATCACAAATATAGTGCACTGTGCAACTTGTAACAAAGTTTGGCTGACTCTATGAAAGATAAGGGGTAGTTGTTGTTGTAGTGTCCCTTCCTCTGATGTCTAGGTTTAGAGGTTAGCAGGCACCAGTGGTTTGGGAACAGCAGATCCACTGTTAGTCTTGTTGCGTCTCCCCTCAATCGTCTCCTTCCCTTGTTTGTCATCAAGTGGGGGCTCAGCGTTGTGTGTCCAGTCCATGGAGAAACAAATGCTGTCCCCGTGCTCACAGATAAGCAAATGCACAAAACACTCACACGCACACTCACACAGACACACTGTATGTTACAAAATAACACATTTGTCTTTATCCTTTGATTCTTTCTTGGCTTTGCGCTCCCCACTAGAGGACTGTTTTCCCGGGCTGGGTGTGGCTCCAGCTGCTGCCACCGTCCCAGCGCCGGCTGCTGCTCCACCTGCTCCTGCACCTCCTCTTTCAGCCTCATCTCCCTCGGCAGGTTCCTGCTGGCCCTGCTGCACAAACAGAGCAAGGGAACAAAAGAAATGTAAATACATGTATATAGACGTGTTTATTACAAGCAAACCTACTTGAACTGGAACTGGAAAAAAGTGCAAATAGAAACATTAATGTCTCCGTTGAAAGTATGACAAAACAAAACAAGCTGAAGACAAGCTAAAAAAAAAAGTGCAATGCCTCATTGGTTCTAATGATGTTCTTTATAGAAATCGTCTAATCAGTATACCGTGTATCTCCCATGGAGGGCCAAGAGGAAGTCAGTGAACCCTTTGGAATTATCTGCATTTATGAATAAATATGTCTGAAAATGTGGTCAGATCTTCATCAAAGTTACAAATATGAACAAACACAATCTGTTTTAATTAATAACACACTAATCGTTGTACTGTTCTTGCCGATATTAAAAACATCATTCAAATATTCACATTGTAGGCTGGAAAAAGTGTGAACCTCTCGGCTAATGACATCAACAAAAGCTAACTGGAGTCAGGAGTTATGAAAACTGGGAGTCCAACAAATGAAACAAGATGGGGGGAGTGGATTAGAGCTATTTTGATTTATATAAAAAGACTTAAACAAGTAACATTTGCTGATGTGAACCATGCCTGACCAAAAAAGAAATCACAGAAGACATAAGACATTGTTGATTTGCATGAAGCTGAAAGGAATACAAAGTCATCAAAGAGTTTAGATCATCAGTCCACAGTCAAGACTGTCTATAGATGGAGTTCTGTGGCTACTCTCCCTAGAAGTGGGTGCCCATCCAAGATGACTCCAAAAGCACAACGCAGACACAGCAGTCATGTGTCTACTATACGTAAATCACGGTCCATAGTCGCATGGAGGAAGCGGCTGCTCTCCACAAAAAACATTGCAGCGTGCCTGAAGTTTGCTAAAGAGCAGCGCTTCGCTCCACAGTGTTGCTGGGTTTTATGGACTGATGAAAATAAGGTTGAATTGTTTGCGAAGAACACACAGCACTACATGCTGTGTAAACCCTTTTTCACTCCGTACACTACTGCACGCCAACATGAAAACATACTGGGGCTGCTTTCATGCCTCTAGGCCTAGAGATCATTGAGGGGAAAATGAATTCCCAAATTTATCTCAAAGATATTTTACAAGTTAATGTCAGGATCAATGTCAAGAGAGTCACTCACACCAGACATCCTGAGAATATGGCTGAGCTGAAGCAGCTCTGTAAAGAATAATGGTCCAAACATCTTTGTGAACATTGTGCAGGTCTGATCCGCATTTACCAGAAGTGCTTGTTTGAGGTTATTGCTGTCAAAAGTTTGACTCGTTATAAAATTCAAGGTTTCATTTACTTATTCCACCAGCACTGTGTTTTAAAGGTGTGTTCAGTAAAGAAATGAAACAGTAAAGTTGTTTATTATTAGCTTGAGCAAATTGTCTCTGCTTATACTTGTGACAATCAGATCAATTTTTTATGATCAACTCATGCAGAAAACCAAGTAATTCCAAAGAGTTCACAGGACTGGATACGTGTCACTGTTCATCTGCAACAATTACACGACAATGCGTGTGCCTTGACCTCATGGTAAAGGGTGGCAGAATTACAAGAAAAAAAAGAATATGTCCCGTTTCATCCTCAATCCCTCCTTTATAGCTCAAACTCCCTGATGCAGACATCCATCTCTTTCAAGAAGGTAACATCTTCCCTCTGTGTCACATTTGTTCAAAGTCCTGCTTCTCCTCCCTCTCCCACCTGCTTTTACCTCGTTCAATCCCTCCCTCCCCACCTGTGCCTGTGCTGCTGCCGCCTGCTCTTGCTCTTGCTCCTGGTAGTACTGGGAGGCTCGTCGGTCCTCCTCCTCCTGAAGCTTTTTTGCCAGCTCTAGGTCACTGATGCCCTCGGGGAGTTGCTCCCACTGCAGGTCCTGGCTTTGCTGCTCCTGCTGCAGCGACAGCGCCATCAGATAGTCCTGATGACACACATGAACATGCACAGGGAGAGAGACACACTTGATGATTTATGAGCAAAAGTTGTCATTGTGATGCTTATGTATATACACTGTATTCTTATTATGCCGAGCTTGGTCGCTCCTCAGCCAACATGTTATAGACCAATCCACAATCCACAACCACAGTTCTGTGCTTATTAACTGAGCACTTTTCATTTGTTGTATTATCTTCATCGTATTATTTTTTGAAGTATAATTAACAGAACTTCCTTTATGCTGGAGTTATCCATTATGTTACATTCAGTATGTTCTATTCTTCTCAATGTTATGTCCTTTGTCAAGGCGAAGACCCAATTTCCCCACTGAGAATTACAAGTTTTCTACCAATCTAACTGAATTGATTATGAGTGCATAAATTGCCTGAATAGATTTTTCTCACCAAGCCTATCTTGTAGATAAGGAGGGATGGGCCTGAGTGAGCAGCAAAAAGTAATAGCTCCCATGCTCAGGTCCAGTCTGTGTGTGTGCGAACAAGGCAGACAATATGTCAGCGAGCTCTGTGTTTGGCCCACTCTGGCCGACCAATGAGCAAACAGCTGTGAATTATAGTCAAAATGCACAGGAGACATAAACTCAATGCATCGCTAAAGGGCCAGTGTGGAGTCAGTGTGGTACAACAAAGAACGGATGAGAAGGGAAGGGGGCACAATGCAACCCTGCTATGTGATGTTCAGGCTGCCATCTGATATGTCTGCATCTCAAATATTAGTGTGGGGAGTCATAACACATCTATTATTTAGCCCAGGATGGTGCACAGTTGATTTTTTTTTTCCCTTATTCATTCACGTTTCATTAACAATTCTGTGCCATTCTGGTGTTTCCTGGAATTTGACGGAATGTGTGTTGTGACTTTTTGTCTTTCCCTTTCCCTCAGTGTTTAAAACAAGATACTTGAGGAAAGAACAGTGAGGAGCATTATGCCACTACTGGTCCAGCATTCTGTCTCGGCTTTTGTGGTACACTAATGGTGTGAAAAGCACATCGCAGTTAAGCATATCAAGATGTGGTGGTAGATAAATGCTGGTTCTGCTAGTCTTGCCTGCATCAGTGCTCAGACCTGGTCTATCTGATCCTGTTGGCCGCGGTACACAGTCTCTGGATCAGAGGGAGGCCGCAACCGGAACTCTGAATCACAGAAGTTGCCATCCCCATCAACGTTGTGCAGACTCTCCCAGACGACCTTCTCCTCCGTCAGGAAACCTTGGTCTGTAACCAGGAGGTACAGCTGGCCCTAGGAAGTAAGCACACACACATATATCTTATCAGTGTTACACTATATACACAGGGACATGATGTCACAGTTTCTACTGTTGGTACACACCCACACAACGTGCATATGGGCGTTTATCATGTGCGACTATATGTATGTGTTTGTGCAAAAGTCTGCAGCTGAGTGATTACAAGAGGCTGTCATGATACTTGGTCTGACGTCATAGGTGACACACACGGCTTTGCTTACATTGGCAAATTATACTGTGCTATTCAAAATGAGAGTACGCAGACTTCACTTCCCCTCCTGCAGACAACAGGAAAGGTCTGTCCCAGCTACAATGACATGGCGAGCCAGTTGTGGGCACGGGGCTGTTGGGGATGGGATGCAGACGAATGGGACCTCTTATCGTCATCGGGATTGATGTAATATTGTATATCTGTTACACATAAATGCATATCTATCATAAGTTTGAAGAACGTCTTGCAGTACGTCTATGCAGTGAACACTATTGGAAAGTGCTCAGGAGCTTTAGCAGAGCGGGAAGAGAAACAGAGAGAAGAAGGGCTTCCTGACAGGTAGATGGTAACACTTAAACTAGAAAGTTCTTTTTCTGAATCATCTGCAAAATAATCATTCAAAATCTTGACACACAATTAAATATTACTCTAAGGCTTTCCTGTAAAAATTAACTATTTATCAATTCAATCAAATTGAACTATTTCTTATTGAATAGCCCACAGAGAAAGATTTAATTAAAGCATGTTTATTCTGTTTAGCTCACAGACAAAAACAAAGAGCTGTCTGTTTAAGATTGCAAAGTTGGTTTTGCTTATATCTGTAAACATCCGCAGAGAAGCAGAAATCTGACTGTGATATAAAGGTAAAAGGCTTCATGAGCCTCGTCACTGGCTGGGAGGACAGATGACACATGGATCTCAATCTAACTAATGCAAATAATGCCAACAGTTTTAGTGTTGACAGTACTTTTTCGGTGTGGTTACCTTGAATTTGATCATAGTGCTGAAGTGGTTATTCCTGAAAAAGACACAGAGCTCTCCCTCCTGTACAGTGGATGTGAGCTCACATAAGCCATGGTACGTCAGCTGAGTGGCTGTGCTGCTCAGAAACTGCTCTGCTACAATGCCTAGTATGAGAGACAGGAAGGAGGAAACATACAGAAAAACAAAGGAGGTATTGAATTAGTGATTGATTAGCCAGTGCAGAAACTTGGTCACATGAATGCATATTGTATTTTGGTTGTATGAGTTTACTGCCTGCGTGCTGCAGATCAAAGACATATTTAAAATCAATTGATTGAAATTGAGCTATATTATGTCTCTGTTAATTTTGGTGTTTTAATTTGATAAGCTTCACCAGCCACTTGCCTGTTGGCCTATGAGTTAAAGTAGTTCTGCAAATAACCAATTATTCAACTTAGGAAGGTGGAAAAATAACTTTCATTTGTTGCTTGTAAATTGCCTCTTTTTCATTTTCAAATATTTTCATCATTAGACGACAGACCACTGGATGAGTCATCTACACTACAATCAATCCCCGCTCATTCATGAACATGGGTCAGTATTTGGAAGGCTTACTGGAAACCCTGTTGTAATGTCTGTAGTTGCTATTTGAACATTGTGACTCTCTGCTGCTGAACTGGTCACAGTTACTATAGTGAACCCAATATAGACTGAGTAGCAGATGGTGATCAACATCTGTAAGACAGGACAGCATCCAATTTGTAACAAACACCCACAAACGCAGTGTGATACTCAAAAAGACAGAGGAGCAGTCTACCAAAGAATGAGCCACGACGGTGGAAACAGAAACTAACTATTGAACACTGAAGCACATCAAAGCATAACAACAAATCTCAGAGATGTTTCATTTTCTCTCAGTTTTCTGAGAGTTATCTTTGCCCATCTAAAGTGGATGCAAATCCAGCTCATCAAGCAGCGATGGGTAGCATCAGCAGCAAACCACTTAAATCGGGTCCATGCTGCAAATGTCGAAATACAATAGAACAGGAGTGAATCTCCTACAGCATTATCATCACTGACTGAGGCCTTGATTTGTTGGACTTGGCAGCAGCCCAGCTGACAACTTCTGAGGAAAGTCAGTGGTGAATTAGCAAATATTTAGTTGAGAAGTTACTGACAGCTGTGGAAGTAGGTCATTTGATGAGCAGCCACATGTGTCCTGGTTTTATTTGAACTTGGTCTGTGGTTTTGCGCAGAATATGTTTGCACTTTACTGTAAATATATCTTATGTAAAGAAGATGCCACTGATTCAATGTTACACTGCACAGCTGTTTCTCTGCAGAGTTGTACTTGTGTCACTACGTATGACACAAAGACGCTGGTGATAATTGACTTCAATGTGTATTGTAAAATTAATAGAAAGAGGATGTTTATCAGAATGCAACTCTAAAGCTCAAAATTTGATTTGAACTTAAAACATTTTCCTCAAAATTAATTACTTTCTCTCTTTTTCTGGACCTCCAGTCAAGTACACAGGGATGACAGGGAAGGGATGACGGGGGCCAGGAGGAGAGTCAGGCAGGTCAGAGAGTAGAGGGAGTGAGGAGAAAGCACCCACCTTCACCTGCCAGTTCGCTGTTGTCTGACTGTTTGCAGGATATTATCTTCTCCACCAGCTGGTTGTAGCTGCAGTTTCCCACTGCCTTGACAATGTCATGCATCTGCAAACAAAGATAAAAACTGTGGGAGAGAACATTCACCAGGCTTTGGTGCTGTTTCACTAAAAGCCACAGTACATTTATACAAAATTTATAACAGAGAGAAATATTCTGGTGACAAGGGGTTCATGCTGCAACTGTTAGCACTGTGTAAACCTGATTCCTGAACGCAGGTACATTTACCTGCTAATTTTCTTTATTTAGGTTGGTGTGAACGCTGTCACTTGAACTCAGACCAAAGAAGTGAACACAGTCAACCTGAAAAGGAGGTAGTCTGGTTCCCAGAGACCTCTGGAGTTGTTAGTTTGTGGTTTGTGTAGTAGTAGCTATGACGATACTTTGAATTCAAAAGTTACACTCGTTATTAAATATACACAATCCATCTGCTGAATGTGGAAGCCGTCATGGAAAACATCTCCAATAATTATCGAAAATGATTTGCTATGGCAACGTACATTTGGAAGTTAATGATGTAAAAACTGTGGTTAAGAGAGCAAAATGAAATGACTACTGCATCCACCCCTTATGGTACAAGATGCCATGTTTCTGTCCTGTTTCTAGCGGTCTGTGTTTTCAATCTTGTTTCAGTCTTGACTAATAATGTTCTTAACCACCTCTTAATATCTGAGCTCTTTGTGACACTAAAAAAGATAAATAAACCCACAGGGTGCAATAAAGTTCAGTAGAAGTCACCAGAATAAACTGCGTTTTGACTTTTGTAGCACTGGTGATGCAGGATGACAGTCGCCAAATTAAAATTTAATGCTATACATGTTCACATCTCACTGTTTGTTTGAGATAAACTAGGACGCTTTCACATCTACAGTTTGGCTCATTTGGTCTGAATCAAGGAAAACACAGATACTGTTCCCTTACTTATATTTCATATTGAGCCTATAAGCTGCAAGCATGAAGTCATATGGACCGACATACTGATTGAACAGTTTTAGCAACTGTCATCCTGCGTCATCACCACTAAATGGACCCATGTGGGGAAATCCAATAGCAAGTCGTGCTGCACTTTACAAAACCTGATGAGTTAATTCATGGTCTAATTATGAGTATGATTAGCTCAGACCGCAAATGGAGCTAATATATGTAAACTGCGATGAAAAGGATGAAACAGTTTGCATTGTGATAGTGCAGGAATGAGTGGTCAGTGTGTTTCACTTACTTCTTAATGAAGAACTGCTAAAATACGCAAAGCAGGACACAAACACAACACGCCTCTTACTTTTAACTCCTATTCATTTTCAGATTTGTGGTATTTGTGGGACCAAGTGATACGGCATAAATATACATAACACTTATAAGACTGCTTCCTTTAAAGTTCAGGATTAGCAGAATTCATACAAATCTACCATCAGTAAACCCTGTGGTTGGTCTGCTTCGTTTTCCCACCACAGTCGCCCAGCACCAGAGTTACCAAAGGAGTTACCTGTCAGCCTGTTAGACTGCATGGTTACTCGTCTTGGTTTCTTTGTAATAAGTTAGTGTGAACACAAAACCAGACCCGAACTTTAATACTGTAACATTTTTCCCTTCTCCTGGACCAAATGAACAGAACTTCAGATGTGAAAGCAACCAGTTTCCAGTATTTCACTATTCATAGTGAATTAAAAAAAGAGATGTGTTGAGGATAGACATGAGCACAATAAAACACACTGGCTTTCAGGGAAGTAAAGGAACACAGCAGTGATGAGTAAGGTCCATCTCACCTGGGGGTCAACCAGCCAGCCGTGGTAAAGGGGGATGTCCAGCAGATCAAACACAATGCATTCTGGGGTGTACTCAAAGACTCGCACCCCGGTGAATTTAACATTCACATCCAGACCTGTCTGCAGCTTATGCAACACGGCCATGGCATCACTCATGTTCTAGGAAACAAGGAGAAAGAGGATACGCATTCTTGTTAAAAAAAACAATGCAGCAGAGGAATTAAAAAAAAAAACAAAAAAAAAAAAAAACATGTTTGCTTATGTATTGTTAACAATATACAAAACCAAGAGCTGTGTCCAATCCAGCTGCTGCTGTCAGCTGTCCTCATCTGTTACACTATTCCTGGCTGTCTGCACACAGTCAGCATAGCTGGAGCTATTAAGTATTGATTTTTCTACCTTTACAACAAACCATTAACTGCCATTTATGCCAGCGCAATACAAAACCCTCCCAAAAAAACACCACTTCCACACACTCAAGCCTTCATTTGGTTTTGTCAAATGTGTCTGCTTTACAATTATTTCATTGAGACTAAGTTGAGTTTTCATATTTGCTGCTCTTATTAGGTTTTACTCTGTTTACCATCAATCAACCTACAACCGCAGAAAGAAATGGAAGTCTCTGCCAGGAAACCATTTGATATTACATTTCTGTGTAAGCTTTCAGACTCATCATCATGAGACATGATATTTCCCTTTGATAATATTAACAAGTGGACAAAATAACAGGAACACAAGACGATATGATGCAATCCAATAGCTCTGCAATGAATACAGCCTTTGTTTGATCTTTTGAGGCATTTTTGCCTTTACTTTTGATAGTGGATGATAGAAACATGGCAGAAAATGAGGGGAGAGAGAGAGAGAGAGCAACAAAGGTCCTCGGCTGGACTTGAACAGGGGGACACTGAGACTACATGGTCAGTAACCTAAACCTCTAGCTCACCAGATCGCCCCTAAAATGTTAAAATTTTAATACAGTCATATCAGACAGATGATTCAGTTCTGTGGCCAGTTCAAGGCTGTAGTCTGTTAACTTAGACTAAAGTATATGATATTGTAATTGTTCCCATTTTAATACTTTCAGGGCTCAAACATTAAGTTGCATAATTATTCCACATTGTAACAAACCACTACAGGGTTCATCCTATAGTTTAGATCTCACTACCTCCTCTAGTGAAGGCCATAATTAGTTAAGAAGATAAAATGGATGGGCAGCACATTTAATTCGCTCTTTTAGTAAGTTAGACAATATCAACTTTAAATGACTTTAACTCCGGTAACTTGTCGAGCCTTTCTGTCCCGATGATGGGAGATGAGTCACTGTAGCACAAGGTACTTTTTCCTTTGATAACCCCATCAGACCATCAGAATCTACACTGTGCTATTGTACCAGACAGTACAATGTAGACAGAAACCTAGCTTCCTGGTGTGCAGTATATACAGTAGTATGTAGCTTCACACCAGGGAGATAACATTACACAGAACAATGGCTGAAAGCATAAAGATGCCTGAGGCAGGTTTACCATCTCGTGTAGATACATTTACTGAGTAAAACCCAGAACACCCTCAAACACAGCACACACACAACATCTGGGTTTAATTCAGCAAAATCAAATTTCTGATGGCTTCAAATAACATTCTGGTTGTCTGCGTATAGGTTTGTAAATACTTTTTAATGTTAATACTTTCTCAGGGTCTGTGTCAAACCACGCATACAGTTTACTGGTTCACCTCGCTTGTCTTCTCTTTGGCCTTCAGCAGTCTATAAAACCTTCTCCAGTCAGTTCCTTACTAGCTTTATACCATCTTTATACCATTTCTATATGTTTTACCCATGTGACTGTTGCAATTGTGATTTCCCTACAATGTTATGGGTTTTTACAAGTTTCATTAAAATAAATCTACCACTAGGTTCCTGTGAGGTTTTAACTGCATATGTTGTCTCTGGTAATCATGTGGCATGCCTGAACAAAACTGAGAAAAATACCACTCCATGCTGCTTTTTGCTTTTCACCCTTATTAGAAAACATCAGAACTTTATTTTGGAACAGGGTAGCGTTCAGCTTGCCATTAATTGTAAGGTTGGTGGTTTGATCTTTTTCTGTCCACATGCTTCTGCTGTGTGTACATGGTGGAGAATAATGTACTATAAACGGCTCTGGGAAGAATACTTTTCATTTAGTCATTTCAGTTCAATGAGACACAGTCGATATTTAACATAGGCATTGGTAATACAAATCAGAGCTGCACCTCTTGTTTGCTTTGCTAAACAAATGAACTAATTCTGATATTAATGTGCTTGCATATAGTATATTGCTGGTTTGACATGGAACTGATGTTTTTTTTCCTGTGTTTATGTCTAATAAGTTTTTAAACACTGCCAAAAATATAAATATGTAGAAAGAAATTCCTCTCTTTCAAATCAATGACTGAAGGGTTGAACAGAGTGAACTTTATATATAACATACTTTATGTACACATCACATCGTAAGTATGCCATATGTATGCACCACACACCTGAGAACTCAACGAATCAGACTAATTCTTGCATTCTGCCTCAGAGCTATGTTTCCCAGCTGGCTCTGAACCCCTGCTGCCATTTAACTCTGAGATCAAGATAAACCTTGCAGCTGAGCCCTACAACTCTATTGCGAGCGTAGTTGTAAGCGATTTACATCTGATTTCAGCTCTTTCACAATACACTACAGGAGATGGTGGAGATACAAGGAAAATTACCCGAAAGCAAAAAAAGAAATCTTTGCAAATACCAGAGCAATGAACCTGAGTTACAGCTGAAATAAATCTGGATAATTCAATATCATCATTTGTTGACTTTCAGTGTTATTGTATAATAAAAATTTCATCATATTGTTTAATCATTCAAAAAACTATGAATAATCCCAAGATAATTATTTAAAAATCCTACCTCTCTCTCTCTCTCTCTATATATATATATATATATTAGTGTGAAGAGTTTTGTCTTATTATTTTATAATTGATTTTGCATTAATTTGCCATATTGATACAGATACTACAAACCTATTCTTATTAATACTGTGATACTAATTTCAATTATTGTATATTGCTTAGCTTGCATCACTATTGTGAATATGAATCTTTCATTTTTTACCGTCTTTGATATCAAGTGATGGGTGTAATGATTCCAAATGACACAAAATTCATCATTTTAAAACAAATTTGCAAACGTTGACAGTACAACGTGTGGACTAGAAATACTATACATCCCATGAGCAGTGAGATACTCCAGCTCTGGGGCAGAAACTGAGGTGAAAAGCCTTTAGCTGGCCCATTTGAGTGTGCGGATTAGGATGCTTACGAGCAGCACTGATGGCAGGATTAGCAGGGCAGTGTAATGGACCACATCTCTTCACTTTAGGGCACAGGGCTCCAACAGCAGAGGAGCACTCAGAAATCGGATGATTAGCACTGCATCTTTCACATTCATCTGTGCTTGTGTTGGATGCATTTTCACAGTAAAACATTAGCACAGTACTCTGGTTAGGCCTTCCTGTATTTTTACTTTCATTCTTCAGAGGAAGTTTTTATGGGAAGGCCTCTCTGCTTCTCTCTCACTTTGCTGATTTTCATCCAAAACTTAACTAAAAATAAAACCCTGAGTAGATCGACTAAGCTGGTAGTTCATAGAATATGGTATTACAACTCCAAGATGAGGGAAGGCTTTCATTTCGTCATTTACATGACGGTCCCAGGTGATCACATGAAGCAGTTCTTATATTAAAACAAAATGCAGCCAAGAAATCAAACCATAATCAAGTCACACTTACACTATATAAATGTATGTAAAAAGAAAGAGGCCTTGCTTCTAGAGCTGGAGGAATGAGCTGCTTTCCCCATGTTGCAGTCACCAATGTTTCTGCCAAGCAACACAATTGAGCAATAGTTTTTAGTTAAGAAATACATACCAAGGTTGACACTGCCACAAAAATATCTATGTCATTGCTCAATGAAAATTAATCTAGGGAATGGAACTGTCAGAACTTTGTCACGCGTCTGTCTGAAATCATATAAAAATCTATAAAAATATACACATCTGATCTATGAACCTAAAAAACAATATTTCAGTCACTGGAGGACAAATGTAAACCATTACATAATGCCATTACCCATCAGTGGGGGCTGTAAATAATGCACAGTTTACAAGACTGTAATGTCCCACAATGTGGGTTATACTTCAAACACATCAGCAGCTGCTACTGCTCTACATTTTTGTTAGATGTATCATCAAAATAAATCTCATGTTTCTAATGTTTGTAATTCAATCCAAACACAATCCAGTGCAGCGACACTACTAACTATACCTAAAAGGAACTGTAGAGGTGAATCAGCTCCTGGCTCTTGTAATGGATTGCATTAAAATGAACACGTGTACCTAACACACTGATAAACCTGTGTATAGCTTTATCTCTGATCTTATAATTAGATGGATCCTGCTTGAATTAAATCAGTGTCCTGCACCACAAGCTGCACAACTGATGGCACAGCCTCTGCCATTACTTGCCCATTCGATGCTTTGCTCTCCATACGGAGCTAATAAACCGAGCTGTATTTCTTTTTATGGGCTTTTATGATTGTAACTTTAAAACAAACCATTTCCTTTGTCTCCGACATCACCATCCGCAATTTCTCATCATGTTTTCTTCTATGTTAATGTCTCTGCTTTCTCATAGATTTATATAAGGAAAGACTTTAATTTGATAAGCAGGGCGTCACCCAAACAGATATGTGAGACAAATTTGCATTCATTCATCATCCAACAGGCTATGGTCAAGCGCGTACTTCAGATTTGTGAAACCCAAATTGGGATTTTATGTGCTTTACTCAGAACAAAAGAAAGGGTTAAGAAACATTTGTGAACAACACCCATTACTGTGAATTACATCAAATTAAAATAAGAGGCTTCTTTAACATGATAACCCATTTCTTCCAATGGCTAAACACTCATCATGGATGAATTGCCTTGTAAGAGATGGTGTTGAGCTGGGTCAGACAAAACTACACTCACTTCCACAGCTCCTCCAAGTAAATATTTAACAATAGCTAAAGAGCAGCCGTGCAACTGCTATTTTAAGCCTCATACACTCCTGTGACAGATGATGTTTTTTGAGCTGAATTTATAAATAGAACTACTTCTGTTATGAACTCCTACAGCTCTTTTCAAAGTCTGGGCCGCTTCAGTTGTATTTCATAACAATTCAATAAGCGGTGAAAACACACTTCTTTAAGATGCACAGAGGAGGAAACCTTTTGTTTGATGTATACATAAACACATCTCACAGACTTGCTGTCTTTTATATCCCAGCTTCCAGCATCCCAGAGCCCTGCCCACTGTCGTCTCCACATACTGTGTCAACCACAGCACACGGACTTGAGGACACCCACATGCAACACAGCTCCCAGGCTAGTGTCTAGGATTAGACCGCCATAATAACTATGCAACACAAACTCTAACCACTCCCTTACTCTAACTGTGCATGCTGAGGACACCACTGATTTATTTAAGAGGTTGTATTTCGGCTCAAGGTAAATTTAGAAAGCCATTCAGTGAGCGTCTGTGTGGAGACTGCACATTATTTTTTTCTCCTCTCTAAATGAGGGACAAGTGTGGCTTCAAATCATTCACAGATGTGCTGGTGCTCTGCCACGCAAGAGGAGGAGAGGCAGGGCCCCTCCCACACCGTAGGCAGGCAGTGGAGATGGGAGGAAGCAGGGGAACTGGAGCAGGAGCTCCATCTCCAAGTGCCTCTCATGGTGAGGCAGGCGCACACACTCACACACTCACACACACTCACACACACTCACACACACTCACACACACTCACACACACTCACACACACTCACACAAACTCACACAAACTCACACACACACACAGCCTCAGTAATAGCTGGGAGCTGAACCCAGCCATGCGTCTCTAAGCATTCACCGCCATGTGAAACAACATAATCTGACACTCCTGACCCCTGTTGTTCCCTAGGCCTCGCAAGACACTTCTTATGTAACCTATAGAGCAGTAGGGAAAAAAAGCTAAGCTATTTATGTGGTTTGCAATCAACCCGATGCTTATTTCCATATTACGGAACATCCACTGACCTTCTCCGCTACCTTAATGCAAATGTGCAAACCCGCTTTTAGCATGCAACTATACTGAATGTGTGTGTGGCACATCAGAGAAGTGTGCATCTCACTTTGTAATCGGTGGTGAAAATATATCAATAGCGGCCATGATAACATCTGAGAAATTTTGAGTGTGTCATGTTAAACTTGCAGTTATGGCTTCAACACAGAGAGCAAGAGAGAGAGAGAGAAGAGACAAAGAGTGAGTTCATTCCAAAAGCCCTGTGCTCCTCAAGTACCATAAACAGTCAGCAGCTTACAAATGCACACACATAAGCAAAAACACATGCCTGTTTAATAAGAATATTCCGCATTGATTAAGCAGGCCTTACCTGCTCATAGTTTAGCCGCTGAGCCTCTGATATCTCTTTAGGCTTCGTTTCCAGAATGTAGTCTCCTACAGAGGGACAGAAAGAGAGAGATGTTGCCAGATATGATGAGTTACATTGCATTGACAGAGCGAAACCACTTGCTTGGCACTGATGATCACTATGGATTCCTAGCTTAAGCATTTGCAGAGAATACTCATTGTAGGGTTTTAGAAAAGGCTGAGCCAAATATGTAGGATCCTTTGAGTCATGTCCACTGTGGTGTCAACTGAGATCTCTGTCGACACGGCTCTGTGGCAGCATGGGCTGTGGCAGAGAGCACAGCCTGGCAGATGTCTGGCTCCTGCTCTGTTGAGCACTACAAACATGCTGCAACATTTAAAGCATTTCACACACTTTGAAGGGCAAAAAAAGCCATGAAAATACATTCTTGCTATTGCTGTGAAAGTTTTATTGCGGTCTACTCCTGACTTTTGAAACTGTGGTGTAAGTATTTCTCAGAATGTTTCACAGAGAATCATTAATGTATTAGAAACTGGCGAGAGTATCGTGCTGCACTGTCAACACATACTTTTCCTGAGAATTACTCTGAGGAATGCCATCAACTTCTTGTCATCAAAAGCTACATTAAGTGAAAACAGCTACACATGGAGATTAAACATGCTCTCATATGTATTTTGCTTAAGCAAACAGAATGAATGGAGAATATCCAGGAAAAAAGTATTTTTTCTTGTAATTAGGGCTTCATTATTATTTTTTTCAATATAATTTTAATGGCTGACCTAGAAAGGCATGATGATTTCTTCATGTGCATGCTGTGAGAACTAACTGTCCAATCTTAAACTAGCCTATCACAGAATATAGTTCATGTTATGATGAGCAAGTTTTTCAGGATTTTTGGATGTTTTTTGAACTGAAAAGTCAGGCTCATAAACTCTGTAGCTGTGTTCTGGCACATAATCCATATATTTCACAAGTTATTTGGACTGACCAACAGACAAGCTGCTGGTTGCAGTTTAAAAAAAAAAAAAAAAAACTCTTCTTACTTCTTGATTGTTATGCTGTCAACCTTGATGAAGATTTTAGTGCAAGTCAAGATTTTTTCCAGCAGGGGGCCAGCCAGCTGAGTGGTTTTACTACAGTATGTCCACAATGAGGAAACCCCCTCACTGTTCTGCTCTCCACTGAACTGTGAACTCACTCATCTCTGGTCCTCCCTAAATGTCTGTATCTGTCAGCCTCTGTGCTTCGGGATCATGCTCATGCTATGCTGTGTAATTTCTGAGCTGCTGAGTGACCGCCACCACCCACTTTAAACACCACATTTGAACTTCATTACCCAGCGTCACCCCTGCTGTTTGTGTCTATGTGTTATGAAAAACAGTTCTGAGTTTAGAAGTCATCCAGCATCCCCTGGACATTACACAAGATTAGCTTTGTGCGCTGTAATTGAACTCGTGGTGAACTCATGCTCTAATGTACCACGCAAATGGACATTTTGGAGATAATTAATGAACAAAGTGATAAAGATATCGTTATTTATTATCTAATTGTCATTTTTAGAAACAAGAGCACTATTTGAGCCATGCCAGCTAACAGACACAAATAAGTTTAACAAACACAGTAAAGGACCATAAAACTGGGGATCACATATAGTGCCATGATGTGGAACATTTTAGTCTTCCAATGCCAGTGGATACTGAAGGCCCTGATAGAGCTGACAGGAGACACTAGTGAGGACTGGCTCTACCTCTGAAGAGCCCCTGCTGTAATCAGACACTCTGCTTTGATATTGTAGAGTAATTTTAGTTATGGAGGGAAGGAGACAGCCAGAGAGAAGAGATATCTCTTGTATCCTTTGCAACAGCAGAGGTTTGGCTCTTGGGGGTTTTCCCTGCTCTAAATATGTATATACGTATATATATCTGACCTTAAGTATGTATCCACTCATTTGAGGGGATGTGAAACACAAGAATGTTTACTAGGTTGCTGCAACTCCAGTGCCAGTGGCTTTATTGGTTAGTATGTTTACAAGTGTGGACTTGTGGGCAACACTCAAGTTGCTGTGGTTCTATAAACGCAGGCCAACGTAGTGTTATAGTCTATTTATTATACTTTAGAAATTTGTTCTTTTCTGCAAGTTCACATTAGGTTATTATTGTAAATCTTAAGCCAAGTGAAAAAAGCAAGCAGAAGAGGACCATATTTAATAGGGTAACATGGCTTAATAAACTCAGTACAATTTTCCCCTTAGATCAATCATCGGCATCAAATTGCTCTTGTGTAACAGGTTTAACGGCAGCAAACACTCACCAAGATACTCCATGAGTTGCTCAGCAGTTATAATTTCCATCATGGGTGGCATCTTAACCTGTAACAGACAACCATGGACACTCATTGTTTATTCATTTATTACTACTTAATCAGACAAAGCACTGCAACAAAAGTTAACCAAAACAGGATAAAACCATTTTTTGTCGAGACCCATGCACTTCAGTTGGTAAAACACCTGGCTTCCCTCTTCAACATGCACTGACATGATTAAATAAATCCACATCAAATGCTAAAATTGAGTAATCATATATGAACTCGTCTTAACATATTATCTTTTGACGGGAAGTGCTTAGGGACAGAGGAACTAGGACTTCTACACTAGATCTATTGTGAGATGTGTATGTTAACCCTTAGCAAATCGAAATGTTTAAATTACACAAATTTTCCATTGTAATTACATGAAATAAATTTTGATAGAGCTCAGAGCTACCTTATGAAAACGCCTATTTGTATTAAGTTGGAATCAAGTTTCTATTGATCCATGCCCATCTCAGAGCCTTTACCTTCCATGCAAGCAGAAGGACATTCATAATTGCCAGTAATGGACAGGGGCCGTTCTCATTCTGGGTGATGATCGGTGTATTCTCCTCCCTCCATTTGATCCACTTGATGTGGTATATGGACTGGCCAGCGGCCCGGTCCTTAGTGCACGAAGTCTTTGTCCCATCAGCCCCATACTCGCTCTGCAGGGCCAGGGCCAGCCCTCTCTCCTCCAGTCCCTCACTGTTGAGGTCGGAGCTAGGGCAGGAATTGAGGTTGGAGAAGGACTCAAGTGAATCTATGCTTCGGGACTCACCACCGAGACTGGGATCGGGGTCACTCCCACTCGGCAATCCCTCCGATAAGCTGCGATCACCGGACAGCCCCGGTTTGACGTCTGTTGTGATTGCATTGTCCGGACACAGATGAGTCGGCTTGGCAAGTTTTGTCGGTTCACTATTTCCACATGCCAAAACCTCACCCCCCACATCTGTGCTCTCCTTAGCGGGAGGTGAGGACGGGCCATCGGTTTTGTTGTTTACTAACTTTGAGGCACCACCCTCTCTATCTTCTGCAGCCAGCACCGACTCATGCCCCATCCCGTTACTGATCTGATCCCCGGACCCCGACCACGATCCTATCGCCTCGGTGTCCTTCTTCTTACCCTCCTGTGCGGAAAGGACTTCGACCGCTTCTGGCACGTCGGACTTCCCAGCACTGGACGTGTCATTAACGGCGCTGGGAGCACCAACATTTGTGGTGCTGTCATTACAACTAACGTTAACCAAAGTACTGAGAGGTGCCTCACTATTCTTGCATTTCTCGGCTGTTCCTTTCACTCCGCCGACAATCGCAACATCGCCCATCTCTGCTGCAATCGTGGCACACAATGAGCTTCCGTCAGTGTCTCGATGCAGGTTTGCATTTTTCTCCATTTCGATTTACAGACTGTCGACAGATTTTAGCTAAATTGCAGCAGCAGCAGCTTCGGTCCCAAAGACGCCATGACAACTCTGCGAGTGACGTCATCAGAGTGAATTGCTTTCAGGCCGAGCAAGGGGGCGGTAGAAAACCAACGGCCAGGCGGTGCTGCGTTTGTGTGCATTCGTATTCTGTAGAGTTACTCACTCAGGTTAAGGCAGTTTGACCTATCCGAGGTAGCTATTCATATCATTATACTACATACATTTATTCAAAAAATATCTAATGACTAGGATGACAGACCGATGTCCTCAGTATATAAAGCTGAGGCCGATTACTGTAGGATTTCTCCAGCTTGAGGTCTATTGTGAGCTGCGGTACCATTTAATTACTTATCACGCCTATCTCAAACTCATAGGCAAGATAAGACTGAGTGTATACAAGTTGTTAACCGTTTAAAGTATTTGCGCAAGCTCAAACCTTTGTAGAATGTGTAGCTGGCTACATTTTCAAACCGCTGGTATGTTTAAGTGCCCCTTTTTACGAGGACTCCTGAGTGTAGGATGAAAAGAACTTGCCGTGGCCGTGACAGTCTTGCGTGCGTGTGCACGCGCGCCAGTGAGAGCAGTATAGTCTCGCGTAGCCAGAGCTCCCTACCACTGTACAGACAAACGAGACTTTGGAAATGATCAGGCGGTCGCTGTGAATTTGAACCCTAGTTTAACCTAACCCGTAATAATGATTAACGATAATGATTTTCCAATTTTTCTACATTTTGGGGGGTTGAATTTCTCCAGACTTTAAATTTATATATAGCCTATATATGTACTGTATACAGGGTAAATTGGGTTCTTTTGACAAATCTGTCGATCCACATGCAGTAACTTTTTAGAGTCACTGGGTGGCAGCAATTTCTAGACTGGGCAGAGTTGTACAGGCACATCACATCAGACTTTCAATCAGACTGCATAAAAACCCTTTCCCCAACAGAACTCAGGCACAAACATGCCCTTGACCTTAACAACCTATAAACTAAAGGACACAACAGTTTTTTTCATTGTAATTTTAGAGAAGGGTTAGGTAGTATGAAGCTCAAGGTATAAACTATGATCTTGTCAAGCATTGATCTGGATTTTGCTGAACTGCAGTGTGACATATAAAACGTAATGCCTCAATGAAAAAGGGGACTGTAACTTCATGTTATATAAGATTTACCTGTGTCAAACCACATATATAAGCATACGAATTGTGTCTATTGAGATCTGAAAAGTTTTCTTTTATTTGCTGGTGTCATAGCTTAGCACAGACAGACAGCAGTGACATCCTTAACAGTATTGTTTTTGTTCAAAGATAATTCGGTGAAGTGCAGAGACTTGACATAACTTTGTGGCTGATAAAGGAAACCAATCAGGAAATGAATGGTGTATTTTTGAGTGTTGAGCAGGATGCCATCATGCTTTACCTTCTTGTAAAAATAATTATTCGTAGTCATTTATCCCTCTGCTGTCTACTCAGTACACTATAGTTTTAGTGCCATTTACTTTATTGAGCTGTATTCATGTTGTCTTTGTTAGTATTGTGACCTTTCATACACAATTGGCCTTATTAGTGGAAAAAACTGGAATATAAATTATATTAAGATTCATTATATATATTATTATATACATTATATATATTATATATTTTTATATTATATAATTGCTATATATATATATATATATATATATATATATCCAAACTTTTGACTGGTACTGTATATATATTTAAACTCTAAGAATAGTTGGTAAATACGGAAGTCCTGATTTAAGGAAGTAAACAACTTGTAGATTGATTGATGAAAACAGCGCTCAAACAACAGTTTGGTGCATGTCAGACTGGTTGCATTAGCGCCACAGCGTTTTACTGTTCTTCTTTGAATCTGGTAGTGTAAAGGTGATTTTTTGCTAGTCTTTATAGTCTCCCGACCTATAACCACAATGGTACACAGTTGATGGGTGTGTCCAGGCTGTCTTGGCAAGCAACAGCGGAAGGGAGGATGGCCTGTCTGTCTGTTGGCCTGTCTCACTCTCTGTCTGTCTGTCTGTCTATCTGTCTGTCTGTCTGTCTGACGTCGGGCTGGCTGCTGAAACAGGCAGAGCCGGTGTTTGTGATGGGAGTCAGCTAACTAGGAAGGGCGACTATACCTTTAAGTGAAAGAAAACGAAACAAGAAGCGTTACCGCCTGGTCGCTTTGCTGGTGTACTGGGTTTACAGGGAATTTCGATATGATATTTGTTAAACTAATTCTAATTCTTTGCTTCCTACAAGATATTACAGGTAAGTTTGCTACTGATTCACAGCGAAAGGAAAGTGTTGAGTGATCGTCAGTGGCGCTAGCGCTAATCGGATCAGGCAGTTGTACTCTGGCTATCTAACTTGCTAGCTAGCTGGCTAATGTTGTAACTGTAGTGTTTGTGGCTGCTAACCTGTGTTTATTGTTAGAGTGTGAACACGGGCCAGGTTAGCCACGCCGTATTGACTGGGTGTCAAGTTAATTTCCTCTGGCTGACACAGGTGAAATACTCTCATAGTCGAAAAGCCTGTGTTTTTGACAGTTACTGAGTGTTAAACTAACATTACGGGGCTAACCGTCTTCAAACAAGACACCAGATCTGCGGTGATGTAGCTAATAGACTCGGAAGTAACAAATATTCACCGGTGTTTCAATAATTTCAAAACAACCAGATAAATATTAAGTTTTGCTGCGCTGGAAAAGACAGTGTGTATATATATATAAGGCAGGTTCTTATGTAGATACATGATATGCTTCCACTGCTGCGACGTTTGACAGTTATTCAATCTGCCCAAAGCAAACCTGTAAGCTAAATGTATTTTAAAATTTCCACTACTGACCGGTAACACACCCTTAATGAAAGTTACACTTGTGTTTTGCACAACAGCAGAACATGTTCCCAATTTCAAGTTGTTCGATAACAGCTTCCCACTCCTACCAGGGATGAGTAATAAATTGCGTTTATTGCGGTAGTTGTCGAAGTTCTGATGTGACCTTCACTATAAGTTTATCGTAGTTTCCAGGCCTCAGTAGGTCACCATTTACCCTAAAAACTGAACCAAACTTTGTTGAGACTCTCCACCCAGATGATGAAAATATACTGCTTATTGCAGAGGATTTTTATACAGTTGTCCAACCCCTAGCCGTTCACAAACGTTATGACAAAATACATTAAAAGTGTTGGTTTGAACTGTGTGCAGAAACAGATATTGGCAAGTACAAATAAATAACATGGTCATAAGGATGTGATTGAATGCAGCAATTCAGTGTGTTTTAATAATCTCTTATAACCCTTGAGACTTGCACTGGCAGATTACTGGAATAATCAAAAGGATGTTGATGAGATTCAAAATCCATCAACACAAGTTGCTTAAAATTGAAGAGTCAGTCAGTATGCAAAACCAATGCTCTTCCTTGGTTACCACTATGCTTTTCTTCATAGTCTTCATTAAACATTGGAACATTGGTGCATGTAAGCTTGACCGCTTTTCTTAAAAAGTGAAGTGTTGTATATTGACTTTGTCCTCCAGGGAAAATTCTTTTGACTTCTGTTTACAAAAGCTCAGATATGTTTCATGGTGCTTACCCTTTTGCCTGTTTATACACAACGTGACTTGATGTTTAAAACCTTCACTGTACAAGCCTTGATTGAGGTGAGTTGCAGTGACTTTATCCTTGCATTCTGCCTTGCATATCTGCAACCTGAGGAAGTTCTGCTGCGGTGAATTGTGAACTTTGTCAGAGAGAGAAACTGTTTCTACTCTCTCAAATGATCGGAAAGTTAGAACAATAGATGTCCTGATCTAAGCCTAAATTGCTACAAAGACCTGGCAATTTGACTCCTTCTTTTCAACTACACACTGCTCTAAAATGTATTATCAGTGTGACAGGCATGTTGGAAAAAGCTATGTATGGTTAAGTGTCGACTGTTTACATTTTAGTTGTAAGGATCAAATATGTCTGAGGAAGTCAGTTTTTCTGTAAAGCAAGGTTATCTCACGTCTGACACAGCTGCTGTTACCCCCCTTACTGTTATTGTCCACCACTGTATGATACACACGGGAAGAGAGACATTTAAGTTGTGGTGAGCTGTTTAGTTTCTGATGTGTCGTGTTAGCTAGTCTGCCATCACCCAGCATGTATGGTAATAACCCTCAAGGCTCAGATCAGTTGTGATCCATGCTGTTACCACCTCCTCTCTTCCTGTCAGCGATTTCCTCTCTGTCAAGAATTGCACTTCACGGTTCACTGGAGCACTTGGGGCTGAAACAGATTGCACTGAAATCATGATGACATTGCCATTACAGTGAAATTGACTGCCAGTTTTTTCTCAGTTTTGCTGTCTACCCAGAAATTCAGGCTACCTCTTAGTGAGGTAATCTAGGCCCAAACAAAGTAGGATTGATGTGTTACTGTCAGGTAATGATTCAGTATATTTGAAGTTCAGGGGCTGCAGTGGTGACCGTTCAAATGCTGTGTTTCAGTCTGGTGGGAATATTGTAACACCAGTTGAGCCCCATCGTTGAGGATTGAAGTATGGAAAGTAGCCTGAGACCTTGGAGCAGAAAATTCAGGGTCTCCCTGATTTATTTATTTTTTTTATTTTTTATTTTTATTTGAGTGTGAACAGGAAAGAGATGGGAAATGACTTGCAGCGAAGATCCTCATCTGGGGAAATTGCAGTTCATGGTCAGCACTGTAACCTTGTAGCCACCAGGATGCCCCAGTTTCCCTGAGTCTTTACTTAAACCACTTGGTTAACTTGTTAGTAATACTCTTAATAACTCAAATTTTGTTGTTATCCAATGTTGGCCCCTGTATTATTGGATATGTCACTCAACTTGGGAGTGACAGCTGGTTTCTGTGTTGTAACTGTAACTGTAGCTGTCTGTCTTTATGAGTGCGTTTGTATGCACACTAATGTCCTAGTTTTGATCATATTCAGGATATGACGTTTACATGGAAAACATGTGGTTACTCATGCCTGTGTAGAAGATTCTATCTTTGCCCAGGT